TGTTCAGGCTACTGCGGATCTGTACACGCTTGTGGACCTATCGACGTCGACGACTGCTGAATCACGCGGGTTCCTCAAGCCGGCGCCTCTAACGGGTGCCATCGACCTCCGCAACGTCACTTTTGCCTACCCTTCGAGACCGGATCAGCCTGTCCTCCGCAACCTCAACCTCTCCATCCGCCCCGGCGAATGCGTCGCCCTCGTCGGCGCCTCTGGGTGCGGCAAATCCACGATCGCGGCCCTCCTTCAACGGCTCTACCAGCCCTCGTCCGGGTCCATCCTCCTCGGCGGGTACGACACGCAGGATATGGACATCACGCACCTCCGCTCGCACCTCTCCGTCGTGTCGCAGCACCCGCACCTCTTTGATGCGAGCGTGCACGAGAATATTGCGTATGGTGGGGAGGGGATTAGTATGGAGGATGTGGAGCGTGCTGCGCGGAGGGCTGGTGCGCACGAGTTTGTGAGTGGGATGGAGAAGGGGTATGAGACGTTCCTTGGGGAGGGGGGTGGGCTGGTTAGTGGTGGGCAGGCGCAGAGGATCCAGATTGCGAGGGCGCTGGCGAGGATGGAGAAGAACACGCAGGTGCAGAGGGGGGAGGGAGGTGTGCTGGTTCTGGATGAGTGTACCAGCGCTTTGGATCCGGAGAACCAGGCGTTGGTTATGGATACTATTCGGGATCTTGTGTCGTCTTCGCGGTCTGGTGCTGGTACGGCTTTGGAGTACCCCCACTGTGATGGTGAAGAGACGCCCAAGATGACGACTGTGATGGTGACACACAAGGTTCAGGTTATGCAGATGTGTGATCGGATTGTTGTGATTGGGGATGGGGAGGTGAAGGAGGAGGGGACGTTTGATGAGTTGGTGAGGAGGAAGGGGGTGTTTGCTAGTTTGGCGAGTGGGGGTGAGTGGGTTAGTGGGGAGTAGAGGGTGTGTGCGTTCGAACCGTGCATGTTGACCACTGGTTTTTTTTTTGGTTCGGACTGCGTCTTGTTTCGTTTCTTTTTTTCGTTTGCAATCTGGGATACCTTTTTTCTTTTCTTTCATTCATTCGGGCGGCGATACCCCGTGTTTCCTCATCACCATCATCCAACACTTACATTGCATACCCATCATTCATGTTTTCGTTTGTTCGTTTGTTCTGTCTCTTGAAGAGACTTTTTGACATTGCTTTATTTTTTTGTTATGACTGCTGACTTGTACTCTCATCGCAACTCATCTTTGTTCATCTACGTCTTTTACGATACTCGCTCTCGTCCTTACGACATTGTTTCTGGCTTTTTGTTTTCGTTACGCATGAATCACGACTCGCATTTCTTTCGTCTCTCTTACATTATCGTACTCATTTATGTGGTGGTTTTGAACCAAATGAATTGAATTTGTATCTTTTTTTTTTTTTTTATGTGCAGTTGTGTAGAGAAAAGATTGAAGATATCCGACCCACAAGAAGGAGTGAGAAGTACAAAAGGGAATGGGAGAAAGCTGGGCGAGGGTCTGGCCTTGGGAATACTAGTTGGTACGGTCGTGATAATAGCGGTTTGGGTGATGGCAACGTTGGCAAGGGGCCTCGGAGATGTAGTAGCCGCGGGAAAAGGCGAAACAGGGAGAACAAGAAGAGGGACTAGGCGGCCCATGTTTCGAAGATTTTAACATCGCAACATGACGGTCAGTGGAGCGCACCGTTAAATCTTGTTGTGGCCTTAAGTTCCCTGTGTGACTGCCACCCTTGCGGAGGGTGCATCACAATCATTGGAAATGGGTTTAAAATGAGTACTAATAGGACGATCTACGTGACAACTACAGAACGTACCACCATCCGACCCTATCCTCTCTTAGGTCGACTCCCCGAAGGACCCGCGACTGCTGGATGCTTCGGCTGTGGCACATCCAAGTCCGCGGTCCCATCCGATGGTGGCCGCTTACTGCCGCGAGTGCGACAGTAGCTTGAAGGGAATGGCTCCCGTTCGCTCAGGGAAACCTGAGGCTTAGTCTTGTCATTTTCGGGCCAGCCGGGGCCGTTTATATATTCGAGGAGCAGCTCTTCGAAGCGGACTTGATCGTCAATGTTTTCGAGTGCCTTGAGCTGCACCTGGGTTAGACCAGGTGGCGGTCCTCTGACTCGAGGGCGAGGTACGATCTGTTTATACCGATATGAGAAGATATCTGCAAGGGTATAAACGACAGTGTTCATGGCATGAGGGAAGAAGGGATCGTCCTGGGTGCCAAACTCGAGAGGTTTTGTAGCATAGCGTATGACCCCCGATTCCATGGTAGTCGCCTTGAGTATGCCACATGTATAACCGCCTTGTACCTTTTGAGTGGCATCAAAATATTCGTACATAAACTCCGCGACTTCTTCGTAATTGTGGGGCAGATACTGGACCGCAAGCCAGAGGGTGAGATGAAACCACGATTCCATTTCGTGCCACACCTCGACTGGCTTGGAGGGATTGTTGAGGATGTCGACGGCGAGGAACTGCCAGGTACCCTAACCGAAAGAGTTAGACATCGCAGAGGGCGCTCATGGGGTTCAGAATACTCACTGTCCGTTCCAGCTGCCGTGGCCCCTTGTCTGTGAGCTTCTTCGCCAGCTCCCAGTCCGTGAGGAGTCCATGACGCTCCTCTTTCAACTGGCCGTTTACAACGTCTTGACGGACGAAGATCAAGAGATTTCCGGCACTAATGTCCCGGTGCATGTATCCTTTCTTGTAGCCGTAGCCATGCGCTGGTTGTCAACGTAAATCAGCAAACCAGTATATGAGACCATCCTACAACACAAGGCTCACCGGCAACACCGTGCGAGATGAGAGTAACCATTTCGCGTCCGTTCCTGAAGTTGCTAATAGGCAGACCGACCTCCTTTACAACGAGGCGGTAATGTTGGTGGGTTCGCATGGGACACTTCTGGTCGGAATTGGGATTGCGAGTGAGCCAAAAGTCTTGAGAGTCGGTTTTCTGCCACCGGCCCTCGAGGTCGCCGTGGCAAACCAGCGTTGGGATATACTTCCGACCCCTCTGATCCTGCTCGTCGGGACTGTTGAGGTCGGCAAGGACTTTCCCCTCCTCATCCAAGCCTTCCCCCACAACCCGCCAGGTATCTTTGAGGAAAACAAAAGGTCCCTTCGGGTCGTCGAGGTCGATCGCGATATAGCCGCGGGTGCCGCGACCTGCAAGGACAGTGGTGTACGTATGTGGTTTGCCGACCAGGAATTTTTTGCCTTGAACGCGCAGTATGTGTCTTGGACCATGAGTCGATACGGTTTCGTCGAACAGCTTCCTGATCTCGTCATCAACAACAACCTCCTCGACCTTTCGCGAAACCTTGGCCCTTTCATCCATCAGAGTGTCTTCGTACCCATTGGCCACCACCCTCGTAACGGTCGGGTCGTGGCCTCTGTCGACGGAGTCCATCTGAGCATATCGCCAGAGGAATTCGCCCAACTTCTGGGGATCGTCGAAGCAGTCGAATGCATTGGTGAATAACAGGCCAGCACGGTCCCATCGAACGATTCGAGCCTTGGTTCCGAAAATAAGGATGGAGAAGTGGTGTGTGCGGTGTTGGTGAAAGAAAACAAGCGAGGAGTATGACATGGCCTGACCAAGTGCGCCTTCGCTGGCTTTCGAGTTGGGAGAATAGCCTTTCTGATATTCGTCGCTGAAGAAGTCGCAGGTGTGATGTCGCTTGACCTCGATACCTAGCTCGAGTGCTTCCCACTTGGGCGGATGGTCTTCAGTCGGTTTCTCGTTGTCTTTGTACACTCCGCCATCGATACGCTGCTTGGTCCAATCATCTGGATCCGACTTGTTTCCTGAGATCTCCTCGTCTTCGCGTGCAAAACGCGTCTCTCTCTCCCTCTCCTCCCCTCTCCTTTCGGGTTGGACCATATACCACCAGCGTGGGCACAACGCAATACGTTGAGGCCAAGGTCCCTTCGACTCCGCAGACTCCGCAGTTCCGTAGAGTCTAACAAGTACCCTATCCCCCAAGATACAGGGCAGAGTGACTGCATTTTCCCTCTGTGATACAGAGCTGCAGTGGCCAGCTTGGAAAGTCGCATCCACGGAGGTACAGGTCAAGCTTCACTCCCGTCATATACCCTGTGACATAGTGACAGCTTGTATACCTCAACCCTATTCATTAATATTTGTATTATAACAACCATTATATATTGCTCTCAGTCACTAGTACCTTTCTAGCATGCAGTGTGTCGAGATCAAGCTTGACTATGCAATTCCGAGCCTGACCATAAGGCATCATCCTCTATCATTTATCCACAGCTACAATTAGGGCCGTGTTGTAAAGCATTCAGCGCCTAGCGCTCTATCGCTCACCTGACGAATCATTAATCAACAATTCAATTCCAACACACCGTCAAGCTTGCACGAGTGACCCCAGGGTCAGTCAAGCTCGGATGTAAATGTCCCACCGTCGAAGCTTGGACGTAATCTCCCGTCTGACTCTACGCCAGTCGAGCTCGGATGTTGAGTTCCAAGCTTGACTAGAGACTCGTCGTGTGCGGTCAAGCTCGGAAATAAGTATTAGTCGCGTACAGTCAAGCTCGGAAACTTATAGCGTCTCCGAGCTCGACTGTACGCGACGAGTCATCAGTCAAGCTTGGAACCCAACGTCTGACGCTAGTCAAGCTTGAGACAAAGGCTGTTCTGATTGAATTGATCCCAGCGCCTCGTGTGTCGTCAAGAGAAAGATCCATATGACCCATATGGTAGGTCCAGTACTTTCCCAGGTGCACTAACGTCGCCTTAGGTCCGCGAGCCTCGTAAAGAAATGCCAAGAGAACGTTGTGTCTCGCCGATCAAGCTTGATTTCCGTTTGAAAGTCACTCCGAAACCCGCGCCCTGGTTTATTTCGTGACCTAAAAATCAAGCTTGTCCCTCTTCGACATCTGGTGATCAGGACCTCCGACCAAGCTCGAATCGCCCAACTTGCAGCGCGACCTTTTCCTATTTTCGCGATTAACCAGTATCCTTGCCATCCTCCATGGCGTCATCCCCTTCCCCAGATCTTGTTGATCGCCTCGCAAAGGTTTACAACCTTGTGTCATCCGCCGCCTCGTGGACTGCGGACAATCAGAATACGAAGAAAATCCACCTCATGCATCATACTGTATGTCGCTCTCAGTCGCCATCCCTCGTAGTGTCCAGTCGCTGACGCGCTGATCATTGATTACCGCTCAGAAAAAACTTCATAAACTCCTCGACAGCAAGCCGTCATCCCCCTACTTCTCACCAGAACACCTTGGAAAAGCGATCCACAAGTGGCTCAAGTCCGATGCTGCGGGGTATCGCAAGGACCCATTATCGATACCCGTCGAAATCTTCTCATTTGACGCAACATACTCTGAACTTCCACCACTACTCGCCGCCGCCGGTGTGAAGTCGACATTAAATGCCGGCAAGACATTGAAGAACGCAGATCAGGGCTCGAAGGAGGAGGACAAGAAGGGGAAAGGCGAGGACAAGAATGTCGAGCAAACACTATCTAGCTAAGGTGGTCTACTCTAAGACTTACCAGGTAGAGTGTTATGTGAGGCTAACTAGTGGCTAACTACAAGAGTTGTGACGAACTCTGTCATCTATTCCAAGGCCAGGGAGGGCCGGTATTTATAGTTTACAGGAAGCGTGACAGATGTGACATAAACTACATAAATATGGAAGGTGTGACGGGTGAGTAAGCGAATGAGTCATCATGAGTAAGAATGAGCGATAATGACGCGATATGGTGCAAGTATTAGCACCTACTCATGTGACGTTCCAGAATGTTCTACACTAGAATGTTCTAGAGTGTTCTGGACCAAGTCTCACTAATCTAATCTACGATATACATCTACAGATAAGATAAGATAAGTTCAACACTCCCCCTCGCTAAGTGCAGCTATGAATAGCGCGCTGAGCGTACTCAAGAACTTAAGCCCTTCCAAACTCAAGTCCGAGTTGTTCACGGAAATGCTCAAACTTGACATGACCGAGAGGTTTGGTAAACATGTCAGCAGGATTGTCATTAGTGTCGACGCGAAGAATCTCGACGTCTCCTTCTTCAACACGTTCGCGGATGTAGTGATAGCGAACATCAATGTGTTTGATTCGATGTTCCTGGATAGGGTTTGAGCCAATGAAGATAGCTCCATTGTTATCCGTGCAGATCGGCACTTTGTCGATGGGCATGCCTAATTCGTTGAACATATGTTTTAGCCACATGACCTGACGGCTACAATCAGAAAGCGCCATATATTCGGCTTCTGTAGACGAAGTAGCGATGGTCTTCTGGGCATGGGAAGTCCAACAGATAACGGCATTAGCCAACTTGACAATGAATCCAGTCACGGACCTGCGTTTGATGGGATCAGCGGCAAAGTCCGAATCCGAGTAGGCGATGAGTCCTTGTGAGGAAGAACCCCATCTAAGACCAGTGCGTAGTCCATAGTCCCTCGGAGGTATCGGCAGATGTAGAGCGCCTTGTCGAGGTGCTCCTTGGACCGGATTTGCTGCAAACTGCGATAGCTTGGTGACAGCATACGCAATGTCAGGACGAGTGCCTAACATAAGGTATAGCAGCGATCCAATCACAGACTGGAAGCGTTGTCGAAGTTGGTGATCCACGGGACCAGTATTTGGAAGAGGTTTGTATCCCTCAACCATGGGAGTTCGAGCCACTCGGCAGTCCATCATTCCAAAGCGTTCTAAGACCGTTTTGAGGTAGTCTTTCTGATCAAGGCGTATGGTTTTTCCTTGACGTTTGATCCGCATTCGGAGGAATTCGGTTGGTTCGCCAAGATCACGGCATTCCCATTTTTGCTTGAACTCGTCTTTCTTTTGATTGACAGTCGCTTGGAGGGTCCATGAACAGGATGTCATCGACGTATGCGATCATGATGACGACCTTCCATCTTTCTCCTGGAAAATAAAGATTCCGGTATCGGTCTAAAGTCGTCTAAAGCCAAGAAGCTTGGCAGACTCTACAAGTTCCTTGTACCAGGAGTTGGAAGCTTGTTTGAGACCGTAGATAGCTCGGAGCAGCCGGAACACTTTATGCTCCTGACCAGGTACCTTGAAGCCTTCGGGTTGTTCCATATAGATCTCCTCTTCAAGTTTGCCATAGAGAAAGGCATTCTTGACATCGACGGCGGTGACGTACCAGCCTTCGAGTGCAGCGACGGCAAGCATCGTGCGAACTGATTCATAACGAACCACTGGAGAGAAGATTTCGTTGAAGTCAACACCTTCAACTTGGGAGAAACCCTTGGCGACAAGTCTGGCTCTAAGTCGACCGTCTGGTTTGACGTCGAACACCCATCGGCATTTGATCGCTTTACGACCAGCAGGCAGAGTGACGAGAATATAGACGCCGCGCTTCTGGAGTGCCTCAATCTCCAGCTTGCAAAGCAGCTAACCATTTCTCACGCTGTTTAGGCGGAAGTTTTTGGATGTCACGGAATGTGTATTCACGTGGCGACTTCTGAAGGGGTTTATCGGGCGAAACTGCCTTAGAAAGCAAGTATGTGATAAACTCTACTCCCCCTTCCCTGACCAATCGGGCCAATCGTTTCTCTAGGTCTCCACGCTCATCAGCAGTGCCACTATCGCGATTTGGACTATCGGCAGGATTTGGTCTGGGAACCTCATCTTGCGTTCTAGACTTGTGGTAACCGGCAGGCCTTCGCTCGGTATCTCCAACAGTCTTTCTCCAATCACGCTGCGATTGAGCATCAATTTGTGAAGGGGTTTTATCCCCATAGATGGAGCCTGGGCGAGTAACAGTTCTCCGCTCACGGCCAGATCTTCGAGGTTGGTCCGGTTGTGGTTCCGGAGCCAGTGGTTCCTCTGGTTGATCTCCCAGGGCAGGTGGCGGCGGATCTTGAGGTTGATCGTCGTCACGATCTCCCCCTCGATCCCTTTGAGGAAGGTCATCATTTTGGGAGTTGGGACGATGGACAAAGTCATCATCGTCACCTCCTTCAGGAGAAATGTTGTCATCTCCGCGATCCGATGGTGGAGGCGGTTCGTCGCCGGCACGAACGCCACCTCGTTGAGGTTGTGCACCAGGACACTTCGGGAAGTAAGTCTCATCAAAGACAGCCGTAGCGCCTCGGAAGAGACTGTTGATTGTGTAAGCGCATGAAGAGATAACCCTTCATTCCCTCAGGATATCCTAAGAACACCATAAGTTCAGATTTGGGTGATAGTTTGTTCTTTCGGACTTCTTCGGGAAGGTAGACGTAAGCGCCACAACCAAAGACACGTAAGTGCGAGATGTCAGGGACCTTCTTGTGTAAATAGCTCATATGGAGTTTTCCACTTAAGACGTCTGACAGGCGTGCGATTGTAGAGATGCACAGCATGTGACACCGAGAATTCCCACCAGGACTCAGGAAGACAGGCGTCAAAGCGAAGTGCCTGGGCCTTATCCATAATTGTCCTGATAAAACGCTCAGCCCTGCCGTTTTGTTGGGGCTGACGCGGAATGCTCTGTAGGATTTTGATGTCCAAGTTCCTTCAGTGCGTTATCGACATTCTTCGGACTTAAATTCTCCCCCCTCCATCCGACATCCACTCTTTGATGGAGGCGTTAAATTGGGTCTTGACCATAGCAACGAAGTCGCGTAAGGCCTTGATGGCATCATCCTTCTTTCGGAGAAGGACGATCCAACCGTGGGAGGTATAGTCATCGAAGAAAGCGATGAAGTACTTGTACCGGTGGTAGGATTCTACCGGGAAGCTCTTAAGATCAGAGTGAATCTTCTCAAAAGGCTTCTTCGCACGAGAAGTTGATGGTGGGAACGATTTTGATGGCATCTTTCCCTCATGACATCCCTTGCAGGGAGACATCTTTTCGGGTACAGAGACATTCTGTGGGAAACCTTTGGTATGTCCCTTCGCTTTCTCAAGCACTTCCTTTGAGGGGTGCCCAAAGCGTCGATGCATGGTTTGGTAGTCGACGGAATAAACCATCGAGAGCTGTTTTGCCGCTAGACTCTTTACGGAAGTGATCCGAGTCTTAACCCAGAAAATGGTGTGACCGGGTATAGCCGGACGGCAAACGATAGCTTGAGATTGATCGGGCTTATAGATGCCGATCGATTTGTTATCACCGTGAACGTAATGTCCACGTTGTTGAAGAAACTCTCCCATAGAGAGTAGTCGTCCGTGTAGGTTGGGGACATGATAGACAGGATATAGACGAGTCCTGACTTCTTGATATTTCCCATGAGAATCTTTCACCATGTGTTTGATGAAGACGGATCCAACTCCAGCCCAACGAAGAGTAGCCTTTTTAATCAGCTGTGCGAATTTCGGGCGAATTTCTTAATGGAGTATAGGATGCGAAATCGGTCTCATCACTAGTGACGTGCATAGAACAACCGGAGTCCATCATCCAGACGTCATACCCGTGGAACGGACTGTGGCATTCAGAACAACTCGCGAAGAACGAGGAAATAGACATATATTGCCGAGCGAGGTAATTCACAAGCAATACATAAGTCCATATACAGATCATCACGTAATACAGCAGCATCAATTAGAATAGAGCGCTGTGTGAGATCAGCAAGTTGTTCGTTTAGCCGACGGGATGACACACACCTTTGTTCGTCGATGTGTCCGGTGTCGAGTTCCATGGCAGTGTCCTCAATCTCCGTGTCCGCTTTGAAGTCGGGTTCGTCATCGGTATCCATGCCAAGTGAGACTGCGTCGTCGTTGTCGGAGTCTGTAAAGAGAGGAGACTCGGAACGAGCACGTTTGGCAGGAGGAGGTGATTCGAGACGATCTTCGAGTGACTTCTTAACGGGGAAATCCATGAGAGGTCGGAGATTTTTGGCAGTGCGAGGAACATGAAGCCGATCGCAGATCTCCTGAGCCTGTGCCAAGTCCGGATAAACTGGATGAGTCCTGGGATCGTTGGTCTTCTCGGCGGTAGCGGGGGTGTAAACTTGAGCCGGAAGATTGACAGGGACTTTGTTGACTTTGATGCCGGACGAGGTAAACGAGGCGACGGAGGTAGTAGTGGGAGTAGGAGTGTGATGGTGAGCCGAGATGATGTGGGAGCCAAGGACGACAGCGGAAGCAATTATGGGAGGAGTCATCAGAATCGGAATCAGAATCAGCGTCAACCATGTGAGTGTGATGGTGATGGTGTTGCTTCTTCTTTCCGGACGACTTCCCACGCTTGGACTTCTTCTTGTCGTTAGAAGACTGTCCTTGCTGTCCTTGGGTAGGCGAGTTAGAAGACGACTGCTGCTGCTTCTGCTGCTTGAAGTTGGGGTTACCCTTCTTCCGCTTTATCGCTGACATCTTGTATGGCGTGAACGGAACCCTGAGTTCGACGTTCATACTCCGCCATGATGGCTTCGTACACATCAGCCAATTTGAGTTCCTTGACCTTTTTGTTCTGCATCAACAGAACCGCAATGCTATCCCATTTCTGGGGAATTGCGTTGATCAGGATCATGGCTTGGAAGAAGTCAGGCATTCTGACACCATTGGCGTGAAGTCGATCAAAGACTGATCGGAGATCATCCATTTGTGGTACCGGATTTTCATTTTCCGAAAGCTTGAAAGCGATAGCCTTCCGGAAATCGGGCAAAGACCACGGATGCCCCTGGAGTACCGTAACTTTCCTCCAACTTCGTCCAAATGGTTCGAGCCAATTGGTTTGACTGGATGGTCAAGCGAATAGCAGGTGTCATGCGTAAGGTGAGGGCACCTTTAGCAGTCATATTCTTCTCGAGCCACGCCCTTTGCTCCTTCCGGCGAGCTTCTTTGTCTTCCTCCTTGGCATCAGGGGGAAGATCAGAAGGCTCCGGATTGGTCCCATCAACAACATCCCACACGCCAGCAAATTGGAGATAAGCGATGGCGAGCGGCTTCCATTCTCGATAGTTGGTGCCATCAAGAATCGGAACAAGTTGAGTGAGGGGCGGAGGACATGGTTGTTGAGATCTGTCAAAGAGACCGATCATCAGCATGGCGTTCTCGTGAGAGAATAGAAGGACAAGTGTGCAGCCAAAAATAGCGCTCCTTAGTCCCCTGATCGCAGCCAAAAATAGCGCAGATCATGACGACCACAAGTAGTAAGCCTTAGAGCATCTAGATGCAGCCAAAAAAGCGCAAACTAGATTCTGGATGCAGCCAGAGACTAGCGCAAACCAGATTTAGCAATGCAGCCAAACAAGCGCAAAGCTAAAGCCCAGCGGGGCTCATAACCTGTCGAGCAAACACTATCTAGCTAAGGTGGTCTACTCTAAGACTTACCAGGTAGAGTGTTATGTGAGGCTAACTAGTGGCTAACTACAAGAGTTGTGACGAACTCTGTCATCTATTCCAAGGCCAGAGAGGGCCGGTATTTATAGTTTACAGGAAGCGTGACAGATGTGACATAAACTACATAAATATGGAAGGTGTGACGGGTGAGTAAGCGAATGAGTCATCATGAGTAAGAATGAGCGATAATGATGCAATATGGTGCAAGTATTAGCACCTACTCATGTGACGTTCCAGAATGTTCTACACTAGAATGTTCTAGAGTGTTCTGGACCAAGTCTCACTAATCTAATCTAATCTACGATATAATCTACAGATAAGATAAGATAAGTTCAACACTGTCGTCGACTAAGGTCTTGTGCCGTGCGCCAGTATTCCAGGTAGAATGATCGGTGACAATCTCGAACGGTTAGGAGGGGGACAAGAAGGGGAAGGAGGGGGACAAGAAGGGGAAGGGCGAGGACAAGAAGGGGAAGGAGGGGGACAGAAGGGCGAAGGGCGAGGACAAGAAGGCGAAGGGCGAGGACAAGAAGGCGAAGGGCGAGGAGAACAAGATGAGGGACACGGAGAAGAGTGCGAAGAAGGGCCAAAAAAAAGGCTCACCGATTCCGGCTCCCCCGACCCAACCTTCTACCTCGAAGAAACGACCAGCACCTTCCAGCGATGAAGAGGGCGAAACACTCAAGCAAACGACCAAGGTTGGTGATACTTATCCGTCTTTAGTGGCAGTAGCTAAGAATGCGAATTTCACCCGATCCTCTAGTCCCCAGCCCCACACCGTCCCGATTCTCCTATGGATATCGACCGACCTACTCTCACCCTACCGAAGCCGCGTGACCACGAATCACTGAGCAACAGCGACAACGAAGGCAACACTGACGACAACGCCATCCCTCCCCTAGACCCCCTCTGCAGTCAGACGACGCCATCGAAAGATTTGAGGGCCGATATCGTCAGACTCGTCCAATCTCACAAGACACAAACTCTCCTTCTAAACGAAACACACTCGAATTATCGCGCTCTAGTTGAAGTGTCGGACAAGACAAATGCGATCAACGCGCAACTTCGAGAACGGCTTGAAAAGACCGAGGGTGAATACGACGATCTGCGAGGCCGAGTCAGCAAAGTCGAAGACGCCAACAGTTGGCTTAAGGACGAAAACAAAGAACTCAGGCAGGAGAATAAAACTCTTCGAACTCAACTCGACGATCTGAAGCGTCGCTTCGCGACGATTGACGAGCTGCAGAAGAATGTCTCGACCCTTACTGAACGGTTGGATTGTATGCTCCCGGTAGGTGATCCCTAGTGGCTGTCGTTTCCCCTCCTCTAAAACGATACGCTTCCTAGCCCAAGGACGGTTCTCCTCCCACCGTTCCTCCACCACAACAGCCTTCTTGCAATCACCATAGCTCCCCGCCTCAGCCTCTACACACCAATCCACCGGGTAATGGAAGTCAAACCAATCATGCCCCCACCCCTCAGCTTCAAGTAACTCGACTGCCCGATCTCCCACCACAGGGGCCACCTCAGGTTCAACCCACCCCTCCCCCGCAAATTCTACCGCAGAACTCCTCTCAATCGGGCGACCTCACAGGTCAACCCACCCCTCCCCAACAAATCGTGCCGCAGAGCTCCTCACACCCACCACAGGGGCCACCTCAGGTTCACCCACCCCTCCCCAACAAATCGTGCCGCAGAGCTCCTCACACCCACCACAGGGGCCACCTCAGGTTCAACCCACCCCTCCCCCACAAATTCTGCCGCAGAACTCTTCTCAATCGGGCAGTACCGGCCTCACAGGTCCAACGTCGCAGTACGCGCCTCAAAATGTTCCGAACGCTGGGTTTATGTCTCAAACCACCGCTCCTCTTCCCCCCCACCCTCCGCCTTCAAACCCCTGGGGTCAAGGCCTGTCACCGAGTTCGTACGCAGATGCTCCTATCGACCTGCGTACCATGTCTATTTCTCAACACCGTCCCCAAGGCAGAGCAGAACAGTCGAATGACGAGCTCGGGCAGTTCAGCGAGGAGGACTACGCGATGTTCAATGAATTTGTCCGAGAGCACCACATGATGATGCAAAGCGGTTCAGGTAGTGAAATCTCTTCAATGTCTTCTCATAACGCTTCTCATACTCCGAGCAACGAGTCCCACTTTGGCGAATCCTGACTGATGTCTTTTTGCGTGTAATAATGTGTATTTTCGTATAATTCCTACCACTTCATTATTCTACGGTGTGGAACCTACTCGTCTGAGGGCTGGCTCCTGCGTCAAGCTTGACTTCTGAATCTACCCGAGAGTCAGGCTTGACCATCAAAGTAGATTCAAGAGTCAAGCTTGACTGTCATCCCGGATCATAGGATGACGCTTGAACCTCGGGGTAAGTTGACTCTCGAACCACGGATGGCGGGGTGATGCCATCAAATCTCCGATTACTTCCCAACTGTCGATATAAACCACCTCCCCAGCTAGCCGTTTGCTACTCCTAAGGACCAAAAATGATTGAGTGTAGTGTCAGTATACCCATAAATAAATGTACGAAATAATATTGAGTAGCTGATAAAATGGGGAAGACATATGAGGATGTAAGTGCCGGGAGCCTCAACGAGCCTGCCCTAAAGTGGCAGGCAGGCGCCTAAGTCCGAAAGCCCTGGCAAGCTGACTTTCCTTCCAACACGACAGTCCCAAGAGTCAAGCTTGACTAAAGCTCCAATGTCAAGCTTGACTACCGTTCCAGCATCAAAGTCAAGCTTGACTATGACTCCAACGTGGTAGTCAAGCTTGACTCCGGTTCCACCGTCTCATTCAAGCTTGACTCTTCGGTAAAACCAAGAGTCAAGCTTGACAATCAATTCTAGTGGTGCCTCCATCCTGAGTCGAGCTCGGACATATTTACTCGAAAATGGAAACCAATTCCTGTTCAGGCTGTCATCTCCGACCCGGAGTACATCGTTTATTTTCCAAAGGTACGACCGGGCGTATCATCCTTCCTTTACTCCCCCTCTTCACAGAACCCATGCTACTCGAAACCACCCCACTCTTGCAAAACCTCTCGCCTGTAGAGGCACAGGACCTGCTCAACTACGCGTCGGCACGTCTTCGCCATCTGGCTATAGCCATCACCACCCCCCATGGTCTCATTGACAGTGACCCCGGTTTGAAGGAGAAATGTTGGGAGCAGTTCAAAGTCGATCTTGTATGTTGTTTCCAATTAGCGTCTAAGCACGATCTGACAGCCATTATAGAACTCAACTCTCATTTTATTTGGTTCCATGTCTCTCCTGCATCCCGGCAAGGTATGGGCGCCCGTGTTTCTGGACCACGCCCATAAACTCCTCATCAACGGTGGAATCACCTCCCCACAAAACGTCGCCGAAGTTGCTCTTCACCGCCCATTGCACGGCTTCGATGTTTTCCCACCCGATGCTGCACAGTGGTGGAGCCCCCCACTAGGCGCAACCAAGTGTACACCACTCAACCTGTCGGTTACCGAGATCGTCGAGGCATGGAAGAAGCAGGAGAAGCGTACCACCTGGTACACTGCAATGCCACCCATGATTCCCCAAGGCTTCCAGGACTGGAGGCTTCGACCTCTCCACAACGCGTTCACCAACGTTTCGGAGCAGCTGGAGTCCTTGGCCAAGCAACTCACAGTTGTCAAGGATTCCGTCGACGTCTTCCAGATCGCTTGCGCCAAGTTCGATGGGTTACTTGATATGAGTCTCGATGGAAGTGAATGGAAACTCGAGAAATGGGGTCCGCCTATCTCACCTCCAGGATCCTCCTGGAAGTGGCGGCTTGGTGACGATGGCCCACCCTCCAGCAGTAGCGACAGTGGTGATCCAGATGCAGAGGGGCCAGGGGAGTGTGGTGTTAGCTCGCTAGGGTTGGAGACATCAACCCCCGACACTTGAAAAATTAAATCTCGACGCTCGTTCATTGTAGTCCCACCCAATCCATTGTTTCTTGTCATTCTCTCGCTCTCGATTATTGCCTTATTCTCGTGGAGTGATCTAGACGCATTCAAGGTAAGCTAATTAACCACAACGCTACTCTCAAACAAACCAGGAATTGGTTTCTTGGTTTTTTCGAACGCCTCGCGTGCGTGTACAGCCATCAGCCTCCACATATCTGCCTGGCGCTTCGCGTAGGCATAATGACCTGGCGAATTCTTCGTAACCGATGCCCACCCATGACATTCCTCCTCTTTGTAGAGAAAGAAATTCACCACCCATTCCATCTCTGAGCTGAGGAGAATAAACTCCTCCCTCCACCTCTCTACTCTTGACTTCGCCCGCAGCCAGTTCACGCGGTAGACTACCCTCAGGTCAGCGAGTCATCCTATTTCAGAAACGAAGACTTCACTCACTCTCTTCCAGGTACTCCGAATTGCTCGAGTCTCCCGCCACGTTCATGTTCCATATCCACGGCAGTGCTTTATTCCTCTCACCCCTTGCGTTGGGCTTGTAAATTGCCGTTACTGCTCTGGTATCATCCCGAACGATTGGACGATACCGAAGGCGAGTGTTCTCGTCAGCTCCTAACCTGCGCAAAGCCCATCTCGCCTGGTTGTAAACCTTTATCTCGTGGCGTAAATGCTTGTCCACGGCCTTCACGGCAGCGTATCCTCGAGTCTTCTGTTTCTTCCCTTCGGCAAGGCGGACGTTCGAACGATAAAGGAACGATTTGTGGGCGATGTGGGTGCGAATACTCTCCAATGCGTCCTCAGCTTGCGCGATGCGAAGCTCCAGCTCCCTCTTCCTTGCTCTACCGAGTAACGAGGGTGCAATCCCGGAGTCATTGGCATCGAACGAGGATGGTAGAGGAACTTTGACTTCTTCTATCTCGTTCTGTGAAAGCGAGAACGGATTATCATCCGCCACATCATCCATCACGATGTCTTCGTCGTCCTCACCGCCTACTGGAGCCTCTATCTCGACAGCTTCAACGGGTGGCCCGTCATACTTCAGAGAGTCCAGGTCAGCACCGGGGAACAACGATGCAGCTGTCATGTAGAAGGTGCCTATGTCGGCGTGAAGTTGTTCCCGGCGTTTGGTGACTTCGAGCTGTTGGGAGTCGGTTTTCTCTTTCGGCAGAGACTTGATGTATTCCTTGAGCTGTATCCTGGTTTACGTAGCGTTAGTGCATCAAACGAACTCTCATAAACACTCGAGACGTACTGTCTCTGTTGAATTGCGATCCCTAACGCAAGCCAAGAGGTAATTCCAACTCCCTTGTTCGAACGTTGTTCCTTCTCCATTAACGTACTCTGTACTTTGCTGAAGGTAGGCGCTGCCAAAAGTATGATTGGCGTCAACTGACAATTCTGCAACCGCAAAAGTTACGATGTCTACTCACGCTTCTTGATCTTCGCGTTCAGAACGTCCATCGCCCCAATGACTCCTTCCTCTCTCTTTTGATTCGCCTGCTCCAACTGTTGAGTCCATCGCCGTCGTTGTAAAGCCGTCGCGGTTTCATCGAGCAGGTCGAAGTCCTCCTGTGCTCGAGTGTATTGTAGTTTTGCGTTGGACCAATTTTTGCAGATCGAAGGAACTGAGGTCGAGAAATGCCGGTGAATGGGCGTACGCCGACTATGGTCAACGGAATGAGATAAGAGAACGGGCGATGTTACTCACCAAGATTGAGCATTTTTTTCCAGTTGCTGTCGCCGAAGATTGCATCGAGAATCTCGACTCTATGAGCAAGAGTCATTGTTGAGGTGGCTCTGGCCACTTCATTGACCACTGCCCAGAGAGATTCGAGGATCTCCCCTGAAGATATACCCGCGCCTTCAATATACGTCAAAGAGTATCGCGCGTTGCACGCGTCCTGGTGGCCATGGACATGGAAGAGACCGATTCCGAAGACCAAGACGAGATCTGCTCGCAACTTGAGGTACTTGCCTTCCTCGATTCTCTGTCGGAGGCGTTTGTTGTATTGACAATTGATGTCATAGGCGAGGATTACTCGCTTTATGCCATCGGTGTTGGACAACCGAATGCCCTGGCACAAGGCCCAGTCCATATTCATCTGCCTGTAGGCATCGCACCCAAGAAGGCAAAGTCAGTGCTTTCTATAGGCCTTCGAGTGAAAGAGCTCCTCACCTCTCGCCTTTCTGGAAATCAACCACACTCCCAGGAGCAAAGGCGCCGTGCCGCATACACGCCAACGCCCCTATGCCTGTTACATCGCAGCCCTTATGCGTTTTTGACTTGTCTGCTACAGCACGGTGCTCATGGCATGTGGGCGCCTATATCCGATCAGTCAATGGTGGGAAGGATACGTTACGGTACCCACCTCTTTAACCTCCACAGAGACTCTGATGTGCTCTGCGTAGGCATCCTTTTCAGCCACGAACCCTTCCCCATTTCTGAGATACACAAGGCTGTCTTCGTTGGCGTCGTTCCGACCTTTGCGATGGACACAGGTAAAGTTTCCATCGGCCACGAAACTGCGACTATACTTCCACGCCTCCGGGTCCTTCTCCCAGTCGTCAGGAATGTTTATCCCGGGCTGGGGACACGCCGCACAAAAGAAGGCAAGTGACCCTTCCCCTGGCGTCTCCTTCGTGTGGGCAAAGCCATGTCGTTTGAGATCTTTGAGGTGACGCCATTGGCGCCCTGCGCGCCTAAGTTCACGAGTTCTATCCTGAACGCTTATCAGTGCACCCGATATCGTTCTATGTACTAGTCCTCACTCACCGGAACAACATGGGGAAAAGGTTCATTAGTGAGTCTTCGAAGTTTGGAATAGAAATGATGGGTGGATGTAAACGTTTCGAGAGAATCCAACAGGTACTCGTCAAGGAGCTCGAAGGTGAATACAGTTCGAGTCTCCTTGGCTGTCGATGGATAAAAACCATGTCGTAAAAGTTGATATTCATGGTCAACGGCGTCCAGACAGTGGCAGAAGTGGAACGGTAGGTGATGGACACCGTTCGTGTGTACTACTACGAGCACCCTCATGCCATGAACAGTGCGTTTCTCTGGCTTGGCGCCAAAGGTGAAGTCGTCGTATTCGGTCCATTCAGAAGAAGCCGCCTCCCCAGTGTCGGGATCATCGTAGGTGATCATGTCGTTGGGTTCGCATGTCCTGGTTGGGCACAAATTGACGGATACCCCACAGTTCCAGAGCCAGGAAGGAGAGAAGAAAGGCCCTTCTTTTTTGGCGACGCGGTGGAAGGGTGTTCGGTCGTGAGCGATCCTGCAACAATTACCGCAATAGATCGGGGACCCTGTGCAGCCCTCACACCTCCACCAACTGGGAGCATCGCTCACAGAGCACATAGAGCACTCCAGGTCCGTAGCAGGGAATTCCCGAGCGAGTAGCTCATTAAGATACGCCCATTGCTTGGGCAACCACTCGGCCATGTAGTCGTTCGAACTCTGCATCAATGCATCAACGACGGGCGCTTAAACAATAGAGTTCGACTCCGCTCACCTTCGACCAATTTGTTAGACGTGACGCCTCTATTTCCGTGTCACTGAGCTGGAACTCTATTGCCTCGTCATTGAAGTCGTCTACATTCCTCCTCCGGGGTGTGGACTTTCGAGGGGTGTTATGAGACGAGATCTTTTGGGGAGATGGCGTCCTACGGGCTGGGAAGAATTTGACTTTTGTTGATCTTTTGGTAGTCACTACTCTACCATGTAGAGCCCTAACGCCGAATGGGGGAGGTTTCTCGGCCTTGCGTTTGGAGATGGTCATGGTGTGCGTTGAGATTCAGAAGGGAGAAGCGCCGGCGACGAAAAGTTGAACATACCCGTATTTGGAAGGTGGCGATCGAGATCTCGATCGCAGATCATGGCATCATCATGTACCCGATCGCGGGGCTGCACCAAAGATAAAGTCTACGGCATCCCGACTTTCACATTTTTCATTCCTCCTTCTTCCATACCCCGCCCTCTCACCTCTCTGACGCAAATGGCTCCTTCGACGAATAAAGGCTCGCCTGTGAGCTTTGTACTGCATCCCAGCCAGGTTGCCTGGCTCAAGACGAAGCTCGACGATTACCGTGCGGTCAAGGGTAAATCGAAGAGAAGAGCGTTCGCGCTGAGGATCGCTCAACTTCTCAGAAACGAAATGAACACGATTTCGGGGGCGAACATGTCGCAGGCGAAGGAGGAACAACTAAATCTCGTGAGTCATCACCTTCTTCTGGCAAAGTAGGGTGTTCTGACGTACTCTCAGGCGGTCCAAAAGTGGTTCGAGAGCCACAAGTTGGACAAGCACACCTCACCCCGTAAATGGACGACTAGATGGAGCGCCCACCTTGTCTTGAAGTATCGGCGCACGCGAGCCATTACTCACCTTGCCACTCTCATCCTCAACGACCGGCCTCTCCCCGACCTTCGCAGGCTCATCGAAGACGAAGACACGGTCATCGCAGAGGCCGAGCAGTTGGAACCAATCTCTGTGGATTGGGAAAACGAAGAGGAAGAGACAGGAGACGGGGACGGGGATGGTGGGAGTGAAGACGCGGACGCGACTTCCGGGACGGTGGTGAGTGAACCTCAGTCCGCTGCGTTGCCGTCCACACCCGCTTCTCCGTTCGTGAAGTTTTCTCAAGCCACCAAGATGTTGTGGGACGCCATGACTCCCGAGGAACAGGCGTTCTACGAGAATCTGGCAGACAAGTGGCGATCAGAGGGTCCTCCCCGGGAGGAGCAGCGACGGTGAGTGTTTGTTTGTATCCAAGTGGCTCCGCAGTGATGTGTCTTGGCTCTACAGACTCGCTGAAAAGAAACTCGCGGATCGGTGCAAGGAGTTCGCCACTGCCATCTACAACGATATGAACGCGCGCGTTTTTTTTCTTCTGGGTTACGAAGACACCAAGGAGCGACTTGGTGTTACTTTGGAGTACAACCAAGAACTCACTGGCAAGCGCCCTTTTCTCAAGATGTACAGCAAGGAGGTCGAGGATTCGGGTGTCTTGGATCGCTGGTGCGAATACGTGGGCCTCTCCATGGCTGAGGATCACGAGGTTGACCCCAAAGCAGCGACTCTGAAGGCGACTCCGCACCAGAAGGTGAAGCCACTTCTCCCCCTGAAGCTCGACAAGTACGGTCGGCCCTCACTTCCGGCCCCGGACGAGAAGCCCGAGGGGTACCAGAGGGCGGTCTGGATTATTGACGTACTGCGTAGCTACTTCACGCGTCATTACGGTGAGTGTTGTTCAAATAATTTTCTTTTCGTACACTAACTGTTTGCTCTTCTTCGTCCCAATCAGTTTTGGCGTGCGGTGGGAAAGCCTTACCCCCCATAGTCAGCGATGACCGAGGTAGCGTTGACTGGAGGGACGTTCACGCTCATGCCACCGAGTGTGTGGCCCCCGGATTCCTCCCAAGCGACATTCACACAGAATTCCATGATCCTTCCCAGATGCGTGCCCCTTATCGTCGCCGTGTTTACGAGTATCTTCTTGCCCGCCAAAACGACCCCAACGTCAGGACTGTTTTCGAGTTTGCAGCTGTCCCTGTCAAGAGGAGGGACCACAATAACCGGGAATACATTGCGTGCATCCCCAGCGTGAAAGATTTCGATCCTGTCGAGTTCACCGGGGAGGAGTGGGGGGAGTATGAATTCTCCTGCTCTTCCTCCTCTTCGTCTTCGTCCTCTTCTTCGTCTCCTTCGTCTCCATCGTCTCTATCCTCATCTGTATCGTCTCTATCGTCTTCATCATCGTCGTCCCTGTCCTCATCGGCGTCTTCATCGCGTGCATCTGACGGTATGCTTTTTTCAATTCAATCGATTGGTCTTCTGGTATTAATTCCATCGGAACCTCCACAGAATTATCGTCGTCTGAAGAGGACTACGCCTTCGGGTCAGCCGAGGAATTGTCATCATCATCTTCGGATTCTGCTTCTAGGAAATCCGAAGACGATGGTCAACCGTCATGCTCAGGGGACCACGGTGAGCTGTCTTCCTCGGACGAGGAGTATGACTTCAGGGTCAACGAAGACACTCTGCCTCCCCCAGCCTCGTCGTCTTCAGACGAGTCGGATAGTCTTCCGGTCCCCAAGGCCCCGCGCAAGCGCATGCGCCTCGACATCACACCAGCCGATGAAAAGGAGTTGGAGACACCACGGCAAACAAGGGCGGGGGCTGCGAAACAGTCAAGTGCAGCCAACTCTCGCGGTGGGTCGTCACGGGGCAATCGCAGGGGTGGGCGGGGGAGAAGGTGATGTTGTTCGCATTGGAGGGTATATAGTATCGTTGGTAGAACATCTTGTTTGTTATCATTCTTGAATGTATGCGTTGTGGGGCACTTCACTTGGGACATGACTTGTTTATATTGGTTACTCAAGTCAAAGAATAGTTTTGGCCAGACGGTCAAGCTAGCTTGAGTCTGAATCTACGTAACTTGGGGTCAAGCTTGAGTTTCGAACCCACACTAGAGTCAAGCTTGACTCTCGTTCCTACCTGAGAGTCAAGCTTGACTCTCGTTCGTTCCTACCTGAGAGTCAAGCTTGACTCTCGTTCGTTCCCTTGACTCTTGTTCCTACCTGAGAGTCAAGCTTGACTCTCGTTCCTACCTGAGAGTCGAGCTTGACTCTCGTCTTGACTGTCCTGCAAGCTCGACCTCTCGAGGAAGCGATGTTTAAGTGGCTGGACGCTGAGAGGAAAGGTGGATCAGGACGGGACTCTCCCTTCGTGCCTCACTTGTAGGTCTTCTCGGTAAGTAACGAAAAAATGTAATATATTTTGTATTAATCAACAGGTGCAGTCATTATCCGAAGGAGGTGCCATAAGGTAATCGAAGTAGTTAGCTAGCTCCTCCACTGTGAAAGGGAAGAGAGAACGGTGGGGTGATACGTAGTCAATCATGGGCTTACTTACAGAAAAATGACAGACGATATGGTCTCCATCGCCCCCCGTAACCCAGCCATGGCAAATGAGGTGACCCAGTCCGATGCAGATTGTCCCCGGGTCAAAATAGAATTCACGTCCGAGAGTAGGGGCCGTAAAACGATTCGCCAATACGTCTCCTGCGGACAGAAAGAGGTCGAATCCCATTGGATGGGTATTAGCGTACCGGTGGGGAGGTTGGCTATGGTCGTTATAAATGCTGAAAGACTGAAATGGGGATGCCCATCGACGCAGGACCTCATCGAAGACCCAGGGTTGGCCAACACTGACGTCGCGGTTGGAAAGCCGTTCGAACATTTCCAGTGAAACGTGAAAAAGGGCTGGCTGGGCGAGGGCGAGAACGGCACCGAGTATGGCCATGGTGTCTGAACCTATGTTGTCGAGGAGCCAAAATCCGTGGTAGCGTTCATCCACACGAAAGGGAAGGCATGGAAAGGGTAAATCCTATGGTTTACCTCTCAGTATACTTAATGCACAAGGAGATTGGATACCTACGGAAGGAAGGGAGGACCGCGACCGCGGTTCGAAATCGGCAGGGAAAAGATGGGTTGCACCACGCGCCAGCTGTGGGCTGTCCTTGAAACGTTTCGTGTAGTCGGCCTTAGAGAGTGATGGTGGACGACCGAACGGGGGGTTGGGGGTAGCTGACACCTTTGCCACAGCGTCACATATCTCTGTCTGCAAGAACGTCAGTAAACACTGGGTAGGGGGGGGGAGAGGGGGGTCCGTTGTGAAGGAGAGTAGCGGCCTCACCCATCGGTCCTCCCGGATGATTGCAGGGAGATACAACCAGAGAATGCGACCATTTCGATCGATGAATGCGCATGGTTCGTGTTCTACGTCTAGATATTTTCTTGTACCGTCAAATGTCCCTATATTGGGGGGAAACCGCTCCATCTGTTCTCCTTCGGTCAGATCTTCTTGCTCGAGGACTTCGGCGTAGTCGTAGACATCCCATTCAAGTCGAACTGGGCGGAATAAATAGAGTGAACAAGAAAGAAAAGACTCCACTTACTGGCGCGTTGTAAGGCCTGAAAGACGACAAAAGCAATTTGATGAAGCTCGGCCTTGATTGCAATGGGAACGTCTAACCAAGGGATCTTGTGAGACGGGTCGAAGAGGCTGTTTAGGACGTGGAAGGCGTAAAAGCCATAGTTGAGGGTGGTAAGAAATATCTCAGGGAGTTCATAACGAGTACGGAAGACGTTGAGGTCGAAGCCCTCCATTGGTCGACGGTGGGGGTGACGGTGAGAAGAAAGGGAGGGACAGGCGTAGGGGATTTTCGCGAAAACCGGGGCGTGATCGAGGACTGGAGAGTGAAACCAGGGTGGAGCCGGGAGCGCGAAAGTCCTAATTAGGGTCAGGAGATGGGAAAATGTACCGGCAAGAAATCAGAGCTCGGAAATATGAAAATGACGCTAGGTAGTGCCGGTTTGGTTTAGTCAAGCTTGACGGCGAGATCGAGCTCGGGAATTCGGGTCAAGCTGGGAAGGTAAAGCTTGGGACAGCAGAAGGAGGGGCGATCCAAGCTCGGAAATGTCACGGTTGTAAGCTGGGGAGACACATGTATTCGTGCTCGAGCTTGGAGGAAGCTAAATCTCGAGCTTGACACGAGGGTTTTAGGCTACGGTCGAGCTTGGAGGCAAAAATCAAGCTTGATAAAGGAGGCAAAGGTCAAGCTTGGACATTGACTACGGAGCTGAGGTCAAGCTTGGACAAACCTGAATCTCGAGCTTGACTCGAGGGTTTTAGGCTACGGTCGAGCTTGGAGGCAAAAATCAAGCTTGATAAAGGAGGCAAAGGTCAAGCTTGGACATTGACTACGGAGCTGAGGTCAAGCTTGGACAAACCTGAATCTCGAGCTTGACTCGAGGGTTTTACGATACGGTCGAGCTTGGAGGCAAAAATCAAGCTTGATAAAGGAGGCAAAGGTCAAGCTTGGACATTGACTACGGAGCTGAGGTCAAGCTTGGACAAACCTGAATCTCGAGCTTGACTCGAGGGTTTTACGATACGGTCGAGCTTGGAGGCAAAAATCAAGCTTGATCAGGGAGGCAAAGGTCAAGCTTGGACACTGACTACGGAGCTGGGGTCAAGCTTGGACAAACCTGAATCTCGAGCTTGACCCGAGGGTTTTACGATACGGTCGAGCTTGGGTAGCAAGGTCGAGCTTGGACATCAACAGGGGAGCTGGGGTCAAGCTTGACGGGTTATGAGGATAGAGGTCCCGAACGCGCAAGGTCCCGTCATAGGTGCCGTGAACCCAGCACTATCCGAGCTTGGAAAACGAAGGTCGAGCTTGGAAAACAAGTACTCGAGCTCGAGGCGAGGGCTTCGAGATATAGTCAAGCTTGAGGGGACCGAAGGTAGCCTGTTGGACATTGCTTCCGTTTGATATACTTCAATTGTTGTATATAGTGTTCCATTAATAAATGTGAATTTGATGTAGACTCCCAAGCTCGGAGTGCGACTCCGTGGACGTGATTTTCCAAGCTGGCCACTGCAGCCCGGTATCACAAAGGGAAAATGCAGTCACTCTGGCCTGTACCTTCGGGAATCCGCTACTGACTGCCCTGGGTAAACATGTACGAACATTTGGTATGTACCCTCATATCCACCTTTATGCCCTGTCCCGCTGAACTAGTGCACTCTAGACTACTACATTGAACCGATGGCTTAAGCTGGCAGATGCAGATAAAAAGCCTAAATTCAGGGTAGTCATCTCAGGAAACAAGTCGGATCCAGATGATTGGACCAAGCAGCGTATCGATGGCGGAGTGTACAAAGACAACGAGAAACCGACTGAAGACCATCCGCCCAAGTGGGAAGCACTCGAGCTAGGTATCGAGGTCAAGCGACATCACACCTGCGACTTCTTCAGCGACGAATATCAGAAAGGCTATTCTCCCAACTCGAAAGCCAGCGAAGGCGCACTTGGTCAGGCCATGTCATACTCCTCGCTTGTTTTCTTTCACCAACACCGCACACACCACTTCTCCATCCTTATTTTCGGAACCAAGGCTCGAATCGTTCGATGGGACCGTGCTGGCCTGTTATTCACCAATGCATTCGACTGCTTCGACGATCCCCAGAAGTTGGGCGAATTCCTCTGGCGATATGCTCAGATGGACTCCGTCGACAGAGGCCACGACCCGACCGTTACGAGGGTGGTGGCCAATGGGTACGAAGACACTCTGATGGATGAAAGGGCCAAGGTTTCGCGAAAGGTCGAGGAGGTTGTTGTTGATGACGAGATCAGGAAGCTGTTCGACGAAACCGTATCGACTCATGGTCCAAGACACATACTGCGCGTTCAAGGCAAAAAATTCCTGGTCGGCAAACCACATACGTACACCACTGTCCTTGCAGGTCGCGGCACCCGCGGCTATATCGCGATCGACCTCGACGACCCGAAGGGACCTTTTGTTTTCCTCAAAGATACCTGGCGGGTTGTGGGGGAAGGCTTGGATGAGGAGGGGAAAGTCCTTGCCGACCTCAACAGTCCCGACGAGCAGGATCAGAGGGGTCGGAAGTATATCCCAACGCTGGTTTGCCACGGCGACCTCGAGGGCCGGTGGCAGAAAACCGACTCTCAAGACTTTTGGCTCACTCGCAATCCCAATTCCGACCAGAAGTGTCCCATGCGAACCCACCAACATTACCGCCTCGTTGTAAAGGAGGTCGGTCTGCCTATTAGCAACTTCAGGAACGGACGCGAAATGGTTACTCTCATCTCGCACGGTGTTGCCGGTGAGCCTTGTGTTGTAGGATGGTCTCATATACTGGTTTGCTGATTTACGTTGACAACCAGCGCATGGCTACGGCTACAAGAAAGGATACATGCACCGGGACATTAGTGCCGGAAATCTCTTGATCTTCGTCCGTCAAGACGTTGTAAACGGCCAGTTGAAAGAGGAGCGTCATGGACTCCTCACGGACTGGGAGCTGGCGAAGAAGCTCACAGACAAGGGGCCACGGCAGCTGGAACGGACAGTGAGTATTCTGAACCCCATGAGCGCCCTCTGCGATGTCTAACTCTTTCGGTTAGGGTACCTGGCAGTTCCTCGCCGTCGACATCCTCAACAATCCCTCCAAGCCAGTCGAGGTGTGGCACGAAATGGAATCGTGGTTTCATCTCACCCTCTGGCTTGCGGTCCAGTATCTGCCCCACAATTACGAAGAAGTCGCGGAGTTTATGTACGAATATTTTGATGCCACTCAAAAGGTACAAGGCGGTTATACATGTGGCATACTCAAGGCGACTACCATGGAATCGGGGGTCATACGCTATGCTACAAAACCTCTCGAGTTTGGCACCCAGGACGATCCCTTCTTCCCTCATGCCATGAACACTGTCGTTTATACCCTTGCAGATATCTTCTCATATCGGTATAAACAGATCGTACCTCGCCCTCGAGTCAGAGGACCGCCACCTGGTCTAACCCAGGTGCAGCTCAAGGCACTCGAAAACATTGACGATCAAGTCCGCTTCGAAGAGCTGCTCCTCGAATATATAAACGGCCCCGGCTGGCCCGAAAATGACAAGACTAAGCCTCAGGTTTCCCTGAGCGAACGGGAGCCATTCCCTTCAAGCTACTGTCGCACTCGCGGCAGTAAGCGGCCACCATCGGATGGGACCGCGGACTTGGATGTGCCACAGCCGAAGCATCCAGCAGTCGCGGGTCCTTCGGGGAGTCGACCTAAGAGAGGATAGGGTCGGATGGTGGTACGTTCTGTAGTTGTCACGTAGATCGTCCTATTAGTACTCATTTTAAACCCATTTCCAATGATTGTGATGCACCCTCCGCAAGGGTGGCAGTCACACAGGGAACTTAAGGCCACAACAAGATTTAACGGTGCGCTCCACTGACCGTCATGTTGCGATGTTAAAATCTTCGAAACATGGGCCGCCTAGTCCCTCTTCTTGTTCTCCCTGTTTCGCCTTTTCCCGCGGCTACTACATCTCCGAGGCCCCTTGCCAACGTTGCCATCACCCAAACCGCTATTATCACGACCGTACCAACTAGTATTCCCAAGGCCAGACCCTCGCCCAGCTTTCTCCCATTCCCTTTTGTACTTCTCACTCCTTCTTGTGGGTCGGATATCTTCAATCTTTTCTCTACACAACTGCACATAAAAAAAAAAAAAAAGATACAAATTCAATTCATTTGGTTCAAAACCACCACATAAATGAGTACGATAATGTAAGAGAGACGAAAGAAATGCGAGTCGTGATTCATGCGTAACGAAAACAAAAAGCCAGAAACAATGTCGTAAGGACGAGAGCGAGTATCGTAAAAGACGTAGATGAACAAAGATGAGTTGCGATGAGAGTACAAGTCAGCAGTCATAACAAAAAAATAAAGCAATGTCAAAAAGTCTCTTCAAGAGACAGAACAAACGAACAAACGAAAACATGAATGATGGGTATGCAATGTAAGTGTTGGATGATGGTGATGAGGAAACACGGGGTATCGCCGCCCGAATGAATGAAAGAAAAGAAAAAAGGTATCCCAGATTGCAAACGAAAAAAAGAAACGAAACAAGACGCAGTCCGAACCAAAAAAAAAACCAGTGGTCAACATGCACGGTTCGAACGCACACACCCTCTACTCCCCACTAACCCACTCACCCCCACTCGCCAAACTAGCAAACACCCCCTTCCTCCTCACCAACTCATCAAACGTCCCCTCCTCCTTCACCTCCCCATCCCCAATCACAACAATCCGATCACACATCTGCATAACCTGAACCTTGTGTGTCACCATCACAGTCGTCATCTTGGGCGTCTCTTCACCATCACAGTGGGGGTACTCCAAAGCCGTACCAGCACCAGACCGCGAAGACGACACAAGATCCCGAATAGTATCCATAACCAACGCCTGGTTCTCCGGATCCAAAGCGCTGGTACACTCATCCAGAACCAGCACACCTCCCTCCCCCCTCTGCACCTGCGTGTTCTTCTCCATCCTCGCCAGCGCCCTCGCAATCTGGATCCTCTGCGCCTGCCCACCACTAACCAGCCCACCCCCCTCCCCAAGGAACGTCTCATACCCCTTCTCCATCCCACTCACAAACTCGTGCGCACCAGCCCTCCGCGCAGCACGCTCCACATCCTCCATACTAATCCCCTCCCCACCATACGCAATATTCTCGTGCACGCTCGCATCAAAGAGGTGCGGGTGCTGCGACACGACGGAGAGGTGCGAGCGGAGGTGCGTGATGTCCATATCCTGCGTGTCGTACCCGCCGAGGAGGATGGACCCGGACGAGGGCTGGTAGAGCCGTTGAAGGAGGGCCGCGATCGTGGATTTGCCGCACCCAGAGGCGCCGACGAGGGCGACGCATTCGCCGGGGCGGATGGAGAGGTTGAGGTTGCGGAGGACAGGCTGATCCGGTCTCGAAGGGTAGGCAAAAGTGACGTTGCGGAGGTCGATGGCACCCGTTAGAGGCGCCGGCTTGAGGAACCCGCGTGATTCAGCAGTCGTCGACGTCGATAGGTCCACAAGCGTGTACAGATCCGCAGTAGCCTGAACAGACTTTGCAATCTTCTCAGCTAAAACACACAATCAACGCATCAGCAATCCCATCTTCAACAACCACCCAAAAAAGAAAAAACACAAAAAAAAACTCACTAAACGCCATCAACTGACTCCCAATCGTCACCGTAAAAACGACCAAATTCAAAACCTCCACCATCTGCAAATAATCATACCTCTCCTTCACAATCAAAACCGCACCAACATAAAACAACAACGCCTCGGCCAAATAAATGAGCCCGCTCGCCACACCATACGTGCACCCCTCCACAAACGCACCACGCACACCCGTCTTCAGGGCAACCTCCACACCCTTCTCAAACTCCATCTCAAAATGACGGTGGAGGGAGAGCGCACGGATGCCCCGGATATTGGTGATACCATCGTAATACGCCTTGGCCAACGCTTCACGCGCACGCTTGTTCCGCACCTCGCAGCGTCCAACGAGCGTAGTCTGCACAGACATGATCGTCGCAAACACAGGCGCAACAGCCACACCCACAAGCGTCAACTCCCACCCAATCACCAACGCCCAAATCAACCCCACACTCAACATCGTAACAACAACCACACACTGCCCCACCACAACCGCCACCAAATTCCTCGAATCCTCCGCATCCTTCACAACCACCTGTACTAACTTGGCAGGCGAATGCTTAGGTCGGTAATCGAAGAAGGCGAGATCCTGTTTGAGGAGGTTCGAGTACGCCCGTTTGCGCAACTCGGTGACCCAAGCTACACCGCACACCTCCATCACAAAGTACTTGATACCGAGGAACAGACCATCGAGCGCCGCGATGCCGAGGACGATCCCGCCAAAGGTGTTGATGATCCCAACGTTTTGAGCGCCGATGCTCACTTCGAAGAGGAGGCGGGAGAGGAGGAAGGAGAAAGTGGGCGTCATCGCGCCTGAGAGGATGCAGACCAGAAGACCGAAGAAGAGGAGAGCCTTGTTCGGGATCGAGGGGATGACTTTGCGGATGAGAGCCCAGAAGGGTGGAGGTTGTTCTTCAAAGGGTGCGTCCTCACCCTCTTCACCCTGCGGTTTCTCGGAATGAGGAGCACCATCCCTCCTCCGCCTTCTCAATCGATCAACCAGCGCCTTCCGCCCCTTCTTCACCTGCACCTCCTCCGCCTTGTCCTCAACTCCAGAGAGGTGCGTAGCACTCCTCGCAAGACCCTTCGGCCTAACACGCTCCCTCTCCCTCCCACTCCTCGCAACACCCCCACTCTTCTTAACAGCCTCCTTCTCCTTCTCAAACACTTCCTCCTCTTCGTCCACCTCGTCCTCATCCACGCCATCCATATGTTCTTGATCCCGGCGTCGACCATCCTCCTCAGCCCCACGCGCAGCACCAGCACCCTTCCCCATCCTCGACGCAGCAGACCCAAAAGACGTACTCGTCGGCGTAGAAGGGACGAACGGCAGACTAAACCTCTTGCCCTTCCTCGGTGACACACCACCACCACCACCACCCTGCCCTCCTCCCACTCCTCCTCCTGGCGCACCTCCAGCCACAGCCACAGAACCACCACCACCCCCACCGGCGTAATGAGTAGACTCCTCAACAACAGGCGTAACAGGCTCCACAAACGCACTACTCGGCCTCCTCTTCCTCGGCGCTCCTCCAACAGGGTTCTTCCCATCCTTTCCCTTATCCTTCGAAGACTCTTTATGATGCGAGTAGAACGACGGGCCGTAGGGGTAGGGATAAGGATACGAAGACTGGTGCCGGTGGTACGCCGACGAATAAAGCTGCGTCGAGGATCGAATATAGTTAAAAAGCTGACCCGAGGAGCGATTATGCGGATGCGGATGAGGGAAGAGCTGCGAAGAGGACCGGTTATGGTTGCCCAACTGCGTCGAATTCCTCGGCGAAGCCGCACGCGAACCGCTCGAAGAATGCCAGTGGGGGTGCAAGAACTGCGAACTCGAACTCGCAGCCGCCGCATGACCCACGGCAGCGTTTCCATTCCCACTGACATGTTGCTGACCACCAACAAGCTCAGCAACAACATCAAACATCCAATTCCCCAACGTCAGCGGACGAATCAAACTCTGATGCTTCATCGTACCCGTCCGATCCTTCCCCATCACAATCCCCTCATCCTCATCCTCCTCTCCACCGGGACCATACTCCCCATCCTCCTCGTCGTCGGAGAACAAAGCAGCAGCAGCTTCATCGTCCGAGGAGGGCGAGAGCTCCTTCTCGGGTAGACACCCACCCATGAGTTCTTGCGCTTGCATCATCTTCTTAAACTCGCCTCGTCCATCTGCATCTGCATCCTCTCCTTCTCCCCCATCCACCAACCCCACGTCGTACCCAGACTCGCCTCCCAACGCAACTCCCACGCCAGGCTCATACCCCCTCTCCAAATCCCCTCTATACCCCTGCTCAACCACCCGTCCCCCCTTCACCACATACACAAAATCATCCTTCTGTATTTGTGACAAATCGTGCGTGATGACGATCGTCGTCTTGTTACGCCTCCAGTGCTTCATTGCTTCGAAGACGAGGATGCGCGAGGTTGGGTCGAGAGCTGAGGTTGCTTCGTCTGTTCGAGGGGTAAGGGAGAGTTTGTTGGTTTTTGTTCACGTTCGTTGTTCGTTGGGTAGAGTTAAAGGAGGTCGTTGGTTGGGTATAGTTAGGGGAGGTCGTTGGTTGGGTAGAATGGAGGCCCGAGGGAGAGTGTTGGCGTTCGTCGTTCGTGTTCGTTGTTCGTTGGGTAGCGTTGAGGGAGAGTTGCGGGATGGTCGATGACCGTCGGATGGACAAAGGCAAGCGAGAGGAGGGCGGTAGCCAAATGCGATGTACGATGATAGACATGATAGACAACGATTGGCGATGATAGACAGCGATTGGCGATGATAAACATCGATTGGCGTGAACGAGAAAACAAAAAACAAAAATAGTCAGAAACGACACCCCAAACACCCGAGTAACAAAGCACACGCACCAAGAATCAAAACCTCAGGATTCCTCAACCTCGCACGCGCAAACGCGAGCCGTTGTCGTTGACCACCGCTAAGCGAGACGCCCCCTCCTCCAGCTGTTATCGTTCATTGTTCGTAGCGAAGGAACGCATAGACGCATTCGTGTGTCGTGGATAAGGAGAGCATTCGCATGTGAAGCAACGCATCGACCCATTCATGACGAAGGACCGCATATAGTCGCATCCGCGACGAAACAACACACCAGCCACACCAAAACGAAGCAAAATAAAAACAAAAAAGGAGCCAAAAGTCGTCAGCCATCTACCCTCCAAACAAACCACCCACGAAGAAATAAATAAAAAACGCACCTCCAGAACTACTCAAAACAGTATCATACCCATCCGGTAAATCACGTACAAACTCATGGATGAGCGCCGCTCGACAGGCTGTTTCAACGTCTTCTTGGGTGGCTATAGTGGGAGGGGGAGGGGGAAGGCGTCAGCATCGGATACGAAAAAGCGGGAATGAATTAGGGGAGTAGGCATCAAAATCCAGAACGAAAGCGGAACCCAAAACCAAAACCAAAAATAAAACCAAAAACCAAACGGCGCATCGCAACCAAAAGACCAAGACCAAACACGCAAGTAAAAGACCAAAAACAAAAAAGGACTACCCACCTCCATCAACAACACAAGCCACATTCTCAAACACCGTCTTGCCCTCGAGGATCACACACGTGCTCTGCGTAACACCCATCACCTTACTCCGGACCCACTTCTCATCGAGGTACGAAACGTCCTGTTCGTCCAACGAGATGTAGCCTTTATTCCTCCTACTACTGCTACTCGTCGTCGTCCCAGCGGCTGTTCGGCGAGTGGGGTTGGTCGGTGACAGGGGGATTTCATCGAGGTCGATGTCGTGGGAGCGAGAGGCGGGGTCGTCGGAATCGGAGGGGTCTTTAGGAGGTAAATGCATATCCAATTCCGGTGTATCACCCATCGGAAACCCTCCACTCCCCCTCCGCGAGCCATTAAGCTCATACATACGCAACAACAACTGCGCAATACTCGACTTGCCACTCCCACTAGCACCCACAATAAACGTCATCTCCCTCGCAGGAAGGTACATCGACACATCCTTCAGCACCTCCACATTCGGACGCGTGGGGTACGCGAACGTAACATTGTGCAGCGCGAGCTCGCCGTGGCATTTCGCTGGTGTGATTTTGCGGAGCTTGCGGATGCCTTTGGAGGAGGGTTGTTGTTGAGCGTGGGGGTGGGCGAGGGTGGAGAAAGTGAGTGTTGTAGAAGGCGAGATGGGCGTGACGCCATGCCCCGCAGTCGTCGTCGTCGCAGTCGTCGGACTCGGCGGTACACATCCCTTCTCTCCAGCATGGGCTCCATACGGTGGAGGCGGCGGGGGAGACCCCGCCCCACCCTCCAACGCACTCTCAACAGGCCCATCACCGACCAACCCCACCAACTGCCCCATCGCAAACTTGCCCTTCGCAACCGCAATAACCTGCGGAATACACATCTGCAAATTACTCGTCGCAATCAAGCACGCCCAAAACACAGCCATCACGTCCCCAGGGCTCACTTTACCCTCTCTAACCAACTTAGACCCGAACCAGAACCCCTGCACGAACATGCACATCATGACGAACTGGGCGATCCCGGAGGAGAGACCCCAGACGAGGGAGAGCTTCTTGGCGTAGGAGAGCATGGATTTGAAGGATTGCCGCGCGCGGGCGAGTTCGAAGGGTTGGGCGTTGAAGGCTTTGACGGTTGAGATTGCGTTGAGCGAGCGCTCGATGAGGGTCGCGGAGACGGAGATGCTGTGGCGTTCGGCGAAGAGGAGCGGTGTGGCGAAAGATTGCGAGAGGGCTTGGATGATCGTCAAGAGCGGCACGGCGGAGAGGATGACCAAGGTGAGTTGGTACGAGCGCACAAACGCGAGGATGAGGCATGTTATTGTGGTTGTTAAATGCTGGATTAGGAGCCCCGAGGCGAGCGAGGTGGCGTAGCGCACGTCGTCTGTCTCTCTGTTCAAAAACTTAGCTTTCGATTCAATTAGAAAGGAAGAACACGAACCTGGTAAACTTGGCCATCATCCCACCAGCGCCGACAGGACCCTCCTCGCCCTCCTCCTGCTCCCCATTATCCCTCGCCTCCCCAATGGCATCAAACCACCCCATATCCTTCCCCATCACACCCCGATACACCCGCCTCCTCACCTCACCCGTATTAACTTCCCCAACCCAGATCCACAAAAAGCTCGTCAAACTCCCCAGTGCCAGACTGCCAAACGCCAGCCCCACAAGGCTCAGAGCAGCGAGACCCACCCCGCGGAGCAGATCGCTTTTGTCTTGGGCTGTAGCGTCGGAGAGCGGGTATTGTGCAAAGGCGTCAAAGGCTTGGCCGACGACGTAGGTCATGAAAGGGGCGATGCCGCCGGAGATGAGGGAGGTGAGGATGGCGGGGAGGAGGAGTAAGAAGAAGTGCCGCCGCGAGAGGAGGGAGAAGAGCAGCCGGATGGAGGGTTCGACCTGCGTCGTCGTCTGCAGCGGCGACGGCGACGGCGAGTCGTTGCCGTCCTTCTCATTGTCGTTGTTGTCGTTGTTGTGCATAGCTGGTGAAGGATTCTTGAGATCCGCGATGGAGACTGTGTCGAGCGAGGGGCGGGGCGTGACTTCTAGTTCGTACCGCAGCTCATTGTGGTGGTTGTGCACCTCGTTCGCGTGCGTCGTGTCCACTTTCAGAGTCGGTGGTGTCGGTCGAGGCATCGTTTCTAGATGTGTATGTCTTGTCGTCGGTGCTTGGTCCCTCCTCCAAGGAGAAAATGGAATGTAGATCGAAAACTTACCGTGCTGTGCTATAGAATGTGGTCTTTGAATTCGTTATTGTTATTGTTATTGTTGTTCTTGTTCGTAGTATGTGTAGGCCTTTCAATCTTCAACTTGTTCTTCGTGTACGAGTCGTTCAGATAGTGGTTGTGTTGTAAAGAGCGAGTAGCCGTTCGTCGTGTGTGTCGTCGTCGTCGGCCGGTGGTGTGGTTGAAAAGGATCGGGAGGGAGTTGAACGAAAGGGGCGATGGCGACCGTACGACGGGGAAGGGGTGGTGTTGCTGCCGTTCGACGAGGGATGGTGCTACTGCCGACGAGGAAGGGAGGTAACACTCGAGTGGACCCTCGTAGGGAAGCGAGCAACGAAAAGGCTCGAGTAGCTGAAGTGAAAGGGACCCAGGGAAAGCGAAAGAAAGAAAGTGATGAAAGAAAGGGAAGGAAGGAGGGTATACAATAAAGGGAAACCCTAGACCTCTATTCCTTTCCTTCAATTGTCTGTCGTAGAATCCAAGGGTCGTAAAAGGACAACTTGTCGTCGACCCGTAATCTTGGTCCCCGTAGACCCGCGAGTCGTAAACGAAAGGGTCGAGTCGTCGGCTGCCGTGGGTCGTGAATCGTCAGAACACAAATCGTAGGCGTCGTGAATCGTCAGTCAAACACAAAAAATCGTAAGCGTAAGCGTAATCCTCGGTTCCCTCCTCGCCAAAAAGACAAAAGAGAACCGCCAAAGCCCAAAGAAAGACTCGAACCGTGCCGGTGAACAATTGAACCTGTCCAACCACATCCCCGGGTTCCCTTTTGTTCCTCGTACGTAACATTGCCGTAACAAAAAACGAACTTGCAACAATTGGGTTGTTGCTATTTTAGGACGCGGCCCTTGTCCAGGTTGCTTGGCTGTGTTTGCCTGTCTGCCTCTTCAGGCAACTCAACCCCTATCGGTACACGTGGAAACGCCGAAAGACAATAAGCTTTTTTTCCTTCCCCCTGGACAGGATAGCCCTGGTTATCTCCGGGCTTTTGTCCCTTCGAAGCTCTTACATAGCTCACTCAGACCACGAACTGTTAATAGGTACACACACACAGTTCCTTTGACTCCTTTCTGCGTTTCCCGTGGGTAGAGTCTATAGACTCCCTGTGTCGGGCAGTGACAAAGGACATAACCTGTGTATTGACATCGACCGCACCACATTGTACATACCGACGACTCACGAGAAATGAGAACGACAAACGACGTCTGTACGTCGAGTCATGATCAGAGACATCCTGTTGCGAGTGCAAGCGCGAGGGGAAAAAAGTTAAAACCTTTTAGGTCAAAGGCCTATGTCCTGTCGTTCCTTTTTCTCCATACAGACCCTGAGTACTGAGTACTGAAGGACTGATCAAGCGCAACTGACACTGCAACTGCGCACTAGCTCTGCGCAGACGTCGACGTCATCGCAGTGGGTGGAACCAAAATGCACCCGGTGCCGGCTCTCTCGCGTGTGCTTGTTTGTTGCTCGCTTGAGCTTATTTGCACGCCAAGTGGAAGCCAAACACAAACTGTGCACTCCGTCACCATGACTCGGGCGCTAAAAAGTTCAAACCTCTGTCTCTCCCGCTCTCTCCCTCGAGGCTCAACGTCCGTAATGGCACCAGAAATAGGTGCATCAAAAAAGAAATACTATACATGATTCCCATTCCCCACCTGGATAGTCGCTCGGAGAACGCGTACCTCCCAAAGGTCGAGCCTGAGCAGTACAATTCGGTAACAAGTACCATACTATTTTACATCATGTATACAAAACTATAGGATCACAAACGTTCAATATCATATCACCACCACCACCACCACCACCACCACCACCACCACACACACATCCGTCCAAATACCAATCCACCCACATCCAACACCACCTATCAAACTCAACTCACCGCACCTTAGACTTACTCGGTATCAGGCGCCTCCGAATAAAGCACCTCCCCATTCTTCTTAAACTCCCTAATAACCTTCTGCCCCCCATCCTTACTAACCACCCACTCCATAAACCTCTCCGCCACATCCCTATGCCCGGGGTTCTTACTCAACATCACATGCGCCGGATTCAACAACTCATCATCATGCCCATCCACCTGCTCGTCCGACCCAATCTTAAATACCGTCAATTTGGCGTTCACGTCTGCCGGGCTTGAGAACCACGTTCCTTTATCGGTGATGGTGTACTCTTTGAGGAGGGCCGCGGCGTTGAGGGCTTGCAGCGGGTACTGCGTGTATTGGTGGTACCATTTGGAGTACGGCAGGCCCCAGGGGACTTGCCCAATCTTGATGAAGAGCTCCGAGTCTTTGATGTTCGTCGCGGATTTGTCGAAACGGGAGAGGAAGCGGACGGGTGGACGATCCGAAGGGGGTTTCTGGGCCGATGATCATTCGATATGAGAACCCAGAGGTAGTATGTACATGCGTAGTCACGAATTGAACACTCACCACCACATCCGCGTTTCCGCGCGCGACGATCTTGTTGAACATCGTGAGCACATCATCGTTTTCGGCGCTCAAGGCTGCTGGATTCTCGAGGGGTCCGACGAGCATGAAGTGATCCTGTCATCCATCACATCGACGTCAGCCAAACATGCAAGCGAGAAGAAGAAGTGAGTAGTGGGGGAACGTACACGGAACCCATATACCCGTTTAACAGACGCCCCGCTCTTGAGCGACTGCTTCTCAGCAGCCTCATTATACGTAACAGCCAAATCCACAGCCTCAGCCTCAATCAACCCCAAACTCTCCGTCGTATCACCCAAATACCATCCAACCTATAGCACCCATCATTCATGAACGTTGAACACTCATTGACATCCAGTCCACATATCAGCACGGCACTCACCTTGAACGGCGGCGCCAACCCATTCTCCACATTATACTTGATAAACGCGTCCGCCCATGCTTTGATCAAGCCCGATTGGCCAGACCCGCCAGTCGCGATACGCAGATACATCTCCGTCGCGTTCGAGTACCCGCCATCGTACACCTCCTGAGGCGAAAGCGACGCGTCGGACGCAGCGACGCCCGATCCGGAGTAGAGGCCATCGGGGACGTCGACCGCGGCGGGCTGGTTCTGCGCCGAGCGGGGGAGGAGGTTCGGGATGGTCGGGAGGGTACTGTACGAGTAATGGATGGAGGGGTGGTATCGGCGGTAGATCGTCATCGATCGACGATAATCATGAGAGAGAGAGGTTAACAATGTTATGTGTGGATGGATGGGGACATCTTAGTGCTCAGGTACACTTACATGCTAGCCCCGATGTTCGCGCTGAGAGTGGTCCTCTCCGCCGACGACTTGTTCCTACCACCAGCAGTGAAGATGAGAGACGCCATTGATGGGATGATGATCGTTGTTCTGAGTATATACGAATTGAGGCAGCCTGCAGGCAATTTCTAAGATATAATTCTTGCATTAGGGAGAACCCGAATGATTGATGTAACATCATGATGTGACCGTGATAGAGTGTGCCTTCGATTGGTGCCAGGCAGAAGAAGACGCTAAATATATATGACTGAGAGTAGCATTCATGGGCAGCAGGAGTACTCACGAGTCACGACTTGCCCATCTTTCATCACTCGACAAGTGCCTTGGAGGCGACAGGAATCCTGCCAGTCACACCGTGGCGGTGGTTCTAATTGGAAAGTCATCGACCAGAGACGAGGATGCCCGCATAATACATCGGAACGGGGATTGTTACCCCAATATCCGGCTTATGGAGAGACCTCACAGGAAAACCGTCCTGAGTCCTTTCATCCGTAAATTCAAAGGTCACTGGAAATGCTTCTTCACACCTATTCATGTTCAGCGGTTAGCGACGATACAATAGGGGACAGGCCAATGGTCTTCGTACAACGTACTCAGTGCGGTAAGCTGTGTACAGGTATCGTCGCGAGCGTTTGACGCGCTCGGATAATTTCCTTTTCGTCATTGCAGGTGAGAGACCGGTGGGTGAGAGGGAAGTAGGTGGCGATGTGAGCGAGTCGCAAGTCTTTTGTGGCGAATATTGCGTGAGTTCTGTCAGTTGGTATACCTTGCCAGCAACTGACGATACGGGGGGAGAGGAAGCGGAAACGTGGATTGCTGATAAAGCCTCCTCCATCGAGGCTTTTATGACCCGCTGGGCCAAACCACACCTCGTCGACCTTCTCAAGCGCTCAAGAGTACCCCTATCCCTAGACTGCCTCCTCGATGTTCTTGGGGTGACGCTCAAAAGCTCGAAAGGCTTTCCGCTACCTAGAACTGCGTCTTCTCGTGCGCCAAATCCAGTACTGCCATCCACTACGCGCACCGAAAGCCTGAACTTTGGAAGGGAATATCGCCGTGTGATGCCATCAACGGGCAGGGCCGCTTTTTGTTGACTCGGAGGCCCCGTTGTCCTATCACTATCGCTATCCAAGAACCACCACCTCGCTCAACGCGAAAATTGAATGTTCTCAACACTCCTTATTCATACCTGCGGCACTATTGGAGGCAGGTCAACAACGATAACCCTCAAAGTCTCACCATCATTCCCTGGTGCCATCTGGTTTCGAGAGCGTCGCGGTGAGCCAGCTCCCAAGACCTGGGACTCCAAAGACGTCTCCAAAGCCAATGGCACATTGGAGCTTTCCCTTCTCGGACGCATTGCTGAAGGCCGTATTGGTGTGACACACATCGCCAAAGTCGTCTCCGTAACGCATGGCCCCCTGGACCCACAAGCAAGGCTTCCAGACACCGTCTGCCTCAAGTTTGCCAAACCAGAGTTCAGTCGCAGTTTGGCGCGAGAGGCATGGGTCTACGAGCAGCTCGATTCCCAACTTCTACGGCTTCTTTTCGTCGTCCATGGCGGAGCAGCCCGCTTTTCCAAACCTCGAATTTACACCATGGACAAATAGGAAGCGACCGAATTGAAGAAACAGATAGCCCTCCTAGCGACATCGACGAGTTCCCTTCGCCAGACTGGCTTGCCGACGACGTGCCGCCTTACCCTGGAGATCTACCGAGCTACGAAGACCCATCTGGATACCAGAAGACCTCGTCATGGTATAGATGGGGTCGCCCACAAGAAAATCCAACGATCAGTGTCATCGTTCTCGAGCACCTGGGAGAGACGTGTACCGGGGACCGAGCTCGAGGGAACGACGTGCTGTAAGTGCGCCTGCTACAGCCGCCCCATCCGCACTCTTTACTGAATTCCACACTCCAGAATGGCAGTGAGAGAGGTCCTGGAGGACATTGCTGAGCATGGTCTTATTCATTCGAACGTTACGGCTTGGAACGCCCTTTCCCTCAGGGATAGGGCGGACATAGGGAAGGACAGGGGTAACCCCCGGGTAGCCGGACACCTACCCTTACCCCCACCCCCCAAAACCCCTACCCCTGACTGAGGGGTAGGGGTAGTACCCTTACCCCCAACCCTGGGGGTTTTGACCAAGGGTTTTAATCATTTTGGCACTAACAATTACTTACAGTTGTCTATATGTATATTTTTATGTGTTTTATTGCACATACAGCAGTTATTTAGTAGAAAATATACATAGATGCTGAAATATAATGGGTTTTGACTTGATTTTTATCAAAACCCTTACCCCCGACCGGGGGTAGGGGTTTGACCAAGGGTAGCTGGAGACCTACCCTTACCCCTACCCCGCTCTACCCTTGGCCTCTACCCCGGGGGTTTTAAAACCCCTTGACCATCCCTAGGCGGACAGCCAAGCGCAACATTGTCAACGCCACGACGTTGTTCATCCTTGGAGAATTATCGATTTCGACCGGTGCGGAATGGTTGAAATGAATAATCGGAATCCACACGGAAGGATTTTGCTCGAGATGGCGGGCAAGGTGTTCCCTACGTCACCTGGGTTCTCTTTGTAACCAGTGTCGTCAGGTCAAGCAATCGGTTCCTAAATTTACCCAAACGTACATAGCTGTTCAACTAGATTTCTTTACTATTGACTTCATACTCTGCCCTTCGGATTCCCTCAAGTATAACGAACCGTTCAACCGTACCACATTGTCTCATGACGACGGTACCTCCGCCCTTGTGCAAAAAACGGAAGATGTTCGCCGCGGGCCAAGCAACGAGAGTCAGTAGGGCTTCAAACCCTCATTGGAGCCCATCGTTAAATCTTGTTGTGGCCTTAAGTTTCCTGTGTGACTGCTACCCTCGCGGAGGGTGTATCACAATCGGAAATGGGTCTAAAATGAGTACTTGTAGAATGATCTACGTGACGACTACAGACTATACCACCATCCGACCCTATCCTCTCTTAGGTCGACTCCCTGACGGACCCGCCACTGCCTGATGCTTCAAGTCCCCTGTCGTGGTCGCTTATCGTTGCGAGTGCGGTAGCTTGAAGGGAATGGCTCCCGTTCACTCAGGGAGACCTGAGGCTCAGTCTTGTCATTTTCGGGCCTGCCGGGGCCGTTTATATACTCGAGGAGCAGCTCTTCGAAACGGACTTGATCATCGAGCACCTTGGCGGCTTCCTTCTCCTCCGGGGTCAGATCAGGTGCAGGCAGTATTTTCGAAACTCTGCGAGGGCGAGGTGCGATCTCTTTGTAGCGATATGAGAAGGTTTCTGCAAGGGCGGAAAGGACATCGTTCATGCCATAAGGGGCGAAGGGATCGTCCTTGGGGCCAAACTCGAAGGGTGTTCCATCAGCAAAGCATATGGTGCCTGTTTGCATGCTAGTTCTCTTCAATGCGCCGCATTTGTAATGGGTGGAACCATCATATGGTTTTGCAGCGTCATCAAAAAATTCCGACATAAACACGGCAACATTCTGGACGTTGTGTGGCAAGTACTGGACCGCAAGCCAGAGGGTGAGATGAAACCACGATTCCATTTCATGCCAGACCTCGACTGGCTTGGAGGGGTTGTTGAGAATGTCGACAGCGAGGAATTGCCAGGTACCCTAGCCGAAAAGGTTAGACATCGCAGACGGCGCTCGTTAGACATCGTAATCACTCACTGTCCGTTCCGGCTGCCGTGGACCCTGGTCTGTAAGTTTCTCCGCCAATTCCCAGTCTGCCAGGAGTCCGTGGCGCTCCTCCTTCAATCTCCCCTCTTCAATATCTTGACGGGACGAAGATGAGGATATTTCCGACGCTAATGTCCTGGTGCATGTACCCTTTCTTGTGGGCATAGCCATGCGCTGGTCGAAAACATAAATCAGTCCATTATACTGGCGACATTCAATAAAGGATGCTCACCGGCAACACCATGCGAGATGATAGTGAGCATCTCGCGCCCGTTCCTGAACTTGCTAATAGGCAGACCGACCTCCTTCACGACCAGACGGTAGTGTTGCCGAGGCCTGAAGGGGCATTTAGCATTCTCGTTGCGGCTGAGCTCGTACCAGAAGTCTTGAGAGTCGGTTTTCTGCCACTCTCCTTCAACGTCGTGGTGACAAACCAAACTCGGGATGTACTTTCTACCCCTCTGCGGTTGCTCATCAGCGCTATTCAGTTCTTCCAGGACATCGCCTTCCTTCTTCAAATCACCTCGTAAGATGTGCCAGGTATCTTTGAGGAAGACGAACGGCCCGTATGGGTCTGCAGCGTCGATCGCGATGTAGCCACGCGTTCTGCCTGAGCGGACGTGTGGTCGACCGACGAAGAAATATCGGCCTTGGACGTGGAGCTTGTACCTGTGGCCAGCCCTGATCGTCTCCTGAAACAACGACCTGATGTGCTCGTCCACATCGTGGCCCTCAAGATTCCGGGGGGAGTCCGCGCGCCTCTGGATCAAGTCCCAATCAGGTGTTTCGCTGAGAACCCTCTGGACAGAGCTATCAAAGCCCCTGCCAGTGGGAGACAAGTGAATGTAGCGCCAGAGAAAATCACATAATCGTTCAGGATAGTCGAGATAGTTGAAGGCTTCTGTGAACACGAAGCCAGCCCGGTCCCATCGAACAATACGAGCCAAAGCGCCGAAAAGGAAGACCGTGAAGTGGTGGGTACGATGTTGAAGGATAAAAGGGATGAGGGAGTACGACTTGGCTTGCTCAAATGCTTCCTGGCTTGCAGCAGGCACATCAGAGTCGGTAGGGTGGTTTTGGGTTTTTGGCACCAAGTCACTGAAGAAGTCCTTCCTGTGTGGAGATATCGCACCGACGCCTACTTGCACGGAATCCCAGTCCGGCAGTTCGCCTTTCGATGGTGCCTCCTGAATCTTGTATAATCCTCCGTTGATACGTGTCTTTGGATGCCAGACTGAGTCGGGTTCACCGGCTGTGCTGAGGACAATTGTAAAGCCAGTATCTTTGAGCCAGGAATTTAGGGTGCTCTCCTAATGGATGGTGATCAACGACCTCACCTCACCTCCGGGAAAGCTCAATTGAACCACGCACCATGACATTGTATAATTCCGAATCCTCGGCGCCTTCTCGTTGCCCGTCCAACAGCTGAGCCAATTCCCCACGGACCCCACCCAGCTCGAACGTAGGTGAGTCTGGTGGATTGGGGAGATAGCGGCGTGCAAATTGCTCATAGGAACATTGTAAGTCGGTTGGTTTCATGGTCAGTGGGGTGCAAGATTGAGGCACGTAGTGCGAGCGTGTTGCAATTCCATGCGCGCTGTTTGTACCCGAAGACGAAGCCAAATATCTACGGTTTTTCTTTCGCCAAGAGTCGACGTCAGTTCATCAACGATGTCACATTTGGTGGAAGTGAGGGTACATGGTACTATGTATAGGGGTAGGTCTGCACGACGACATTCCATTGGTACATTGGGCTAAGAGTAACAACGCTTCCATCGACTATCCTCTCTTAGGCCGACTCCCCGAAGGACCCGCGACTGCTGGATGCTTCGGTTGTGGCACATCCAAGTCCGCTGTCCCATCCGATGGTGGCCGCTTGCTGCCGCGAATGGGGTAGCTTGAAGGGAATGGCTCCCGTTCGCTCAGGGAAACCTGAGGCGCAGTCTTGTCATTTTCGGGCCAGCCGGGGCCGTTTATATATTCGAGGAGCAGCTCTTCGAAACGGACTTGATCGTCAATGTTTTCGAGTGCCTTGAGCTGCGCCGGGGTCAGGTCGGCTACATCGCCTTCGAGCCAAGGTTCAGCATTAGTACGTAGCAATTCTTGTTCTTGATAACGGTATGAGAAGGCCCGTGCAAGCTGGGCCAGGACTTTGTTGATGGCATGAGGGACAAAAGGATCATCCTGGGCGCCAAACTTGAAGCGTGTTCCAGCAGCAGAGCGTATACGACCTGTTTCCATGCTAGTTCTCTTCAATGTGCCGCATTTCTGATGGGTAGAACCATCATCCGGTTTTGCAGCGTCATCAAAAAATTCCGACATAAACACGGCAACATTCTGGACGTTGTGTGGCAAGTACTGGACCGCCAGCCAGAGGGTGAGATGAAACCACGATTCCATTTCATGCCAGACCTCGACTGGCTTGGAGGGGTTGTTGAGAATGTCGACGGCGAGGAACTGCCAGGTGCCCTAGCCCAAAAAGTTAGACATCGCAGACGGCGCTTGTGGGGTTCCAGATCACACTCACTGTCCGTTCCAGCTGCCGTGGCCCCTTGTCTGCTAGCTTCTTCGCCAATTCCCAGTCCGTGAGGAGTCCATGACGCTCCTCTTTCAACTGGCCGTTTACAACGTCTTGACGGACGAAGATCAAGAGATTTCCGGCACTAATGTCCCGGTGCATGTATCCTTTCTTGTAGCCGTAGCCATGCGCTGGTTGTCAACGCAAATCAGTAAACCAGTATATGAGACCATCCTACAACACAAGGCTCACCGGCAACACCGTGCGAGATGAGAGTAACCATTTCGCGTCCGTTCCTGAAGTTGCTAATAGGCAGACCGACCTCCTTTACAACGAGGCGGTAATGTTGGTGGGTTCGCATTGGGACACTTCTGGTCGGAATTGGGATTGCGAGTGAGCCAAAAGTCTTGAGAGTCGGTTTTCTGCCACCGGCCCTCGAGGTCGCCGTGGCAAACCAGCGTTGGGATATACTTCCGACCCCTCTGATCCTGCTCGTCCGGACTGTTGAGGTCCAAAAGGACTTTCCCCTCCTCATCCAAGCCTTCCCCCACAACCCGCCAGGTATCTTTGAGGAAAACAAAAGGTCCCTTCGGGTCGTCGAGGTCGATCGCGATATAGCCGCGGGTGCCGCGACCTGCAAGGACAGTGGTGTACGTATGTGGTTTGCCGACCAGGAATTTTTTGCCTTGAACGCGCAGTATGTGTCTTGGACCATGAGTCGATACGGTTTCGTCGAACAGCTTCCTGATCTCGTCATCAACAACAACCTTTTCGACCTTTCGCGAAACCTTGGCCCTTGTATCCATCAGAGTGTCTTCGTCCCCCTTGGCCACCACCCTCGTAACGGTCGGGTCGTGGCCTCTGTCGACGGAGTCCATCTGAGCATATCGCCAGAGGAATTCGCCCAACTTCTGGGGCTCGTCGAAGTAGTCGAATGCGTTGGTGAATAACAAACCAGCACGGTCCCATCGAACGATTCGAGCCTTGGTTCCGAAAATAAGGATGGAGAAGTGGTGTGTGCGGTGTTGGTGAAAGAAAACAAGCGAGGAGTATGACATGGCCTGACCAAGTGCGCTTTTGCTGACTTCCGAGTTGGGAGAATAGCCTTTCTGGTATTCGTCGCTGAAGAAGTCGCAGCTGTGATGTCGCTTGACCTCAATACCTAGCTCGAGTGCTTCCCACTTGGGCGGATGGTCTTCAGTTGGTTTCTCGTCGTCTTCGTAGACTCCGCCATCGATGCGCTGCTTGGTCCAATCATCTGGATCCGACTTGTTTCCTGAGATGACTACCCTGAATTTAGGCTTTTTATCTGCATCTGCCAGCTTAAGCCATCGGTTCAATGTAGTAGTCTAGAGTGCACTAGTTCAGTGGGACAGGGCATAAAGGTGGATATGAGGGTACATACCAAATGTTCGTACATGTTTACCTCCGTTGTTTGATTTCTTCTCAGATCATCCATCATATCCCTCAACCCGGTGGTCAATTGGAAGTGAGGAACAGGTCGAGGGGGAATTGGAAGGTAGCGATTCATCATTTCGCTGTAAGGGCACAGAATGATTCGCCCTTCCATGCTCAACCGATATTGCAATTGAATGATTTTACTGGGTTGTGGTGTTTGCTGTGAGAGAGTCGGGGATACAGCCCTGGACGTAGAGATGGAATGGGTTTTAATGGCGTCGCCTTCATCGCGACCAATGTCGTCCAGTTCAACCTGCGGATGAGTGGCGGTGCAGTCTGGGGCACAGCGATGATGTGGCACTCGGTTTCCTCCCATTTCGGTATTATCATCGCAGTGCCAGGACTGTAATGAGGTGAGCTCAGCACTCTGAATCCGCTTCCCATGTGTCCTTTGAAAACCTACAAGTAGGGAACTATGTAAGAGCATGGCCTGAGGAACAAAAAGCGGAACCAAATCGTAATTTGATAACAATGGAAACCTTTCTTGGCATACCCTTGATGCGCCCTTGATCATGATGCGCCCCTCCCATCCCGAATTCTGATCTCCGAAAGAAACGGCAATAGTATGTTCAACCTGTCCCCCGCCGCAATTAGACTGCTCATAGAGCGATAGTTTCAAGAAAGTGGGCTGGTTACCAGTCTACGCTCAAGCGCTTCCTCGCCGTGAAGGGATACCTCCGTTTGACTGCTTTACGAAATCCAGGAGCTTTAAATCTACAACGCGAGATACTAATTGCCGACAACCTGATTTATCTCGACCAACAGTACAAATTGCGCTTCAAGCACTGACTAGAACGCGAAATCAGTGCCATCGCGAAAGAGAAAGTTCAAAAGACCCTTACTCGCACGGTGTATTTTGAGCTCCATCTGCTTGAGGGCGCCCGCAATTGACCTTGAGGACCCGACAAGAGTAACACGCGATCTTATTCTTCTCCCTCGGCCGCCTTTTGCTCGGCTGTCCCCCCGCAGTTTTAGCTTTTGCATCCTTCCTAGGGCGACCAGCTTTTCTACGCGTGGGTGGCACCGGTGCGGAGGTCGTTCCGTCGACAACCTGAGAGCCAGTAACCGGAGGGTGAAATGCCGACTTCATGGCTTCGACATGCGCACTAAGCTCGGAATAGGACGACAACCCAATGGTGGGAGACTGAGGCAGGGGACCCGGATCACCCTCGTTGGTGAGCGGAAGATCGGCGCGGGGTTGGACACTGTCATCCAGAACTTGAGCACCAGCACCCACACACGATGGATCAGGCTCCGGCGAAGTGTATCCAGTGGGAAGATAGACAGACGGCACACTCTCGTCATCGTACCCCGGAAGAGTCTGAGGCTGCCACAGCGCCTGCCAGTGTACAGCCACACGCGCACACAGACATCCAAATTAGTAAACCGATTTCCAATGTCGAGAGAGGGGGTGACATGAGGTGACACATACCGCCGTGTTGAAACTTGAGTCGTCCCAATACTGCTGCGCCGGAAGCTGTCGTGGACGAGACGGATGCTATGTGGTCCAAACATCCAAAAAGGTAACCATATTGCCAAAAGCACGCGCGTTGAGCGTGGATGTCGCGGAAGAGGATATCGGATGGACGCACGATTTCGTCACATTGGAAAGCTAGTTGTTGGGATAGGATGTCCATGTAGTCCTCCACTGGTACGAAGTCGCCGGTGATGAGCTGTATATGGATGCCGTACACTGACGAGAGTCCTGTCTGGGAAAATATGGGGCGGTCAGAACGTGGGGCGAAAGAGATGTGGGGGGCGTACTTCATCGAAAGCCTTGAGCGTTGCTACAGGTTCACCTCCTGGGTCCATAGAATCAGAACAGCTATAACCTTCAGGTGCCTGAGTACCACAAGTTTTCACGATACTCCAGTAGACACCTTACTGTAGTGAAGATCGACAAGATCAGCTATCGACGCCGGCCCTTCGTCGTAGTTAACATCGCAGTCCATCGTCAAAAAAACGAGAGGTCAGCGGAAGGATACTCAACCAAAGACGGTGCTGGGAAAGAAACGAAGGGGGCGTTCGGTCGACAGAAAAACACTGCTCAAATATTCCGTCTGTCCTCAACGAACCAAACGAAGACCAATCAATTCACACACACACACACACCCCACTCCCACCAAAGATTAACTTGCAATTGATGAGACCCATAGAGCCAAAAAGAAGCTTCTCCTCCTATGAAGCTGGGAACGCTGACACCGGCTTTTAGGCACCGCCAAGGTTCGATACCCATGCCCTCAGACCTATTCACTGGAAATTGGGATCAGAAAATCCCTCCGCCCTGGTTCCTTCTTCCTTCTTCGACCCAAAATGGGTTTAGCTTCGAACGCTTGGAGGCTCCGAAAGGTTTCGAACTTCGCATCTGGGAATGGTTGAAATTAAGGATTTATGTAGTGGCAATCACACACGTTTCGAAATTTCAACTTATCACATCAGGATGGGTTCGATTCTTTACATACATACCATGTAACCGCGTTGTCAGAGTTCCCAAATCCCAATGATAGTACGCGACCTACAATGCGACCAACCGCACTGATGGACTCCTACATAGCGTCTTTGTGTTGTGAGTACACCTCGAACTCCTTTCTCCAGCACAGGCCACAGTTAGAAACCCACCTCCAATCTCTCATTAATTTCACGACTCGAATCCTTTTACGCAAACACTTCAAAGCCCAATGACAATGACGATTTGATCCCGTCCATGTTTAGATGATCGCCCACACCTCTGGTCTCTGGTCCCTGGACTCCGTCTCGGTGGTTTTGAAAGCTCGATTGTTGAATCAAGTTATAGATAACAGCATTTCGCCGCCGCTGTGACACACTCTTTTTCGTTTCCGAATCTTTCGTGACATGTAGATGCAGCCTGAACGTGAGCCCCAACCATATGTATCTCTGCGAAGGGTAGTAAACGATCAGTAAAGGCCCGTGAGCAGTGACGACGGTAGGGAGAAATAAACACCATGTCTGAATCGTCAGCTGTCCCATGGGACCTCCTAAAGACGATTATGCGTCAAACACGACACATACGAGCCATACCACCGGTAATTTTTAATTCATACATACCACCATCCTCCTCGCCTGAAGACAAGAATCGCTTGTCGGCTTTGTGGCGTCCAAAAAGAATTCGAAGGACCGTAACCAACCACTCTGAAGTTCAGAATCTTTCGATCGCAGCGCCCATCTGTCAGTAATAGGCGTCCAAATCCTGTCTTCGACACTCGCGTTGCTTCCTGCCCATTAGCCTATGGCATGGAGGGTCCGAATTTCGAAATCACCGGGGGCACGATTCAGACGCCCGCCCTGGTCAACAGGGGCTCCAGTCATCTGCATTGCCAAAAAAGTAGTAGTAATGTCGACTCCAGCCTGTAGAGGGTATAGTAGTACAAACGAACGCTGATTAGTATAATTAATTACTCCACTTCCGTCGACAATTAGTCCGCATCGCGGATGGCGACATTGACGAAGAGGGTGGAGAACAGATGCTGATTCATCTGCGCATCGTGGAGAGGGAGATGGCGATATCCTACAAACGTAAAGAAAACACCGACGATGAGCAACCGAACACCGAACGCATAAGAAAAAGGAAAAAAAAAATAAAAAAATAAAAACAAAACAAAACACCAACGCACCTTGATTCAAGCTCCCAAGCGGGATACAATACATCGCCAACGGCTCATCATCCTCATCCTCCTTCCCCTCCTGCCTAACCGCAACATTCACAAAAATCAAATCCATCATCCCACCCACACAATCAAACGGCAAATGCAACTGCTCATTCCACGTGGGATTGAACCCATTATCAGTCACTACCTGCGTCTTCATCTTCACCGTCCGCGCCGACGTCGCCGTCGTCGTGTTCCCCTCGCTCGGGGAGTGGTACTCGGCACCCTCGGCTTTGGCGCTCTCCGGGAGGAAGGGAGAGTTCGTCCAGTCAGGGATTAGGAGCGAGACTTCGACGAAGGGGTCTGGAATTGATTTGCCGAATACTTCGTTCCCTTTGGAGTCACGGAGGGGAGGGAGCTGTTGGGCGGAGATAATCTGGTTTAAAGGAGGTAGGTGGTTGGTTAGTAAGTACGTCATAAAAGCGATTATCAGTTCAATCAGTTCATGAGACTGAAATGAAATGAAGATGGCATGGAAGAGAATGGTGATACGTACTGTGATATCCAAAAAGTGCTTGGTTCGCTTGGAGAAGAGGTCCTTGTCGAGCGAACGGAGAGCTTCAGGCTTGAGGATGTACCCAGAGCGACCATTCCTCTGGAACATCGCCTGGTTCATCACATATCCCAGATCTAAAAACCCGGCGTCCTAAGTATCCCACTCAAGCCCAACCCACCACCACATCAGAACTCACCAAACGTCTGCCAATTAATAGCCACAACCTGCGCCCCACTAGCCCAGTACCGATGGGGCTCAAAATTCGTCGAGTTCACCCGCGTACCCTTGGGGTAAATCCGAACCAGATGCCCCTGCGTATGCCTAATCAAATCCCACATCCCCACCTTCAACAGCTTGTTCGCCGAGTACTCTGAGAGCGAGAAGATGTGCTCCGGGGCATACTGGACTTCATCGTTGAGACCATGACACTTGACGCCGATGGTGTACACCAAGAGCGAGGCGAGGCGGAAGGACATCTTGACCTTGGGCTTGGCGGGCTTGGGATCCTTGCCCCGCATCTTGCGCCACCTAGACTTGAGCGCGCCCAGAGCACCGGGCTTGGACTCGCCAGCGTCGTCGTCGGTGGATTCGTTCGTAGACTCTGAGGAGGGATCGGCTTCGAGGACGGCGGCCTTCTCTTCTGCCCTCTTCGCTTTGGCCTTGGCCAGCTGCTCGACGACGTAGAGGTTCTTGGCCTGTTATAAGTAATCGATATCGATGAACGTCAGGAAGGGTTTAGCGCGGGATACGTCTATGAAATCGTACCTTGAGAAGGATCTTGTGTTTGAGATCCTCAGGGCTGGGCAGGTGGGTGAGCTGTGGTCGACCGTTGACCGGAGCCTGGATCAAGGCGTCGCCCCAGACCTCCGTCATGACATCCACCATCTTCTCTTGCTGAGCGAGGCCGCAATGGACTTCGGCGGACACCAGTAGAGGATAGGGCGAAGTCGTGAACCCGTACTTCATGATCGCGACGCAGACATCGCGCAACGGGACCTTGGAGGTCAGAGTCTTGCCGTGGAAAATGACGGGTTCGTCATCGCCGTCGTAGATGTCCACTAGATGCGCATGTTAAAGAGTAGCTCGAAACCATGGTCGATGGGGAAACGTACACTCGACGCTGCGGCAGCTGTGAAGCAAGGCTCGGATGTATCCTTCGATGGTACTGACTCCTGTGAGCTGATTACCGACGAGGTAGGTGTTGTGAGAGGATGAGATGAAGTATTCGGAGATGGGCTTGGTCATGTCTTGCCAGATGGGCTTGCCCTCCTCGGCGAAGGCGGCATTGTCTGGGGAGGTTAGGAATTTGGTGAATGCGTCCAAGGTCAGGGCACCCGAAGGCTCGTTGGGAGATGTCGAATCCGCTGATGTAGCATATTTGTCGAAGACTGCCCGAAGCTCGTCGGTTGAAAGCGGGGACTTCAGGGAAGCTCAGAAGACCGTCCACATCGCGACAAACTGGTGTACACACCTTCTGGACCTCCTTGATGAACTTCTCGAAGGCAGCAAAATCGAATTTACCGCCGCTCTGCCCTGCGATCTGACCGTAAATCTGTTCGACATCAGGTCGACGCTTGAGCTTCTTGACGAATCGTTGGAACGCGGGGTAGTCAAGATGGCCTTTGTTCTCCGTGTCAGCTTCCTTCACGGTCGTCAGTCCCGCTAGAAATGGACACACAACCAATACACACACCTTGAACAGCTGCTGAAGCCGAGGGGTAGGGATATTCGCGTGGAGTCGCTTGCAGAGACGGTCGACATCATCAAAGTCGAGGACCTGGTCGCCTTCCTCATCAGCCCCTTTCCAATACTGTCTCTCCCAGACCTCCTCTCGCGTTTCCATATTCCCCAGCCCGGTGGTGAGGCCCTGTCGGACCGAGTGCAACTTGCGTAGAGTGGTATCCCAGGCATGGAAGGCGTCACGCGTGTCTGCGAGGATGTGGAGGGTCTTATAGGCGCCGCCGAGGATGTAGATGACGGTGATCCATCGACTCTCCGCTTCCTCCGGCTGCTCGAACTGGTTGCAATAGTATCGTGCATCTTCGCCAGAGCGCATCTCCTTGATGGCCTCGATCGGTACTACATAGTCTTTAGTTAGAACTCGTGGATAGGGGCCGTAGTTGACATACCCAGCCCGCCCTTCTTCGACTTGTAAAGGAGGCGTCCCTCGTCAGGGTCGATCCGGAACACGACTCGTTTCTTCCCCTTCTTCGAGATCTTGGTCATTTCAGTGCCGTTCAAGACGATATCGGGGATCGAGAATGGCGAAGCATCGTCGGTGGGATGGGGAACACCCGACGTGTCTTTCGGCGCCTCCGACTTGAGGATTTCTGCACTCATTCTGGCGAACTCTTTGGCTTTCCTGGACAGGCGGTTAGCTGGACTGTGTTGGGAGGGTATCTTGGTGGATTTGGAGATGGTTCAGATGGAAGAGATGAAGCAAAAGGTGGCCGCTCAGGGTCCACCGTAGGCTGTCCATCGCATCGATAACAGTGCCACCGTCCCACTCTGATGAGGTCCACGACACGTGATGGGACGCGTCCACGGAGGCCAAGAGATGTTCGACGCGTTCTAGAGTCGAACAGCACTGCAGCCGTTCCTGTACAGGCTAGGGGTCAATGAGCGTCTGGCGAGGTCAATTTGGCTGTACACTCACCGATGTTTTGCCAGTGTCAGGCAAAGATGAAACAGGGTGAGATGAACTTCAGAAAACCTCTGGCGAAGGCCGTAGCGAGTGAGCTATTTTTGGAACAACACCGCTACACCAGGCGTGTGCACGGTTGCTGACGATCAGACCGACAGAGTTCGTCCACTGTGTGTGCATCACAGCTCACAGTAGCACAACACGATCGTCTCCTGTTGGCGCAACAGATACATCTCAGACCTTGCGTTTCGAGGACGTTTATCCATGGTAGAGTCTACTTGCAGGTCGGCCTTGACAGAACAGCGGTCTTTGAGCTTGAAACTTCTGAAACGTTGAAGGATGATGCAAGTGGAAGAAGAACCACAGCGCCGGTCGAAAAATCTGACACCGTGAGCTTCTTCGATTGAAGCGGAGTTTGTCGCATTTCAGCCCAGACTGCTTGGGCGCTTAAGTACTGACGGCTCGGTTCATTCATGAATATCATAGTGGTAGTAAGGCGAATATCGAGTATACGTCCAAAGCTGTGGCGAGATGCACTTCCCATTACTCCTTCGATTCTCCAGGCAGCTCATGTCCACCCAAACACTCTTCTGTGCACGTATGATCCTCAGGATCGTAAACAGTCCATTCGCTCGCCGGCGAGCTCGTCGTCACTAGAATTCGGTCAGCACAAACTCGAACTTTGGATCTCTGAACAGTGCTCACCGATAATGCGGTAGTCATCTCGATATGCGACGACTTCCCAACCCTCTTCGACCATCTTCTCTTTCCATCGTTTGGACATGTACCATACCAGGTTCCCGTTCCGAGGTTCCTCCAACGACTGTGTGATGATTTGAATCTCGTCTTCCCCATCGTCGGGAAGCTCCTCATCGTCCTCGTTTGCTTCCTCGGTGGTGTCAGTGACTTCGCCTTGGTTACTGCCCTTCTCAGCGGCGTCGGACAATGGTACACCTGGTGTCTGGGCGCCCTCTTCGCTACCACTGCCATTCGCTGTGCTTAAATAATGGGCTGGAGCCTGTGGGGCAGATTCACCGTTCTGCGGTTTAGAGGCTTGACCCTCAGCGTTTTCAACAGGGTCGTCTGAGCTGACTTCTGTTGTACCCGTAGAGGTGTCGTTGGTGGGCTTCTCAGCTTGATCATCTCCCTGGTCCTCCGACGGAGGGTCGTCGACTCCACCTCCACTTTCCGTCTTCTCGCCGCCTTCAGAGTGGGTACCAGCCTCTTCCCCCTCTCCACCACGCTTCTTCTCATCAACACCCTGACCCTCTTTATTCTGACACCCACCATTCGCTTCTCCATCTTCCAAAGTGGTCTTTTCGCCATCGCCACCGTCGTCCACCTTCCCCTCTTCCACCTCCGCCTCCACCTCCGCCTCCTCTCCCTTCCCCTCTTCCACATTCCCTTCTTCTCCCTTCTCTTCTCCCTTCTCCTTCTCATCAGGCTCAGCTGTAGGTTCACTCCTTACCCACTCAACTTCATAGCACTTATACACCCCCTCCCCCTCCTCCCCTCCCTCCAGCCTCCGATGCAACCTCTCCACCATCCTCCACACCGGCACCCCCCTCCTCGGCCTAAAAAACACCAACTGCACCGCCTTACTATACTTCGGGCCCAAATACTCATCCCCAGCCAACTCCACCGGGGCCTGGTACGTCTCAACCTCGTCTTCCCACTTCGCCTTGAACCGGTCGGGGAGCGCTACCGGAAAGGGTAGTGCACGCCAAACGAGAGCTAGGGTCGCCTCCACTTCCGCTTGGAGGAACTGGAGGTCGATGGTTCTTGGTGTGGGTGTGGGCGACCCGGGGGGCTCGCACCCGTGTTCGCAGATCTCGCGGGGTAGAGTCCCGTGGTACGCTCTAACCCTCGTCTCAATCCTTCCTTCCACTAGATCACCCACGAAATCACCCATCCAATGGCCAGGGAACCCCACGCGGTGGAGGTGCACCAGAAACTCGAAGAACCCGCCTAAAGTCAAGGACGTGGCTTGGTCGTTCGGGGGAGCATCGGCCTGGCCGTCGGAGATGATGGCGAAGAGGAGGGAGGTGAGCCAGTTGATGAGAGCGTCTTTGGAGGCTAGCTCTTTGAGTGGTCGGGGGAGCTGCGGAGGGCGGAAGTAGATGGGGATGTTGTAGACGTCGTTGGGGTTGTAGAAGACTGTTAGACCGAGGAACTTGGGGATGTCACGGGCTTGAAGGAGTGTATGCCTATTCAATTTCGACGCCATCATTCCATGAGTAGATGTAGGAGAATAATCAAGAGAAGGTAGGACTCACTGGTAGTAGAAATGCGCCACCGAAACCCTCTTGTCTCCCGGACGCATATTCGTATCCATCATGACCTCCGCTTTGTCGACCACATCCACAAAAGGCAGGATCGACGTCGCAATCGGTATAAGACCCTGATTCTGATCCCTACAAAAACCACCAACTCAGCTCTCCTCCTCCTCAAAGCATATCCCAAAATCAACACCTACGGCAACGTATTCATCCCCACCCTCATATACTTCCTCGGGAACCCCTCCGGCCTAGGCCCCAGATCCCCTTCAACAAGCAACGGCATCGCCCTATACACATCCCCCACCAGAATCTCCACCGTCAGCTTCTCACCCCACCACGCCATCACGTCCGACGCGAGCATAAACCAATTCGTCGCGATCGCGATAGCCGTTTTGCCGGGAGACATCTGCTTGTCCTTGACGGCTTCGCGGGTTTTGGTGAGGAAGCGGAAGAGGGCGTCGAACGGGTTGTCGGTGACGCGGGGGTAGGGCTCTGTGGAGTCGTCCACTAGGTTGAGTGGGTCCTATGAATCACAGTTCGTTGGTATTTACTCTCGATGAATAGGAAAGTGGAAAAAGGACGTACGAAAAGCGCAACATTCACAGCCCAAGTAGTCTCAATCTCCTCCTCAGCAGCCATCGCCAGCTCCCTCGACGGCACACCCCTACACTTCACATACTTCGCCACCGCCGGATGCCTCCCCAAAAGATTCTTCGGCGGGAACAACACCCTCAACTTCAAATGACACTCCACCAGCTCCTTATCCACATCGTTGTAGATAGGTTCTGACGACCCTGGGCGCTGGTCCACATCCTTAACGCCCTTAGCTAAGAGAGCTGAGGGTTTCTCGGGGAGACGTTTGACTGGGTGGCGGTCGCTTATGGGGTTGGACGCAAGGAAGTCTTTGACGGTTCGAAGAGACCGGACTGTGGACCAGAGCCGCAGGAAATAGGTGATAGGCTCGATCGACGATGCTGAGATGTGGATGGAAGAGAAGAGGTGTGTTCGGCCTTCAGCTAGGAGTGCGAGGAGGGCGTCGATGGCCTGCTGGACCCTAGACCACGAGCTGCATTCAGTACCCCAGTACCAAAGCCTTCCGAAAAAGGCTTGACATACCAATCAGCACAATACCCGGGCATAATCAAGGTCGTATGCAAGAATAGCAGCGTCGCAACAATCTCCGAAACACCCTTCTCCTCCTTTGCCCTCTTCTTCTCCTGTAGCCTCTCAAGCAACCACAACGTGATCAAGAACCTCGAAACCAGAGCAGGCTCAATCTCGACGGCTGTAACGTGTAGATTGCGTTCGCTTGCTCGGAGGCCAGACCGTCCCATCGAGGTGACGTCTTTGAGGAACTTGCCGTGGGTGATGATGTTGCCCAGGACGTTTCTCCCTACAAAAACAACAGGAAATTGAGCCCTGCTTTTGTGGTATGAGGTATTGCGAGGAGGAGGGCGTACCGTCACCAAATCCTGCAATGAGAATCGCCGAACTTCCAACCAGGACAGCACGTCCATTTCGTTTCTCGATAGGAAGCCCACTGGCGTCTTTAGTATTGATATCGACAATGAGGTTCTCCGTAATGGAGTAAAACGGTTCCGCTTCGAACTACAACAAATGATAAGCCACCCGCAAAGTTACCATACAATAGAGACGACACTCACCTTCCTCAGATGCGCATTCTTATGCCTACCAGAAGCAACACCAATCAGCTTCCCTTTCCCACTTGAACCTCAAAAGAGAAAGCGAAAGCTCACAATTCAGCTTTAAGAATCGGAATACTCCACAAATGCCGCCCCGCCTTCACAACCTTCTCCTTCTCTTCCTCCGTCCGCTCCTCCTCAACATTCCGAAACTGCTTCCAAACCACTCCAAAAGACGCGTCAAAAACCGGGTTATCACCTTCAAGTCCTCTCTCGATGAACCCGTCAATCGCGGTGGCAATCTGCGCCGCCAACCTCTCCTGCGCCGCATTCACCTGCACTTGTGCTGGTGGAGAATTCGTCGCGTCTGAAGCCCCATCCGAGTCCAACCTCCTCTGGTACGCATCATATATGCGAGCCCTGGCATACAAACTCGCAACCTGCACAGCAACATCGTCACTATCGATGATCGCCTTCGGACTGATCTTCTGCCACGCAACCCTCGCAGTCTTGACACAAGCTTCGTATTTGCCCTGTTCGAAAAAGGCTTTCGCGAGGTTCAAAGCGTATTTGGGTTCTTTCGGGGCGAGCTTCGAGGCCTATAGTAATCCGTAGCTTTAGCATAGGTGCGCAGAGTAGCAGGATACGTGTCAACGTACTTCGCTGAATCGTTTCTGAGCCCTATTTGATAAGGTCAATCAGCAGTGAGCTGGAAAGTCGCGTCAAGGAGGAAGACGTGGCGTACCCCAGAAAGTCGCAACGTCTGAAGAGTTCTTCGCCAGCAGTATGGGCAGCTTCAGCCATAGTCGATTAACGTGGTCGAGAGGCAACCTGTCTAGCTCAGGGTCCCTACATACTGCGCCTTGCGCCTGCCCCGTGGCCATCGTGAATGAAGAGGTTCATCGACAGGAGAGGCCCGCCATCTGCCTTGGCATCATCGTCCTAAGCGACCCCGACTCGGGAAACGTGCCTTGTCGCTGGAACGCACTGTGGAGTATGGAAACCACACCACTGGGATTATAGAGACCTGCATAGGCCATGAGTGTACATACAGCTCCTGAAGATGCGCGAGCATCGAAGCGTCAAAATGTCGGGCGCCAAACCATTAGCCGCTCGTCCTTTCCTCATCATGGCGCCTAAAACCAGACAAAAGAGCAAAACAGTGAGCCAAATTGCGCAGAGGTTAAAAGCACTATCGCGGAAAAAGAAGGAGGATAACATGAGGCACTATACCAACGAAAGGAAAAGCAAAATTAAATTAGCGTTGCATCAAGGGGGAATCGAACCCCCGGCGGATCGAGTCAATCTCGATATGAGTGGCAACGATCCAGGTTACCACTACCCCATTGATGCTTGTGTTTCAGGTTCCCCGCTGAATGACTCGTAGGTCTAGACTGAAAGAAGCCCCAGCTTGCGCGAGCGTTGAAATATTGAATATTACACTCGAGTCGCGATCATGACCATTGCTATCTGTTCACGAAATCGTCTGTGCCTAGGCTACTGGAATATAGATTACGGATCACTAACTACTAGTCCTAAAGCTATATAGTAGGGGAAACGAAGATTAACCACAACTGTCTACCGCGCGCTGCCACCTATGAGCGAGCTCTCTTGGTTGGTCTACCAGAGTCATCCAGAGGAGTCCCGAGCCGCCTTTTCTCCCCCTTGCTGGTGTTGTCGCGAATTGACCGGCTTTGTATGAAGTTAGTTAAGAGTTCCATGATACTCGCGTAGCCTTGCGTCTGTGCTGTAGATAGAGCTGTGTCTCCAGCTTTGTTGGCAGCTTCAACGTCAATCCCTGGACACTCGAGGAGCTGCGCTACGACGGCTTCATGACCTTTAGCGGACGCCACGATCAAGGTAGTATCGCAATTGTTGTCGGCTGTATTCGTGTCAACTCCGTATTCAAGCAACAGTCTGACTATGTCTCCGTGGCCGTTTCGCGAGGCGCACATGAGTGCAGTCCATCCGTCGTTCTTCGCAGCGTCGACGTTGATGCCATGGACCTGGAGGAGTTCCTTGACCACTCCATCGTGGCCATTTTCCGCAGCTACCATGAGCGCACTCCACCCGTCGTTGGCCGCAGCGTCGACATCGATGCCATGAACCTGGAGGAGCTGGTTGACCACTCCATCGTGGCCGTGTTGCGAGGCCAGCATGAGTGCAGTCCACCCCTCGTCGTCCGCAGCGTTGACGTTGATGTCATGAACCTGGAGGAGCTGCCTGACCACTCCATCGTGGCCATCTTCCGAGGCTAGCATGAGTGCAGTCCACCCCTCGTCGTCCGCGGCGTTGACATCGATGCCATAGACCTGGAGCAGCTGCCTGACCACTCCATCGCGACCGTATTGTGAGGCTACCATGAGTGCAGTCCGCCCGTCGTTGAGTGTAGCATTGACGTCGATGCCGTGGACCTGGAGGAGCTTCCTGACCACTCCATCGTGACCGTTTTGCGAGGCTACCATGAGTGCAGTCCACCCGTTGTTCTTCGCAGCGTCGACGTTGATACCATGGACCTGGAGGAGCTCCTTGACCACTCCATCGTGGCCGTTTTGAGAGGCCACGACGAGCGCAGTCCCCCCGTCGTTGGCCGCAGCGTTGACGTCGATGCCATGGAACTGGAGGAGCTGCCTGACCACTCCGTCGTGGCCTTCTTCCGAGGCTAGCATGAGTGCAGTCCACCCCTCGTTGTCCGCAGCGTTGACATCGATTCCATAGACCTGGAGGAGCTCCTTGACGACCTCACCACGTCCCAACAATGACGCTAGGAGTAACGCCGTGCTACCGTCTCTGTCCCTCGCATTGGCATTAATGCTGTGAATTGTAAGAATCCTTTTCACGAAATCGACATGACCATCAGTGGATGCTATTGTTAGTGCTGTGGAACCTAGCATCGTTGTTGCATTGACTCCAATACTGTTGAAGGCTTGTTCAGCTGGCTGGCGGCTACTCTCGGACAAGGTTTGGCGGGGTGCAAAGGCATGGGACAAGTATATCGACATGCCATAGTTGGCAGCGACGTGGAGGGGCTTCAGTAGGTCCAAGCCGTTCCATGTGAGGCGGGGGAATGAGCTGCACTGCCTTAGAAAGGCCATTGCAGTGTCGACAGCTTCGGGTCCATCTCCACACTCCAGAACATGGGTGCCCCAATGGTGGTAGGCGTAACCCAGCAGAGGTTCTTTTCGAATGTGGGCGACAAAGTCTTCGCGCTCTACGATGGTATAACGAGGGAGATTGTTGTCGGCCATGCGCTGCGCCAACACTTTGCTGATGAAGAGGTGGGGTTGGGGAAAGTCCTTGAGCAGAAATGGTTCAAGTGCGTCTCTAGCTGTCAAATCTAGATCGGGGGGAGTCAGCAGGCAATCATACCGCGACACACAGGCACGACACTCACGAACAAGTCGAACGACGTCACTTTCCGTGTCCACCTCGACGAGACCACAGCAGAGGTCAACGATCGAGTCTTTGTCCGGCATAAGCGACTTCTCAACGCTGAAGGTTTCCGGGTTTACACCCAGCGCGGCCTGAAGGTCCCGCAACGACAATGACCCACGGGTAAAGACGAGCCAAAAGAGCACTTGCTTGGCTATCACCACGAGTTCCGGGTCCTGGTTCTCGATCCGAGCGATGCTAGCAGCGTACATCCCCTCTATTCCTGCGGGAAACTGTTCGAGCTTCGCTTCTACGGCAGCCAGTGACAAACAGCTGCGTAAGGCCTCGATTTGCAAAGCTGCGTGGAGAAACCTAGATACAGCTGTGTGAGGGAGGCCCTCAGATAGACAAACACGAGCCACTCACATTCCAGCCGCCTTCTCAGCTATCATCGCAATGACCTCCTCCCGATACAGGTGACTCTCCAAAACCCGACGTAGGCCCTTGTACCGTCTCAGCCGGTCATCGATGAGCAGTCGGAGGTCTTCGTCCTGCGCCAACAAGTTCACATACTTGGCGTTCCTCAACTCCGTCCGCAGGTCCTCCAGTGGGCGGGACGCGAAGATCAAGTTCCCCTGTAGCTGTCCCAAGGCCAGAATCAGGTCGAACTGGTACTTGCGATCGACTTCGTCTACACCGTCGACGACGTAGTAGATGCGATCAAAATGACCCTCCAGCCTGAGGAGCATGTTCATAAGATCTTCGTCAGAGGGGCTGGTTCTCTCGAGTCGACCACGTCGATAAAGGGGCTTGACGAAGTCCACGAGGTCACGGCTGTGACGTTGAAGAATTTGGAGAATGAACCATTTCAGAATGTCGCCAATCGAGAGAGCTTCATTGTAACGGTTGTAGATGTACAGCACGCAGATCTTGTGGTCAACAGATTCCTCAAGTGGTAGGAGGTCATCGACCACCCGCGACCTGGGAATCAGTCAGCAATCCGTCTATTCCCAATTGCTCCGCTCTTACATTAAAACTGTCTTCCCAGCACCAGCTTTACGATTCATCAAACTCGATAGTTACTGCTGTGAACGCAAGTAAACTTACGGATTCCGGTAGCACAGAGAACAGCACCCTTTGTGGCTTTCCATTCTTGATACTCCTTGCTGTTGACGAACCAGTTTCCGGTCGCAGGGATCCGTTTCTTCCTCACGTCGATGTGAATTGCTCTCGAGTTCGACTTGAGATCGAAATAAGTCGTAATATCGGATATCAGGGAATCTAGATAGGTAGGTCGTAAGTTAACAGCAGTCTGGGGGCTCCACGGACCAGGGTGGGTCAGCTACTCACCACGATCTTCGGTCGAGTTTCGACGTTCGGCGTGGGGATGGATATTATAGATGATATGATCTCCTCCGATTACTGTCCCTCCGGTTATGGTGTTTCCTTCCCCCAAGCTGACGTTCGGGACTGTGCCGCCCGCATTGCGCGCAGCAGGAAGCGATTTATTCCTCCCCGCAACAGACATAGTTGACGGTCCTGTAAGCCAAGTCAGAAGACAGCAAGCGACGCTATCTCTCTGTACCCACCCAATCCAAGTCCAATCCAGCAGAGCGCTCAGGTGGTGACCAAGAGAGGGCGGCAGGAAAGCAAGTGCGCTGGAGTGAGATGGCGATAAGGTATCAAGATGGGCGCAGTGTGTGCGGTGTTGCCAGCATGAGGCAGCTGTGCGTGGGTAAAAACATATTAGGCGCCCATCAAACCGTCAAGCACCATCACCAGCCACCTACTGCGAAACGGCGAAATTCAAACTTCATCAAACTTCAGAGTGAAAGAAGCACCAGTCGTCAATAAAAACAAGATGATCAGAATCAATAGTGGACTATAATACAGATTTTTGACTTCCGTCGTCAATAACAGAGTAGCTACGGTCAGATAAGGGTAACAAGCAGGGTAAATAAAAGCAATAAAAGGATTGGTAAAACTACAAAGGTCGAGAGATGGATATGAGACCGAGGACTTGGGTAGCACAAACAAGACAAGACAAGAGAATCCTGGAGAACGACACAAACGAGACTACAATCCGAAATCATCACATACGAAATAAGCATTAACGCCTGTCCCTCCTCGCGCGAGCGAGATCGTTTTCGGGTGGGTGGTGGATGGTCGGTGGTGAGAAGTGAGATCGGGGAGAATGAACGAAAAGGGCGGGTGGTAGATGAGTGAGTGTACTACATCGTGCGCTTACGCAGCAGAGGCGACCTTCTCCTTGATGACTTCGACGATGCCCGGGTCGGCGAGGGTGCTGAGGTCACCGAGCTGGTCAGCCTCGCCAGCGACGATCTTGCGGAGGATACGTCGCATGATCTTGCCGGAGCGAGTCTTGGGGAGGTCACTGACGATATAGATCCGCTTGGGCGCAGCAAAGGGACCGATGATCTTGCGGACTTGGAGGATGAGCTCCTTGGAGAGGCCAGCCTCGTTCTCGGGGTCGAACTTGAACTCACTGGAGCAATCGAAAAATGGATAAGTAAAAGGGACCGTGGGGTCATACGAAGATGGAAATACGCACGGCTTGAGAGTGACGAAGGCGTAGACGGCCTGGCCGGTCAGTTCGTCGGCGGTACCGATGACGGCGGTCTCAGCAACTCCAGTGTGGGTGATGAGAGCGGATTCGATTTCGGCGGTGGACAAACGATGGCCAGAAACGTTAATGACATCTGTAATGACACCATCAGTGAGATCGACGTCATGGACCCCAATGAGGGGTCGAGGAATGCAAATCTACGTACCATCAACACGACCCTTGATCCAGATGTAGCCGTCCTCATCACGAGCAGCGCCATCACCGGTGTAGAAGTAGCCGGGATAAGGCTAATAGAACCATTAGTTCATAGAGTTAAGAAGCGTTAGTTGAAGCTACGAACCTTCATGTAAGTCTCGAGGTAGCGCTGATGGTCTCCGTAGATGGTTCGAGCGATAGAAGGCCAGGGATGAGCGATAGTGAGAACACCCTCGACATCATTGCCCTCGAGCACCTTTCCAGTGGTAGGCTCCAAGATGGCGGGCTCAATACCGAAGAAGGGCACAGTCGCGGCACCAGGCTTGGTCTCGATAGCACCGGGGAAAGGAGTAACGACGATGGAACCAGTCTCAGTTTGCCTGAACAATCAGTCAGAACGCATCATGTCATGTAGTAGGTGAATGTACTCACCAGAAGGTATCAACGATAGCACACTCGGTCTTTCCGACGTGCTCGTTGTACCAGTGCCAAGCCTCGGGGTTGATGGGCTCTCCAACGCTTCCCAACACACGCAAACTGCTCAAATCGTGCTTGTTGACGTGCTCGTGTCCGAGGCGGCGCAAGAGTCGGATAGCGGTAGGGGCCGAGTAGAACTGGGTGAGCTTGTACTTCTCGACGGTCTCCCAGTATCGTGAAGGAGTGGGGTATACGGGAGTGGACTCGAACACGGTGGTGGTAACGCCAATAGCGAGAGGACCGTAGACGATGTAACTAGAGGAGAGGTCAGATAAGGCCAAATACGAAGAAAGAGATGAGACGCACGTGTGGCCCGTGATCCAGCCAACGTCGGCCATGCAAGCGAACCTGTCGTCGGGGTGGACATCGAAGACGTATTTGACAGTCAACGCGGCGCAGAGTAGATATCCACCAGTCGTGTGCACGACACCCTTGGGTTTGCCAGTCGAGCCAGAAGTCTAAAGTGATAGATGAGCGATTTTAGCCATTGTTCCAAATCGCGTTCAAGTGGATAGCACGTACGTAGAGGATGAAGAGAGGGTCCTCGGATGCCATGACCTCGGGAGGGCAGTACCTCGGCACCCTGGCGACCGCCTCGTGCCACCACACATCCCGACCCTCAGTCCACGGAACCGGGTTACCCGTCCTCTTCAACACCAACACCTTCTCAACCGCCGGGCACTCCTTGAGGGCCGCATCCGCGATGGCCTTGGTAGCAATCGCCTTCCCACCGCGCCGCCCTTCATCGGACGTGATGAGCACACGCGATTTGCAATCTTGCATACGATCACGCAATGCTTCGGCCGAGAAGCCAGCAAAGACGACGGAGTGGATGGCGCCGATGCGGGCACACGCGAGGAAGGCGGCGATGGCTTGCCAGGTCATGGGGAGGTAGACGGAGACGGTGTCGCCCTTCTTGACGCCGAACGACTTGAGCACGTTTGCGATGCTGCAGACTTCCCGTAGGAGTTCCGCGTAAGAGATCTCCCTTCCCTCGCCAGGTTCATCTGCTTCGTAGATAATCGCGGTCTGGTGAATGGATGGTGGTTAGAAGATGAACGAAGTGAATAAGAGAAGAGTATAACACACCTTTTCCGGATGTTTGAACGCCCAGCGGTCAACGCAGTTATAGGAGGCGTTCAAACCACCCTCAGGGAACCAAGCAATGTCGCCATTCTCGAAGCTGCCCGAGCGGACAGTATGGAATGGTCGATCCCAGTAAAGAAGCTCATGAGCTTTCTATATGATCGAAGACACGAAATAAGCCCAAGGGACAGAAAAGAACTCGAAGCGCAGAAGAACACACCTTTGCCCACCACTTGTCGGATTCGTGGCCAATGGTTTCCCGGTGCTGGCTTCGGTAATCGTCAATATGGGAGACATGGGGCGTCTTGCAGCCATGCTTGACGCGCTTGGCGATGGGGTGGGGAGCGACTCGGATTGGACCTTCGGACATTGCAGAGAGCGAGGCGGTGGTGGGATGGGAGGGGGAATGAGGAGAGTTGTCGTATTTGGGCGGCAAACGGCTTTTTATCGACGCATTAGGGGCTTTCCTTTTACGTCCGACACTCTGATCATGCGACCACCGTCTTGGCGCAGGTTGGGTCAGAGTTATTTCTGTTTCGGCAATGGCTCCCCATCCCGCTCGGAGCAACCTTACGCCTCTCCACATCATGGCGTTAGCCCCACGTTATCGGCAGCTATGGGGACGCCGCGGCCACTTGGCGATGAGCCCGTTTAACGAGGGTCGATGGTGAATGATAATCCAGGTAATTGTGCTAGGGTTTTATGTTCGTTATCTTTCACTTTTCTCAGAGGAAGTCACAAGGTCGAAGGAAGCGTGGTGGCGGTATGTAGGCTATGTTTGATGATGTGGTTCTGCCGTACGACTGGGCCAGGCACGCGCGCGCTCCTATGGAAAGCGGGATCGGATTTGCGGGCAAAGCGAAGATGCGGGGCAGATGGGTTGATCTTAGAACCGTTTAAGAGAAATGGAAAATCCCCAAAGCAACGGTCTGCCAGTGATCCCCTTGACCTGAGCCAGCCATAAAAAGATCAAGTGCACCACTGGATGACTTCCCGTAGCGAAATTTAGTCCAAGTCTACTTTTTCTAAATCCAAAAGACCCCGAGGGGTTTGTTCGAGATAAATTTAGTCCCCCGTAACTACGTTTTCTGTCTGAGAATAATACAGAATATTCCTCTTCAAGTCCTGGCTTGGCATGATTGCCTCTTGTCGCGTCGTGGATACGTTGCTCAATGTCTCCTGAGCTATTCTTCGTCTTAGACAAGGTATTCGACAACGAAGAGGAAGAAGTGGCCGCGGGGGCACTATTGGCCATCTTGCTGGTGGTGCTGGGTGCTCCTTGAACGCAATGAGCGACACCGCGAACATACTTGACGCGCTTCGACCTGCTGGGCTAAGAGCGAGCCAAGACAGGGACGATGCCCCAGAAGGAAGGCCAAGGTGATGGCCGGGTCCTTAAGCAGGTTTATTCGAGCGTTTAGAACTATTTAGAATCTGGAAAGGGGGGTAGGGGGCCTTTCCAGATTCTAAAATCTGGAAAGACCTAAAACTTTCCCATGAGCGTCATACCTACCATTTGGAGACTCGGCATGGCGGCATCTGGCCTCAAAGCTCCCGATCAACGTTTAGAAATAGTCTGGCTGGACTAAATTTCTCTACGGGAAGTCATCCACTCTTCTGCGAAGGGAACGGACGAGTAACCTGTTTTGGAGGCTGTATTGAGAATAACTCTAGAGTTAGTCTGAAGAACTTACAAGATTGTCAGCTCACAAAGGTAGCTATTTTTGTCGACTTTTGGACACAGAGAGCATGAGGTGTGATACTCCCAGAATCAAGGCAACCCTGTGACGAGCGTCGGACGAAATGTTTGAGCCGCATTCCGCTAGATTCCGCCCGTCCAAGACTGACCGTCTTAAACCTACACCCGTGGATCGGATGCACAAGCGCCCAGGCGAATGGAGAGTTACGTATGGGGTAATCGCGAGTCTTGACGAGAAGCTTGACTTTGAAACGTCTAAATACAAGGTTAGTTGTCTTCGCCTATAGATAGTAGAGTTACCATTGAAGCCTTTCGAAGGATGTCGCGAATGCGACTGGTAGAAAGGCGCGCGCTACGGATCGTCGGGCTGAGCACAACATGTCCTATCCGCCCCGCCATCCGGGCTCTGATGCATGATGTCCAATTAATTCAATTCACCAACTTTCTCAGCATTTACTCAAGCATCTCACCATCCTCTCGTCCCGCAGAACGCGGGACCCCATCATGCACGATGAAAGCAGTTAACCGTGTCAGCGGAGCGGAATACCAGTGGGATTCTGAGGCTCGGCCAGATAGGATGTACAGCTGTGTACAGTCACCTAAGTAATCGGAGCAGACACCCTCGGTCTGAGGAAATCCTCAGGCCATCCTATGTAAGCTATCCCAAGGATACGCTCGGGTATCGCCAAAAACACGTCAAGTGGGTGTGATCGGACCAGCAATTGGTGACAAGTATGGTCGTAAGCCAGCCCAATCGAGATAACGATGGGAGCACCGTGTACGGTTAGCAACCAAGTCTCCGAGTATCCACTTACCAATTGAGTGTAGATACGTATGTATGTAGCCGCCGCCGATGTCCAAGGCGGGCGGGTCTGGGGAAGTGGGTTTACCCCGCATTTTCTTTTTGCTGCGACAGGAAGCCAGGGAAATTGAAATTTGAAGTGGAGTGGGCTAATCACGGTTTGGAGATTCAGACGGTGATGAGTGGAGATGACGATGTGGATTAGATGCGGAACTCCCGCTGCAGACTCTGGAGAACCCCCCTTTATGCCAACGCTTGTGGACTCTTGGATCGCAGTTGTCTGTGGAGAGACCAAGTATTTCGGAGGTTGGATGTTTGAAGTGAAGAGTATTTGATGAGGTGCAATGGGCGAGGGGAGGCTTCCGAGGACGGCATGAACGTTCACTAGAATCTTCTGACCACGATGTGGGCGCTAAAGAGTTCCACATCCCTTCCTTCAAATTCGTCGTCGTACATCATAGGCAAAAGAATGCAACATACGCTCGATATCCACCATTCGCAACGGTAAAAAGACCGTTCGTTACAGTATGATTTTCCACTACGCCCCAGACTCCGAAAAGAGAGAATGACGAAGACCCAGACCATTTTACTTCCATCCATATCCAAGTACTTACCTACTACATACCAGGCAGTGCGGGGCGATGATAACAATTACGACCGAACGCAATTGGCCCATTTTATGTCTTAGACTCTGGGCTTCGTACGCAGATACGGTAAGCTGCCGTGCGCTTGGGACTGGATAATTTATGTGCGAGTGGGAGGGATGACGAATGTGTGTGGGGTGAGTGCATGTGGAGATTATTGAATACTGAAGTTCGACTTGGATGATCAGCAGGTACGGATACGGATAGGAAGGGGATTTGAGGGGAAGTTTGAGTGTGGGGTGGTGTTATTGGTAATGGGAATGGGAAGTTGGGTGGGGATGTTCGAGGGCTACGAGATTTCGATGAATGTGATGCTCTTTATAGAGGTACGCAGCGTCAAAGGTCGAGACAAGGAGACCATTCGATTCGAGTCTTTCAGCAGTACGGGCAAACACGAGAGGCATCGAACGGAGACCGGTCTTTACAGTAAAGGGTCCGTTTCCTTCAAAAGGTATAAGAAAACCACCGGCGGTACCGTCACTGAAGTCGCCACGCGAGTTATGCACATACAAAAGCACCTTCAATTATTGGGGAGCACATGGTACACCGACAGTGGTTGAGGGAAGGAAGAGCAGGAATAGGCAGAGTGTAAAACGAATAGGCTGATCACGAACGAAACACCGTGATTTCGAGCCATATTCTCAAAATCACAATCAAACCCAGAACCCTAGCCAAAAGCGTCAAATACGTAGTCGCATAGTACTAGTAGTTTGTTCGCCCATTACGAGTTGATTCGAAGCCGATGCTTCATACATATCCCAAAGAAGCTCAGGCAGGTCAAGGAACAAGGCGGCCGATGCTCGTAGACCAGAGAAACTGATAGGCATATTGCGGTACAAAGAAAGTCCAGCCTGACCTTGGGGGAGGGACCGATCCTCCGATCCTCGTGAGTTGGAACGGTCGAGTACACCGGATATTTGCACAGTGCGGTGTATATAGCGCTGAAGCGGTCGGAAGAGTAATATACAAGACAAGAAGGACTACCAGAGCGACAATTGTGGATAGGAGATCATGACCTTGCATGATATCTCTCGAGATAAAACGCAAAGCCCTAGCCAAGCATGCAGCCAGAGCCCGCTCATAGTACTTGGTAGTACCGACACACACTATAAAATGATTTCGAAGCTGATGTTCGCAACGCAAAGCCATCCAGAGTGGTTCAAAGAAATCGCGGTACCCAGCCTGGAAGAGGGAGAATTACTACCTTCTGACAAGGCCGCACACATAGCAACCTTCCCCTACAAGATGATTACGTTCGAAAACGTCGTCGAAGGAACACGAAGAGCAAATCGGAGATATGTACCAAGTAGTACGTTCTTGCATTCACGGAAGTCAGAAGGAAGCAACGGAAGAGCGTTGGGCGAATTGGTGGGTGCCGCCGAGTCAAGGATGAGCCAGGAGATGCCAGAGAGTCACGGTGGATTTCGGAGATGTGGACTCGGAGTACTCAAGAAAGACGTTTGACAAACGGCGCTCGGAGAGCCAGCAACAACCCCGAGAAACCTTTGAACACAGTCCGGAGTTGAACGTCGCCCAACGAGATGAAGGCCGAGATGCAAAGAAAAGATTGAAGTGGAGGCTGGCTGGTCCGTGAAGGCGGAGTCGGACTTGATCTTGGCAGCGGGGCAGGGTCACGCGTTGTCACAGCGCACGTGGTGTGACACCCCGACTGTGTGACGCGCTCCATTGGCTGGTGGCGCGTCATGAGCTGGTGGCGGGCTGAGCGCAGACCATCTCGCCTGACGACGTCGACGACGTTTTGAAATCCAAACTTTACTCGACTTGACGCTGGGCTTGGATATCTGACGACAAATATCTAGGCGATCCTCTTGAATTACCGATACGAAGCCATTTTCCGCTGAGATTCCGAATCCCGACTTACGCCCCACATACCCAGTAAAATCCTCGTATCATCGGAACCTACATACGAACAGCCAAAATAACAAAGCGCATCTAGTCAGCTTCTTGAGCACTGCATATTGCCAGCTGGACAGCTATATCCGCTAAGCGCTAAACGCTAAACGCCATGCCACCAACCCCGACCCGAACATCGTCTCGCCGCGCCAGCGCAGGAACGAAGAGGAAGAATTACGCCGAGGACGAGGACCACAGCGACGAACAGGCTACTTCACCAACGCGCAAATCTGCTCGGGCAAGAACTGTCAAGTCGAAGGCGAGCAAGAAGGAATATGATAGTGATAATTTGGACGAGGATGAGGATGAGGAGGTGAAGGCGGTGAAGAAGAATTCACCTAGGAAGAGGCGCAGGGTTGGAGAAGACAAGGAAGAGGATGCAGACGGGAAGGAAGAGGAGTTGAAGGAAGAGAAAGCTAGAGCATCAGCTAGTTCAACTAGGAAAGGTACGCTCGTCCTATCCTTTTTCTCTCCCATACAACAGCGAAATGAAACGATTGGTTCTCGGTTCACCCCAGCCCCCTCTCGCAAGAAGGCCAAACCTACATACGACAGCGACGCTCTAGACGACGAATCCGCTCAGGAAGAGGATAATTCAGAGTATGACGAAGTGGATGACGACGACAAAGAAGAGGCGAAACCCAAGTCCAAGTCCAAGCCGAATCCAGCCTCCAGATCACCAGCGAAGACCAAGAGCAAGTACTTCTCACCTCGGAAGAAGACCGCATCCTCCAAAGCCAAGGATGAAGACGAGGACGAGGAGTTTGACGATGTGGATTTGAAAGAGGGCCAGGAAGTCGTTGGAGCGGTCGTACAGGCTCCAACCACCGGGCGAGGTGCGTTCTCCATACCTCATACTACTATATCTCGTCTTGTCTCCTTCGCAGGAAGGAAGCAGGTTAAGAGTGATGCGAACTGAATGCTGACCTTGACCGGTTGTCATGTTTGTAGTCCCGCCAGGCCGGATATCCCAGAACACCCTGGACTTCCTGACGCATTTGAAGGACCCGGCGTGTAACGATCGGACATGGTCCGTTTCCTCTCCCTTCCTACACAACGTCCTAGTACTGACACAGAAGATGCTTTAGGTTCAGGCTACATGGTACGCGTCGCCCCATCGATCTCCTCCCGTTCTCAAGACTCACTGACGATCTTCTCTTCCTGAATTGCTTCATATTTCCGCCTTCTGGTGCGGCGGTGCCCTCGTACTTTAATTACGCCCTTCAGAACCCGTCTACCGCGTCGCCGAAAAGGAGTGGAAAGACTTTGTGGAGAAGTGGCAGGACGAGTTGATGGCAGTGGACCCGCAGATCCCGCAGTTACCGACGAAGGATGTGATTCATAGGATATATCGCGATGTGAGTACATATTTTATCGGTCTTACCTTCAAACGTTCTTTGGAATCCTTGGGGACCGCTCCGTGCGACTGTATTCTTGAGTCCGTTTTATAACTGGTGCTTCGCTTGGGCTTATTCGACTGTCCATTCACGCATGGCTCAGGAGTTCGTACTGACCGCGCTTTCAGATACGTTTCAGTAATGACAAGACGCCTTATAAACGCGGGTTTTCGGCTACATTTTCTCGAGGTGGGAGGAAGGGTGTCTTTGCGAAATGTACGTCCTCCCCATGTTCTTCATCTTTACTGTTACTAATGCCCTCGGGTAGATCATATGTAAGTACGACCAAATATCCATCATCGACAAATCAAACCAACCGCGTTTTATGATGTCTTTTTTAGAGCAGGTGAGAACTCACTACCCATCGTGGTTGGAGCTGTGCGGATGGGCGCTCATCATGGGCGACCTGATTGTTCGCCTCCTTGTGTTGTATGAAACTGATGAATCTCTCGTGATCTTTCTTAGTGAAACCTGGTGATGAAAGTTTTATTGCTGCTGGGTTGTGGTGTCCAGGGCGGAACGAGTTGGCTAATATCAGGTTAGTTCTGGGTTCACGCTTTCTATGTGAATGCGAGTGAGATCCACTGACGCCTATCAACTCTCGCCTTGCTATCTTTCGAATTCTGCATCCCTTCATTCGGAATCATTCCATTCTGGAAACAACAATCACTTTATCCCGCCCATCTCGAAACATCCGCTACTTCCTGGCCTCGTTCGCGACCTCCGTCCGCTACTTCATTCCATCTTTCGATGTGCAGGACCAACCTCCAACGTGATTCAAGGCGCTTCAAAAGGATCCTTTCTGCGCCTGGGTTTGTAGAGCTTTTTGGGAAACCGGAGCCCCATCCCAAAGGAGCGAGGCAGAGTATTTTTGGGCATGAGGATGAGTTGAAGGTTGCGCCTAAGGGGGTTGATAAGAACCACAAGTACGTGTTGATATTCAATCTTCACCTGTGTTCGATTGTACAACGATAATTCTGGCTCGTCTTCGTTTGGTTTACAGGGATATAGCGATATTGAAGTGCCGGACGTTTGCTGTTGTGCATACGTAAGTCTTTCTCTTTCCAGTCCTCTTTCGTTGTGGTACCCCTCGCTCGACGTGGGTTGTACGCCCTTATTGTGGCTTTTTGGCGCCCGTTTTGCACTTTTTTTTGGCGCCTGTTTTTACACTTTCTTTGACGCCTGTTTTTCACTTTCTTTGGCGCCTGTTTTCCGGTTCATTGACGCCAATCTACCCGTTCATTGACGACGTCATATCGGGCCCGCGCATACCCTTGTTTCCCCTCACGCGTAGTCTAAGCGATCTCGCTTCCTTCATTCGCGCCTATGTGATCTCGCTTATTGCACACAAACCCTTGCTTATTCCATCTTAATCCCAACATCGTTCTGATCCCTCACAACGTTTGAACTTTGGACATCTCACAATCGTTTTGGGCTTCTCACATGGTTTAGCGTTTTTGTCTTCTCACAATCGTTTTGATTCCTCACAATCGTCTTGGATTTCTTCTCACAATCGTTCTGGACTCCTCACAATCGTTTTGATTTCTCACCACGTTTTCTTGATACACACAGATTCAAAGACAGCGAAGTTCTCGATCCAGGGTTTCAAAAGACCCTGGCTGGGGTTGCTAGAGTGATGAAACCGTTTGTGTATATGTGCGTCATGACCGGTGTTTTTCTTTGGGTTTTTTCGAACACTCATTGAATGTTTGTTTTGTCCGTTTTTTGTGTTCTGCGACGATTTTCGTGTTTGCGACGATTATATGTTTGCTTGTCTTTTTGTGTCTGCGACGATTCTATGTTCCGCGTGGTTGGTTTCTGCCACATAGACTCAATGATCTTTTGACGGTTGGTGGTGGACAGGGAGGTGGGAGTGATTCAGATGATGACGATGATGAGGAAGACGGGGGCGAAGGGGACGAGGGAGAAGGGGATGAGGGAGATGAGGGCGAAGGGGACGGGGACGCAAGCGGAGATCAGGTTAGGGATGATTAACACGGAGATGAGGATGGGAGTGATGGAGATAACGATAGTGACGAACAGAAATAGGAGACGTCGAAGGGTAATTGACAGCTTGAACGAGCTGATGTTGACGTCAAGACCCAAGATGGAGGAAGGAAGAGGAAGGTCCTCCCGTTTGTATGTGCATATAGGTATGTAGTGTGAAGTGATAATTTAGTATAGAGTGAAGCGATTTTTATCTATCCCCGTTGTTTGAAATGGCGGGAAGATTCGCTTCATTATACCGGTATTGGGAGGATTATCGATGCTTTGGGCAGTATATGGGGGATTATCGATGTTCTTTCATGCTATTGTGGTCATGGTGGGATAATTGACGGTTCTTGGCTCTTTCTTCACAATAACATTGACACGGTAGGGCTACGGGCACTGTGATTCTTCGCAGTAACAAGCATAACCGACAGGATGCGGGGTGTGGTTCTTGATTCTTGAGGTTTCTTACAGCGCTAGTCTGACGGCGGTATACCAATACGGGTCGGAAGAATCGAGTCTTGGCGGGGTTGGACTAGATTACCGGTGGGCAAAAGGTCATGCTGGGAGTGGGACAAGTACGTAGTCTCGGCGCCCTTCAAACACGCTGAAATTGTGTTACCAGCGCCGAAAATAGATTTCGAACGCTGAAAATGGGCGTCGAAGGACGTGTGGTGTGTCACTGTGTTCCCCGAAGTAGAATCGAGCCGCGCTAACAGCGGACCACGGATCAGGGTTGCCACGAAAGAGAAGAAAATTGTTTGAGAGGCCGGCGGCGGTTGTTGTTGTTGGATGGTTGTTGGTGGTGCCATCACCCTTTGCCCACAGACCGAGCGAGGGCTTGAAGGACAGCTTTTTTCTCCGAGTTTGACGTTTTCTCTGTGTCTTGACTCTTTTCCCCGTCGTCTCCCTTTTCATGCTTCAAGATCCTCCTTGAACCTTCCTTCCTCCTTTTGCGTCTTTTGGTTGTCGTTGTTGCTGTTGCTATTACCTCCTTAAAGTGTGAGTGCGTTCTTTGTGTGGTTGTTGGTTGGGTGTGGCAGGATGGGAATAGGACCGTTGGCTGACTCGGTGGGAGTAGATTTGTTATTTTTTATAGACCGCAAAACGTCGAGAAGACGACACAGTTTTTTTGTTGCTTGCTTGTGCCTCCGCCCACAAGACGCGTAGCTCAGGATGCTTGCTTCGCCGGTACCGTCGAAAGGGAAACTAAACGCTAAACTTACACCGCCTATCCCCTCATCCTCCTCCGGTGTTGCTACCACCGCTTCCTCGACCACCTCCTCTACCACCATAGCTACCCCCTCCTCCTCCACATCAGCCCCGCGCATCGAACCCACCGCCCAATGGAAATCCCAGCTCCGCCGGCGCATCGACGAGAACCTCGACCAACTCTTATTGGACGCCAAACGGTCGTACGAGCACAAAGTTCATACTTCGTCCCTCCTACCCAACCATACGGTGGAAGTGGAGAAGAAGTTGTATTTCGATTATTTGCAGACGATACAGGATTTGAAAGCGTTTGCAAGGGATGAGTATAATTTTGCGATTGAGAGGGAGAGGAGAGAGATGGTTTGGTGTTTGGAGGCTGAGGCGGGGGGACATGACGGTGGGGGAAGGGATGGAGTAAGGGAGGGAAGAGATGAGGGGAATGGGGCAGGGAAGGAGGGTATTGTGGATGAGAGTTTGAAGGAGGAGCAGTATGAGATGTTGAATGCGTTTCATTTGGAGATGGAGAGGGCGCGGTTGAAGGCGGAGATGATTGAGAACCCGCAGTATGATGGGTACGATTATCAGCACGCCCACCACCACCACGGCCAGCACTACGACGAGCACTACGATTCCCAGTACGACGACGACGACGGGGATGGGGAGTTGGTCGAACGGGAATACGACGAGGACGAGGAGGAGAGGGAGGCACCGGGCACGCCGGTTGTGCTGGCGCTGAATGCGCAGTTCCAGGAAGAGCTGTCGCGGTTGCTGTCGGTGACGCCGTCGCCGCCTCACTCGCCGCGCCTCCCGGCTTCGCGGTCTCTTTCCCCGTCCCCGTCTCCATCGACATTCACATCGCAATCCACATCGCCTTCCCTATCCCCGTCTCTAGGTCCATCCCCGGATTCCCAGGTCCCCTCGCTGGAACTCTCCCCGTCCCCGCCTTCGACTCCGCCGGAGCTCTCGTCGGACGAAGCGGGCGGGACGTCCTCCGTCGAGTCGTCGATTATTTTCACGCCGCAGCGCTCGGTTATTGATGAAGAAGCAAGGTTGCGTGCGGAGAAGCATAAAGAGCAGCAGGAGGAGTTTCATCGACGTGCGGAGGAGATTAAGAGAAGGAATGAGGAGAGGAAGAGGATGAAGATGAAGGAGAGGGAGGAGGCGAAGGCCAAGGGGGAGAAGGAGAAGGAAAAGACGCCGAAGAAGGGGGAGGGTTTGGAGCAGGAGAGGCAGCTTGTGGTCAAGCCCCAGCCGAAACAGCTTCAGCTGCAGCAACAGCAGCTACCGCGAGTATCGACTGCCCCGTCGCTATTCAAAGCTGCCCAAGCGGCCAACGCCACCTCCTCTGCGCCGCCTACAGCCACCACCGCCAACTTCCCCTGGACCCCGAGTCGCAAACATACAGCCTCGGCTGCGTCGTCGAGGTACGCGTCGTCGGTGTCGTCTACCGATGATGTACCGCGCCGACATGATCTGTTGTTCTCGGAACCGCGTCATCGTCATCCGCCGTCGACGCACACGCCGTTCTACCCTTCTGCGTCGGCGTTTGCTGCCTCGTCTGCTTCTGCTTATACTCCCGTGTCTGCATCAGCTTCCGCCTCAGCGTCGGCATCGGCGGCGTCGTCGAAGGCTACTTCCCCTGTTCCGTTCACCAACCCGTTCTTCATCCCTACTGCTTCGTCGTACGCGGATGACGATGATGATGACTACGAAGGGTTCGACCTTGACGACGACGATGGCTTTGGTCCTAGCATCAGCACAGCCAGCAAAAACCCGGCCTCCACCACCAGCAAAAACTCCACCACCTCCTCCTCCACCACCGCCCCCGTCGCGCGCTACCTCTCCCAAGAAGACCGTATCCGCATCTTCATCTTCCACGAGCAACAATGGGCTCGGATCGCCGCGTTCCCTAAACTTACTTGGGGCGATTTTCCGTGGCCTGTCCTATCATTTGGAGGGCCGAAGGGGTTGGAGGAGTTGGCGGGGGAGAGGGTGAGGGAGTATGTGTGGGGTGTTGTTGAGTGGGAGAGGGATAAGAGGGATAGTGTTAGTCGGGCTAAGGAGGGTGGTGTGGGCAAGGGCAGGGATAAGGATAAGGACCTAGAAAAAGGCTGGACGCGCGAACGTCTCAGAGACCACCTCCGGAAGTGGAACCCCGAGCGATTGGAGAGTCGGTTCCTTACCCGTGTGGAGGAGGGGAATGGGGAGAGGGAGAAGGTGCGCAAGGGGGTGAAGGTTGTGGTGGGGATTTTGGGTGAGATGGTGGAGGGGTTGTGAAGGTGCTTCGTCTGGTGCTCGTCGATGGTCTGGCCTGGTGATCATCGATGGCCTGGTGATGGTCGATGGCCTCCTGATCGTCGGTGTAGAGTTGGCTGGTGCCTGGTGTGGTCGCTGGTGTAGGCAGCGGTAGCTGACTCCGCAGCCCCCGTCCAGCCTGCTGTGCGGTGGAGGTTGTATCCGCTCATCCGGAGCGCGGTTGTGTTCCCCTCGCTACTTCTACTCCGAGAGGGGGACGATGAAAAGTTTGGTATATCTCTGCGCTGTTTGTGGTGCGCTTAATTCTTGTCTCCTTGCGTTTTTTTCTCTTTTCGCTCGTGTTCGTTGCTGTGTGTTGTGTTTTGCGTTTGGTTTATTGTACGATTTATTAGTTCACTTAATTCTCTCTCTGTCTGCTTGTTTTTTTTATCCCACTCGCCATCTATCTTCTCACCATCTATCCCTCGCTTTCTTTTTCCCCGTTTCTTTCGCCCCCGATATATAGACTTCATTCTTTCCCTTCCCCTCCTTGTTCGTGTTCTTTATCTCTTAACTTATCCTTATCTTTTCCGTCTCTGTCTCTCGTGCTTTCGTCTTTCGTCGTACTCTACTCTTTTTGCTATTGTGTCACTTTCTTCGCTTCTATAGATAGACTTCCTTTTTCTTTTGCATTTGTTTGAGCATTTCATTTCGCATCTAGCGTTACCCCCTCTTGCATTCTTTTTGCCTTCATCTTTGTGCGTTCGTTCTTGTATCTCTTCCCATCGCCAGCCCGCTCGAGTTGTTCTTTTAGCCTCTCGCGTTGTCGAGGTTCATGGTTTTAACGACCCGAGTTGTCGATGCGTTTCCGAGTGTTTCATCATCTATGCCCCTTTCCTACCTCTATCTCTCTATCTCTGTTTGTTCGTTTGTTGTAGCCTCTAGCCCGTCTCCTTTTCTTTTCTTTCTTTCTCTACTTGTGTCTGTTGTTGGGTTACTACCACCTACCTACCTACTATGATGTCCTGCTCCTACTACGACCACCGAACTATAGATCTATGCCAGCCTTTTCCTCTCGTTTTTGTTTTTTTTTTTGGTTAGATTTTGTGTTAGATTTTGTGTGAATCGAGTCTGTACCCGGTACCCTCGTCTCGTCGTAGCCTGGGATTTCGGTACGATTCAGACTTCTTACGGACATATAGATTGTCGGGGGAATGGCCCCAACCTGATGGTGAATTGATGGGCGCCTAATGTTTGCCCACGCACAGCCGCTTGACAGCCGCATGCTGGCAGCACCGCCCACACTGCGCATGTCAATCTTGATACCTTATCGTCATCTCGTTCCAGCGCACTCGCTACCCTACCGCCCTTCCTTGGTCGCCACCTGAGCGTTCTGCTGGATTGGACTTGGATCAGGTGGGGTACAGAGAGATAGCGTCACTTGCTGCCTTCTGACACGGGTTACAGGACCGTCAAGTATGTCCAAGTCTGTTGCGGGAAGGAATAAATCGCTGGCTGCTGCGCGTAAGGCGGGCGGCGCAGTCCCAAACGTCAGCCTGGGGGAAGGAAACACCATGGCCGGGGGTACAATAATCGGAGGAGATCATATCACCTATAACATCCATCCCAGCGCCGAACGTCCAGACTCAACCGAAGATCGTGGTGCGTATCTGACCCAACAATGGAACCACCAAACTGCTGTGAACTTACGACCTACCTACCCAGACGCTCTGATATCCGACATTACGACTTGGTTCGATCTCAAGTCGAACTCGAGGGCCATTCACAACGATGTGAAGAAGAAACGGATCGCTGCGACAGGAAATTGGTTTATCAACAGCAAGGAGTATCAAGAATGGAAAGGAAAAAAGGGCGCTGTTCTCTGTGCTACTGGAATCCGTAAGTTTACTTGCGTTCACAGCAGTAACTATCGATTCTGATGGGATTGTAAAGCTGGTGCTGGCAAGACTGTCTTGATGTGAGAGGAGCGTGTGGTTCCCGTTCACCCATCGCTGACTGATTCCTAGGTCGCGGGTCGTCGACGATCTCCAACCACTGGAGGAAGCTACCGACCAAAGGATCTGCGTACTCTTCGTCTACAACCGCTACAACGAATCACTCTCGATTGGCGACATCGTGAAAGGGTTCATTCTTCAAATTCTGCAACGTCACAAACACCTCGTGGACCTCGTCAAGCCCCTTTACCAGCGTGGTCGACTCGAGAGGACGAACCCCTCTGACGAAGATCTTCTCAACATGCTCCTCAAGCTGGAGGGCCACTTCGACCGTATCTACTACGTCGTCGACGGTGTGGATGAAGTCGATCGCAACTATCAGTTCGACCTAATTCTGGCCCTGGGACAGCTACAGGGGAACCTGATCTTCGCCTCCCGCCCTCTGGAGGACCTGAAGACGGAGTTGAAGAACGCCAAGTATTTGACATTGCTGGCGCAGGACGAAGACCTCCAACTGCTCATCGATGACAGGCTTAGGAGGTACAAGGGCCTATGTCGCGTTTTGGAGGACCACGAGTATCGGGAGAAGGTCATTAGGCTGATAGCTGACAAGGCAGCTGGAATGTAAGTGGCTCGTGTTTGTCTGTTTGAGGGCCAACCTAACACGACTCTACCTAGGTTTCTCCACGCAGCGTTGCAAATCGAGGCCCTACGCAGCTGTTTGTCACTGGCTGCCGTAGAAGCGAAGCTCGACCAGTTTCCCGCAGGAATAGAGGGGATGTATGCTGCCAGCCTCTCTCGGATTGAGAACCAGGACCCGGAGCTCGCGCAGTTGGCCAAGCAGGTCCTCTTTTGGCTCGTCTTTGCCCGTGGGTCGTTGTCGTTGCGGGACCTTCAGGCCGCGCTCGGTGTGAACCCGGAAACATACAGTGTTGAGAAATCGCGTATGCCGGACAAAGACTCGATTGTTGACCTCTGCTGTGGTCTCGTCGAGCTGGACACAGAAAGTGACGTCGTTCGACTCGTCCGTGAGTGCTGTGCCTGTATATCGCTGTATGATTACCTGCTGACACCCTTCGATCTAGACTTCACGGCTAGAGACGCACTGGAACCCCTCTTGCTCAAGGACTTTCCCCAACCCCATCTCTTCATCAGCAAAGTGTTGGCGCAGCGGATGGTCGACAACAATCTGCCTCGTTGTACCATCGTAGAGCGCGAAGCCTTTGACGCCCTCATTCAGCGGGAACCGCTCCTGGATTACGCTTACCGGCACTGGGGCACCCATGTTCTGGAGTGCGGAGATGGACCGGAAGCTGTCGACGCTGCAACGGACTTTCTGCGGCAATGCACCTCATTTCCCTCCGACCTCCCATGGAAAGCCTTGGACCTAGTGAAGCCACTTCACGTCGCTGCCTACTATGGCATCTCGATTTACTTAGACCGTGTCTTTGGGAGTGTTGTAGACCCCGATAGCCCGACAGCACAACATCCAACTTCGCACGGCGGTTCACCCCAGCCAGTGGCTCAACGCATGGAGAGTATTGGCATCAATGACACAACGGTGCTATGTTCGACAGCACTGATTATGGCATCCACTCGTGGTCACACCAATTTTGTGAAACAAATTCTCCAAATTCACGGCATCAACGCCAATGCGAGGGACAGAAGGGGTAGGACGGCCTTAGCCCAAGCGTCATTACTGGGACACGGTGAGGTCGTCAAACAACTCCTCCAGGTCCCTGGCATCGACGTCAACGCTGCGGACAACGACGGGTGGACTGCGCTCATGCTGGCCTCGGAAAACGGTCACGATGGAGTGGTCAGGCAGCTCCTCCAGGTCCATGGCATCGACGTCAACGCTGCAAAAAACGACGGGTGGACGGCGCTCATGGTGGCCTCGCAAAACGGTCACGACGGAGTGGTCAAGCAGTTCCTCCAGGTCCATGGCATCAGCGTCAACGCTGCGAAGAACAACGGGGCCACTGCACTCATGCTAGCCTCGCAATACGGTCACGATGGAGTGGTCAAGCAGCTCCTCCTGGTCCATGGCGTCGACGTCAACGCTGCTGACAACGACGGGTGGACGGCACTCATGGCAGCCTCGGCATACGGACACGATGGAGTGGTCAAGCAGCTCCTCCAGGTTCCTGGCATCGACGTCAACGCTGCGACCAACGACGGGTGGACGGCACTCATGGCAGCCTCGCGTCACGGTCACGATGGAGTGGTCGAGCAGCTCCTCCAGGTTCCTGGCATCGACGTCAATGCTGCGGACAACGACGGGTGGACGGCACTCATGCTGGCCTCGGCATACGGACACGATGGAGTGGTCGAGCAGCTCCTCCAGGTTCCTGGCATGGACGTCAATGCTGCGGACAACGACGGGTGGACGGCACTCATGCTGGCCTCGCGTCACGGTCACGATGGAGGGGTCAGGCAGCTTCTCAAATGCGGGGTTGACACCAATGCAGCCGACAACCACGGCAATACTTCCTTGATACTGGCGTCCTTCGGGCGCCACCAAGGCATTGTAGCGCAGCTCCTCGAGTGTCCAGGGATTGATTTTGAAGCTGCCAACAAAGCTGGAGACACAGCTCTATCTACAGCACAGACGGAAGGACACATGAGCATCGTGGAACTGCTAACTACCTTCATTCGAAATCGGTCAATTTCCGACAGTACCGCCACGGGAAAGAAAAGGCGTCTCATTACTTCTCCTAGTGATCTTGGTACGTCTACCAAGAGAGTTCGCTCATAGGTTGCTGCACACGATCGGCGTTGTCCTTAATCTTCACCCTTATTATACGATTCGACAAGTGGTTTATTCAAGCATAAGTAGCGACGTCGAATAGATTTTGTTCATTCTTTCAGAGTCCTGACGCTTAATCATGTAATGAATGGTTTGCTTTTCAACGTAACGGGGGAAAAGAGCTGTCCTGTACAAGGACTTTGTGGTCAGGAGCTTCAACTACATTAGATGTAGTGTCTTTCCGAGTGTCCCATGAGTCGAGAGGTTGGGGGTCTTAATTTTCCAGCATTAATGGGGTAGTGGTAACCTGGATCGTTGCCACAGCGAGAGCTTGTCTCGATCCCCGATTCCCTCTTAATGCATTTCACATTTCCTTTAGTTCCTCTTTTTCCTCTCTCAGATTCCGCCAACCATTGTGAACGTGTTTTTACTTAATTTGAAAGCGAGGCAGGGTACTTTGGGGGAAGTGGAATGCACCGAGTTGTATGGGCAGACAATTCATGCGAAGAAACCGAAAGTAGGTACAAAATGCTATGAAGGACCATGTGAAGAGAACGAATGCATAGAAAACTGTTTAAAGAAGTGGAACCTGGGACCCGAAGAAAAACTTGCTCTCGGTCTCTCCTCTTCCCTCTATCGATACACACTCAGATAATTACGTAGCAGTCACCCTTGCCGCCTCAGGAACAACCATAACTGGCACCAAACCAGCTTGCTCCGCCTCCGCAAACTCGGGCGTCATACAAACCGGGTTCTTCGAAGCCTGAAACACGAGTAGAATGACGATGAGTTCAAACTATAAACCAAAGCCCTCCAAGTTGAACTGCTCACCGAGGTACTAGTGAAACTAACAGGTCCACCAGGGGAACTATGCACAGGAGTGTACACAGGACCCGTATACACCGCGCATGCGCCGGTGCAGCACTCCTGTGGGGCACCCAAATCGCATTCGGCGCCGATGGGTTTGCATTGGTTCTTCGAATCCGAGGGGTTGCCGCCGGGACAGCCGCCCATTGGGAGGGAGGGGTTGAGCCAGGCTCGTTTGGGACAGTTGCGGCCGTCTTGGGAGGTGTTTTTGGTCAGGCAGGAGCCGGTTATGGGGTGCTACAGCGTGTGGGCGAAGGTTCAATGAGAAGGTTTGTGGTGGAGGAGAGTGGAGGGATGGGACGTACGTATTTGCAAGGCATGTCTGGCATGTTGTTGTACCTATTAGTGGGGAGACGAGTTTGTTAGAATTGTCCTTAGTGTGAAGGTGGACGAGTATGAAGTATAAGACTAAAGGACACATACTTGCATTGGAAGTGACCCTCACCGTTGAGTCGTTCCATCAACGTGACGGGTTGGTCGGAGGTGGAGGTTTGGGGGCAACACCAGAGTTCAGCCTATTCGGTGTCCTGCTATGTAAAAGAAACGCTTCCAAACTAGAAGGAGCTTACCTGATTGAGCATCGACCAGGTTGAGGCGTAGGAGCCGACTGCGAGAGCAAGGAGAGCAACGAGGGTGGTTTTCATATTGAAAGATTTCCAAAAAGTTGAAAGTCAGGTTTGGTGTTCACGAAGATGGAAGTGAAGGGTAGTTGAAGTTCTTGGTCTTGTAAACCGCCAATGGAAACCAAGCTGCGAAGAACCTGGGAGTTGGTTCGAAAAGCGCAGATTGACGAGTCTTTTTATACCAGGTCCCAAGAGGTTTGCCGCCACCCTTGCGGTCAGAGACCAGCTCTTGAACCAAGTCTGAGCTGGGAGACCCTGGCAGCCGCAAAGCTCAATTCTGAACATCGCAGGACCCAGCGCTCGATCAGCGAGATACACAGTCTAGTCAGTTGCCATACAAGGAGGTCGACTTGCCGGATTTAGGAATGGTGGTCACCTCTGGCCTCTATCTTCTCGTGTCCATTCTCGTGGACCTGAGTGAGGTAGGTTTGATGTTTGGCCCGGAGGAGGAGAGTTCTCCTGGGTACTATGAAGATTGTCTGGTACCACGAATGCGCCATCCGAGGACACAATGTCAAGCATTAATGGGGTAGTGGTAACCTGGATCGTTGCCACTCTAACGAGTTCGACTCGATCCGCCGGGGGTTCGATTCCCCCTTGATGCAACTCTTTTTTGTTTTGTTTCTTACCACTTTTTCCCTCCCAGTTCAATAACACATTGAACGTAATTCATGATTGTCCGCCGTAACGACAAATTCACTAAGTCAGAACCACTCTCGATAGCCAAGTGTCGCGTCGCCGAGTATTGAATAACACACCATGCACACTTTCAAGCCGATCGATGTTTGAAGCGAGGATGTCATACGAATAGTACAGGGGAAATTTCTAGCTATAATAGTACACAATCATGGTACACGGTATAACTATTACATAGATGTGCACGTTACAAATGTTTAGGATAGTTCGTCGAAGATTAATCAATGGACATAGCTGAACTGCAGGTGTTACATTGCCTGGACGCAGCAGCGGCGCCAGACTTCCTAGCGTTTTTCAAAGCAGTGATGAGCTGGACCATGCCCTCGACAGTGTCTGAAGAGCTATAACCGTCCTCGCCTTCCGAGTAATTTCCGATCGACAGTAGATTGGGGAAAACAGTGTCAAGGAATGTCGCGATAGTGATATGAGTCGAGATCTTGAGGGGTGGAGGCGATGGACGGCCGTATGATGGGCGGTCAGTCGCAGCACGTATATGAAGCGAGCGAAGGGGGTGGTTGGTCGCGGTGTAGTTGAAAGCGACGAACCCGAGTTTGATACACATGCGGAGATCCTCGAGTTTGGGGCAGGCATTGGCCAGGGTCCACAGACACTCGACGGTGGGAGATTCTTTGCCAGGCGAAGCTGGAAGGACAAGGGTGACGAGGTCGGGGAAAGAGTGCGCGATCTTGTTGATGAGATCGTCTGTGCCCGTGAATGATGTGAATTGAAGACGAAGATGTTGCAGGCCTCGGATGGAGAGGAGAGGTCGGAGAATAGGCAATGAAAGCTGTCTGCCGCTGCTGTCGGTGACTTCCACGGTGGTGATGGCACCAAACCGCTCGGCGGTGTGTTGGAAGGAGAGAGCCATGTGGCGTGACCATTCACCCTCCCCGGTATATATGTCCGACTCCTTGTCGAGACGCAAGTGGATGTACTTCACCTTTGTATTAGATGGGAATTGGGAAAGGGTCTGGGCGAGGCCTGCAACGTTCCCACCGAGTTCGAGGTTGGTCAAAGAAGGGAAGGTCATGGGCGCATTTGGTTTAGTGGTCGTGATATTAATAGCATTTGTCGCGAGGGATGAGATGGAAAGAGAAGAGAGCAGTGGTAAGCGGGCAGCGTCGTTCAGAATTACCGGTGACAACTTGAACGCTGCAAAGTCTAAACTGAGCGCTGCGACGCTTTTGAGGTTGAACACCACCGACAACTCGGGGGGAATGATTTGACATTCTCCTCCTTCAATCTCGACGGTTTTGATATTTGGCAGGCGGGAGGGGTCTCCCAGAAGGTCGGTTAGAATTGTATGCGGAACCCAGCGCGCGAGTCGGATATTCACTCTTTGGAGAGAAGGACCAATCGCCAGAGATGGGGCTCGGGGATCTATAAGATTTCGACAACGGACAGTGAGAGATTGGACCCGGGGAAGGAGTGAAGTTGAGTGGTGGGAGATACGCTGGTACAGGTCGAGGTCCATCACCCGAGAGTCATCTGGGAAGGTGATAGATTTCACTCGGCTTCCATATGCCATGAGTTTCTCCCAGCTTGGACTTGTAATGATATCATTAACTGTCTGTCGATAGAATTGTCAGAGACCAGCCATTTCCGTTGAGTAGTTTCCAGGTAACGTACATAGCTGTAACGGTCTGCAGTGAACCCGGGAAGGAGCTGGATCAATGGTTCCAGGGACCTTGGTAGTACGCTCCAGAGGACATTTAAAGCTGGGTTAAGGAAGGCCTTGCACGTCAGAGCCAGATGAAGTAACTGGTGTCTCGGGGAGTACATGTTCGGCGAGATATCGCGTTCTGGATCGTCGTAAAAGATAAGCTGGAAGATCACATCAAGTAGGTCATCGTTCGAGAGTACTTCGTTACGAGGATCACATATAGTGAGAGAAGACATTGGTGGTGGTCTATGAGGTTCAAGGAAGCCGTGAGTGGAGAACAAAGGACGGCGCTCGGCATCACTCTTTGAAGCGGAGATTTAGTATTTTCCCACAGTCGATCCAGGAACAGCCGCCGTCATCGCCAACAACAACTGCGACCACGACCACCACTATGTCTTCATCACGGCAAGGGCAACGCGTTGAGGACATCTACGAGCAGCAGAACGACCAGCGGCTAGATGAGCTACACTCGAAGATCCGGACACTTAGAGGGGTGCGCTTCATATTGTTCCTATTACCCTGAACTATTGTTCTGAACGGGCGAATAGATAACCAACGACATCCATGACGATGTAGAATCCCAGAACCTGATCCTCGACCAATCTGTGAGCCTACCAGGCCCTCCTACATGAAAACCGAGAATAAACGAATCCATGAAACCGTGTAGAACGATCATTTCAGCTCATTTGGGACGGCATTATCTCGAACCTCACAGCGAGCCCGAGAAGCTTTTGGTCTCACAGGCGGCGTATCGATCTTGAACAGACCATGGAGACTGGCTATGCTAATTGTTGTCATCTTCATCGGACTCTGGTTGGCGAGTAAAGTGGTATTCTTCTTCTGGCCATCCAGCCCCCCAGCATAGGACTGGGCCCATTTCTGTAAGCACCTCCTTTCTATATCTTCGCCACAGCTTTGTTAACGCTTCGTGTGTGCTCAGATGTATGCTATTTATGACGATATCTGACAGCATGTCAGTGCTCCATTATACCCTAATGCAACCACATTCCTACCCCCTCGTCTTCCCCGGTCTCATGCGAACGTTCGACTGGCGCGTACGATCTCTCCCGGCGGCCCCTGTGTAAACGTCCACCATAAAGGCATCTAGACATACATTGCCACTTTCCAAGATTAAGCTGGTCCTGATGAATCCCGCGTTAACCGACATGATGGACTGGCTGCGCAAACGCATGACACAGATCCAGTGGCAATCAAGACCAACAGGTATATTTCTACAGGCTATTTACTGACGGCGAGGATGACCTCTGGCGAAGTTGGTAGTCTTTCCTTAACTGCTCGATAATCGACCATCCCTCTTTGCCCTTGTCAGCGACATCCGACTTTCGTGGCTCGTCGACGGTAACTTTTGGGAGGTCGGGGAAGAGCCTATCCAGGAAGAGTGCATACTCCCGATGGGAATCGACAGGGAATCTTTCAGCTCGGGTGTCGTCGAGGCATAAATTTTGGAGACACGAAGGTTCTTTATATGGCGGTGGAATATCAGGGGGAAGCATTGAGGGAGGGAATACATCGCAACGGAAGGAGGAGTTGATGGAGAGCCTGAGGGTAGTCAGTGATTTCGCATGTAAGGAAACATGATAGAGGGAAGCTAGAGTCAAGGGGTCACCAATCCAGGCTTTGATCGCAAGGCTTGTGAGAGGGACGCTCTTGCGCTGGGACGCGATTAACGTTTCGCGAAACCAGTTGTCGGCTTCCCGGGAATCACCTGTGCGATTGATACATGCGAGCACAACCAGATGCTGGAGGTTATCGAGGCGTGAAAGCCTACAGAGCTTCTCAATGGGAAAGGGCAATATGGTCGCGTCGCCAATCCAAAGTAACTGAAGGTTTCCCTTGGATGCCTTTTCTATGGAAGCAATCACCGGATCCCACCGTGGCATCCGAAGCTTGGTTAAACGAATTACTTCAAGCTTCAGGGCATTGGACTCGACGGAGGAGAAGGTATCGCTGTGCGTCGATAGGGTTTCTTCGTCACCCGCAAAGCAGGTAGTGATCTGTTGTCCGCGTACCACCCTGGTCCAATGCGCAATCCTCAGTTGGGAGCGAGGTACGGGAAATTGAGACACCATGAGCACGCTGCAGCAGGAGAGTCCGGAAAGTTAGCGAATTGTCGTCAAGTGGTGGGGATGAAAAATTAATTTGAGGTCCAGTTTGCGAAGGTACTCGAATTTGGCGATCGTGCTGCAGGGAAAGAGGACAGGGAGGGAGATATCTAGGTTTTTCCCACCGTGGATAGTTATGATTCGCAGACGAGGAGCTGTTGCCAATTAAACCACGAGACAATGGCCCTAAGCAGGTCATGGTTCATGAGGACTTGCTCAGCCGAACAGGGTAAATCGGGCACCGGCTCGGTCATGCTCGCGGCTCCAACATATTGAGGTGGCATGAGTGAGGGTTATACGGTGGTCTACTAGCGCGGCGGCGGCGGCTATGGCAGCGATGTTTACATAATGCGGCCTGCCCCTGGGCGCCTAATTCGCGTTTCCCACCCTGGCGACAATGTGGGATGCGAGAGGGCGGAGGAGACGTTATTAGAAGTGAGGAGCCCTCTCGACGGAGATATGAGCATAAGATTAATACCTCCTCATTCAAACACAGCGTCGAGCCAAGGGTTATTGGTAGATGCTTATATATTCTGTTTCCTGGGCGCTTAAATCTTCTCATCCGTTGAGAGGCTAGTAGTCAAGAAGACTCGATACAAAAGTGACGTCGACAATCCTACGGTCCATGTAAGGGATACGATACGCACTGTCAAACGACAACCCGAGTGCCAGAGATACTACAAGATATCGTAACCGCTACGGCGCTACCTAGATCCTGTCACTTCCTACAGCCTTTGAATCCTTTGGCCTCGCCAAAATGCTACTCCGTTCTCTCTCTCTGGCAGCTTTTAGAGAAAACAACGACGAACGGATGTTTTGCAAGGTCTGTTCCGAGCCTCTGCCCTGACCACGCTGGTCTATATGCCTATTCAGCTCGACCAACGAGGGGAACAGGGCATCTATCCAAGAAGCTATGGAGAGACAAGTTGCGATCGGCAAGGTTTTCTCCCCACCGGCGTTACTGATATGCAGGATCTGAAGGCCGTGGCGTTGAGATTGGTCGCAGCGCGGAGCCCCGAGTTCTGACATCTCGACATGACGAAGAGTAAAGCATAACCGAGCTTCGAGAAGTTCAGGGCACCCGGCTTCGAGTAATGGCAAGCATGTGATGTCAGGATTTTCGGAGGACGAAAGTGAGGGGAGAACGAGCGAGACGAGTTTTGGGCACGAATTGGCGATGGCGCTGATGAGTGAGTTTCCGCCGGAAAGGGTGTATACCTCGAGGTGGAGGTAAGAAAGAGTCGAGAGGTCGAGGAGAGGCTCGATCATGGGGAGTGTGAAATTGGCATTGACGTTGGGCATTTGGGAAACCTTGATTGATCGTAGCTGCGAGCAACCCTCGGAAATGTGATGGAAGCAGTCCCTCCATTGCTGAGGGTCTGCTTGCTGGACGGAGGTGGCGGTCAACTCGACGGATTGGACAGAACCTGATGAGGTCACCGAAAGCGCCCTTGCGATGCCGGACGAGGCTCCTTGAAGGCTCAACGTTCTTAGGGAAGGGAAGGGGGGAAGAGATGACTCGGAAGACTCGTCTTTAGGAGCCCTGAAGGACTGCGGGGGAACGGTGTTCGACATTGACCCTGTTGCGATGGACAGGGAGGCTAGATCGGTGAGCTTCCCTAATCTTCTGAGGAACTCGAGTGGAATGGTGAGAGGAGGAAGGTTGATATCCAGACGCGATACCCGGGTAAAGTTGAGGATGTCGGCAAAGATTGGAGCGATCGTGTCATCTCCCCTCCCTTCCAGAATCAATCCCTTGAGGTTCGTAGCTCGAAGGGAGACAGAGAGGATGAACTGCTGAAGGAACTCCACATCTCTTCGAGAATCTGATCCCACACCACGAATCTCCACCTTCTCCAAACCCGATTGAATGGTAAGAAAGGCAGCTGGATAGTCGCATTCCGCATTACATTCCACGGTAATCTTGCGCAGATTGGGCAGTAGTCGTCTGCCCGGTTTGCACTCCTGGAAGACGGACAGGTGTTGGTAGGCGAAAGACGAGACTTTTTGTGTTTGGCGTGCAAAACGGATAGACCTGACGAGGCGCCCATAGTGCCTGACATTCGCCCATTGCTCATCGTCGACCCCTCCATTCATCACCTGTTAAACAGGCGAAGAGGAGTCTCAATCAGAAATACAATCAAAGGAAGGATACGAAAGAGCTCGTACATAGACATTACTGATAAGGGTGAATCCTGGCAGCAACTTCAAGAGGGGTAGTAGACCATCGAGTCGACTCCAAAGAGCCTTCAATGCAGGCTGGAGGAAGACCTTTCCTGTCAACGCAAGTCGGAGGAGCTGTTGTCGAGGCCAGTATTCTGTCGTAACTGGATCGTCGAGTAGAAAGCCGCACACAATATCCAATAGATCTTCATTCGAGAAAACGTCCTCGCGGGGACCAGTCGCTGTGGATCCGGAAGATGTCATGTTCGGCGACTTAAACTGGGTGGTTGAGATGGATGGCTGGCTGGGTTGTGGAAGATATGTGAAAAGACGAACAAAGGCATTTCTGCGCGAATCCCATGATGGTTGAACAAAGCTCGGCCACACAAGAACACGAGGCCGAATGAACTCCGAGTCACGGTTCCGGCACGTTGGTGAACTTCTTTGTAACAAAAGTGGTAAGCTGAGCATATTTCACCGTAGACCAGCGGTTCACTATTATATTAGACCCCCAAACTCTAGCACATGGACGCAATATCACCAGGAATTGCATAGATAATAACAGGGCTCAATCAAGCAACAGGTATACCCCGGCGCTGCATCAAACTATAATCCCTCCTCAACGTATCAATAAACCTCCACCTCTTCGCAAAACTCCCCGTAACATCCTTGGTAGTAGCCGCGAACTCGACCTTCTCAAGATCCGGAAACGCAACACTCAAAAACCTAGCAATGGTCCGAAGATCCATATAGGATCAACATCCAACCCATACGCCGACTTGTCCTGCACAGTCAACACGCGAATGGAGTTGGAATGTGGGAATTTGAACTGAAGCAACGGGTCCTGGGGGTTCCATTCTGGGCTACCGGAGAACACAAACGCCAGGGTCGCGGTGACGTTCTCCAGAGTCGGCGGCCCAAACTGGGACAAAATATGCAAAAAGGCGAAAGCATCGGGGACGGACCGGCGCTGCCCGATATTAGCTGCAAAGTACGTCGCCAGCGGCTCATAGAGGAGATCGAGCGTGTGGATGTTGGGGTTTTTGGAGAGGGCGATCATCAAGCGCTCGACACATTGGCTGTGCTGGTCTGCATTTTGGCATGGAGCGTAAGGCAGGCGGAGGGAGATAATCCGAGCTGAGCCAAGTCCAGGGATCGTCTCGATACCTGTCCAGGGCAACTTGATCTCACCTCCCTCCGACTGAGGTCCTTGAACGACGAACTCATCAAGTGCTTTGGGTGCAGCCACGAGATTTGCTGCGACGTTGGCCAGGTTCGTGGGATGACGTGTAAGCTGAAGATGCAAACTTCGCATAGGAGCCAAATTGAAGACCTTCAGTATCTGCAGGACGACGACAGGCGTTCCACGAAGCTGTAAGTGTTGCAAATTCTGGCAAAAAACAGGTCGATGCGACCCGGCGCCGTCCACAACCGAAGAATCCGCGTCAGGACAAGAGATCGTCAGCACCTTTAGCGACGAACTGCAGGTAGCCCCAGGGGATCAAGAACTTATTCGCCATCCCATCAGGCTCGTTCACGTCGAGCTGCTTGAAAGACTTCATCCTCCCCAGCTTCAAGAACACGGGGAAGACGAACGGATCCGCATCCATCGGTAAAACTTGAGCCTCGATAGAAATAGAGCGCGTCGAGACAGGCGCGAGGAAGTGAAGAACCGCGTTGGCCATCTCATTCAGTGACTTGAGTTTGATCGTCTTCAGCCTGGGGAACAAAGAGGGCATGCTGTGTCCAAAGTGTTGAACGAGCTCCAGTAACAGTACGGGGGAAAGTATATTTCGCTCTTGCCCCAAATCGATGGAACAGACGCGTTTGGCCAACGCTGTGAAACGTTGAAGGGAACCCGCTGTTAACTCGCCAGAGAGTACCTACCAGAGAGCGTCAGGCCACGCAAGCCTCAACTGAAAAGACACCACTCACCAGCATAGCAGTACCACAGCTGACCACAGGACCCACAGAAGAGATGGTGCGAAGAAGAATACCGAGCGACGGAATCGTCCCCCAAAGATAGTCCAAAGCCACCTCTTGCAGAGCCCAAGTCACAAGACAGACCGCCATCAAGCTTCGAGTCTGGAGTTTTATCCTCTCTTCCGCATCCATCACGACGCGTATCTTGACGTGTTTTACGACTGGCTCCCAGCGCACGGCAGGTTCCACCTGCTGGAGATGGTAAACGATGGAAGGTAAACGATGGAAGAGCAGATGTCCTGGTTATTCAAGACAGCCGAAGCCACTTTCGAGGGCGGTGGAGGTCGTTGCGAGCCGTGTGGAGGGCTGCTGGGGCTGGAAGAGATGGTGGAAAGACACGAAAACGAGCGATGACCAGTGCGCCTTTCAAAAGGTTCGTCTGACGAGCAAACATGATCAAACAGGCATAGAAGAACAAACCTTTCCACCGTTGTTATTGAAACATTGAAAGGCAAAGTGGCAAGGCCACAGAAGCTAATGCGACAACGGGACAAAGAAACGATCTATACATAACACATACCTGATATACAAGAAATACGAGTCCTTCTACATTGAAATACACAGCGTTACACCTTCACACCTTCACATGGCTGGCCACCAGAGCATCCTGGATGGACCAACGGGCCTGCAGGTCATCGTCACCAGCTAAAGGATCAACACGCAATGAAATTCCCAACAATCATGCTAGGAATTCCCCACTTGTCCCTTCTGATAGTGAACGAGAAGCAACAGTTCACGAACCGTTCCTCCGTAGCAGTTTTGACAACCGGCTTATCGTCTGCCTTGTCCGTAGTGGTGGTCAAAATACCATCCTTCGAGTCCGTTTGCGAATCGAGGTTCAGAACGGGCTTATAACGCAGCACACAGGAGGTCAGAACGGCCTTTTGAGATGAGTCGAAAGCGACGTGACCGTATTTCTACAACATCGTGAGATGAGGTTGGGAGATGGGAGCCCCAAGAACGAACGTACCTCCCAGTAGTTAACAGCCGATTCCTCAGCCATCAGCTCGTAGATGCAAACACGACCCTAAGAAGGACATCAGTCTTGATGCTACTTCGAAGAAGGAGAACGCGACTCACATCACGCATCATGGCGCCATCCAAACCGACGAGCTCGCAAAACTCGCGGTTACCCTTGTAGATCTCTCCTGTCCGCCTCCAGAGGCAAGCAGGGACGGCCATGGCTGAAAAGACGCGATCGTAGTCGAGTAGCATGCGCTCGAATGCTTCTTCGATGAACACAAGGTCCTGGGATGGGGTCAAGAATCGGATCAAGCGCGATCTGCATAGAACTCACGATATCACGAAGCGATTGCGCGACAGCCTGGTGGACGTATCAAGAGGTGAGAAGCATTCCGCCAGAGTAGAGATATCCACCCACTCTAAACTTCGGCCTCAGGACCGACAACGGCTGGAGAATCTGTTGTTTCGACTCCTGTGACACGCTACTTTCATCAATGGGCGCGTTCAACATACAGGAGAAGCAACTCACTTGCTATCCATCCACTTGGACAATCTCGCGTATCCCTTGACATAGTTGTACGGCTTCAAAAGACCCGCCTCATACTTGGCTCGAATGACGCGACTGAGCCGCTCATCTCTCGATCCCGGTTCTTGATCAGCGGCCGTCAGAAGGAATTTCTCCGTTTTGGTAGCCGCTGGAAGGATGATCGCTGCTCCGCTCTCTGAGGCGGGTTCTTCAGTCTTGGGTACTATCGTCGCCGAGTTATCCTGTGGCTGTTGCGGTTGTACCTGGCCTTGTATTTGCTGTTGGAGAGCAGCGGCAGCGGCGACAATCTGTCCTGCATTCAGCGATGGCGTGCTTGTCGCGGTGTTGGTCGAAGTCGGGATCGAGCTTGCCGTCGTCGTCGCAGTCGTGCTGAAGGTTGCTGGTGACATCAGAGTGGATGGAACTACCGTCGTAGGCGGGGTGAAGAACGTTCCGTCGTCCAGGGTCTCCAGGAAGTCACTATAAGCAATCCATGAGTTTGGTGACTTTCGAGAAGCGCGATGCATACGCACGTAAGAACAGAGAACTCGTTTCCAAAAGTTTCTGGCTGGTATAAAAATGGTGGTTGAGCAGCCGGGGCTGTCAGAGGCCATGCTGACGCCGGTATTGGTGCTGCAGGATAGATGGTAACTGTAAGAGGATAAGTATACATCTCTGTTTTAAATCGCCTGAACGCACCAGGTGCATAAGATCCTGCCAATCCAACTGTAGGTATAACGGCCGGTGCTGGAGCAACTGGTGCAGCGGCAACTGGCGTTTGCTGTTTCTCAGCGGGCTTTGGTCGTCGTTCGTCATGACACAGATGCCCAATTTCTCGCTTGATACTATAAAGAAAAACATATCAGCAATTTTTCCTACAAACGCAGCGATTGGCGCACCATCTCTGGCATGGGCGACCCTCGTCGCAAGTCATATGGCTTCGCCGACAGTACAAGCAGGCATGGTTGACCTTGCGACGCTTGGTAGTCTTCTTCTTCTTGCCTGCATCGTCTTCACCACCCTTGGACGTCGATGCGGTGTTGTTTTCGACTTTGGCGACGCTGGTCGACGATGGCGTCGACGAACCCGCGACTGGCGCTGTTGTCGTTGTTGCTGACATTCTGGGTCGTGGTTAACGGTGAATTGGGGCCTCTGTCGTTGTCAGGACCTCTGTATTAAGCCACTGGGGACCGGCGTCGTCGTCGTTGGCATCGACAGACCCAACGATGATGGAGGTAGAGCACAAAGCCACAAAGCGCCCCACGCTGCCGCGCTCGATCATTAACCTCATTTACTCGGTTCTTGGCACTCGTTCCCAACCAATTGGGGATCATGAAATTTCAAGCGGCATTCAAGCCCCTAGCAGGCGACAACTTCAAAAGCGTCTAATACTACGAGACTGGAGTCAATACGCGTTGGTAGTATCAGCAGGTATTGACCGGAAGAAAGATGATAACATTTCACCGAAATTGGGTGTCTTAACAGCGGGCTATCACCCCCACTTCACAGATTCAAAACATATCAAATGTATACACGCTCCCAAGTCAGTCAGTCGCGGTAAGGCACGCGGCCTAGGCAACTCCTGAAGCTCGAGGTCCGGATCTCAATGCTTGGAAGCTATTTACTTTACCTGAATGAATCAATACTTAATTGAAACGAGGCATGACGGTCACACAGCAAAGTCAACGAGCGGGAGACGAGAGCGAGAAATTAAATTATGTCAATGACAAATGCTGAATTGCGAGTGTACAAAAAATTCGGGATCAGCGTTAGACTTTGAGCGTCTACAGTAACTTGGGGTACAAATACAACAAGTCTCCTAATCAGTGGTTATGATGAAATAAAAAAAAAGAAGAGAAGAAAGCGAGAAAGTGAAAATGGCGCGTCGATGGAGGGAAGAGAGGTATATGATGGCAAGTGTTGGTATGTGCGTGCGATTTCTAGGTCGTTCGTGGTGGCAAAAAGGTGTCAAGGGGGAGAAGAATGCGACCAGAAGTATCCGAGGACGAGGGATGACGAAGGGGGCGGCGACAAAGGACGACGACTCGGAGCCGGTGAAGCCTCTATGATTTGATCAAGGCCAATAGTGCAGAGAGGTACTTGCTAACGGACGCCCTGACACCAGAGCGGCGCTTGCCCTCAGCGGCACCGTTTTCCTTCTTCGACACCGAACCGTTGGCGACCACCTTCGTGGCATCAGCAACGGCGGTGGTGGGCTTGTCGTCGGCCTTGGCGGCAGTCTCCTGGTGCTCGTGGTCCTTGAACCACTGTAAAAGGAACGCAAGATGGTCAGTGGGGAAGACGGGGCTGAGTAAAGGACTTTTTATGCTCACCTGAACGAGGAACTTCGCAGAATCCTTGGGATAACGTTTTTGCGTGTCGTAGTCGACGTAGGTGACACCGAAGCGAGTGGTGTAGCCATCCGCCCTACACTGGGAGTGAGAGCCTGATCGAGGCGACAATAGTGGAGCACACATACCACTCAAAGTTGTCCAAGAAGCCTGAAAGAAATGATCGTAAGATTTGGAAGAGCAAACGAAGCCGGAGTAACACTCACTCCATGGGAAGTAGGACCTGATATCGACACCGTCGATGTTAATCGCGTCTAGGAGAGCCTTGGTGGTTCCCTGGAAGTAATGGACGCGGTCTTTGTCCTTGCATGCTTCCTCAATAGTCATATCACTCTCGCCCTTGACTGAGAATCCGTTCTCCGTCACGCTAAAAAAGGTATCAGGATCCAGCTCTCCGGGTCAAGGGATATACGTCGGAACGCACTAGATAGGCAGTTTGTATTTCTGGAGAAGAAGGGAGAGGCGTGTCAGTCAGGCCCATAAAAGGCTAAATGCAAAAGCTCACCTTGTAGAGGTAGTTGAGCAACTAATAGCGAGGTAGGCATCGTTAATGGCGGAAGAAGTGATTGCAGTGAAGAAACCTTACGGCGCGGAAACCATCGGGATCTAAAATCCAGGATTCGTCAGATCAGGATACCATGAACACGGTGGACGAGATACTCACAGTCTTGCAACCAAGAAGATTGGGCTGTAGACGGATACCGATGAGCAAGGAGCTAAAACTGGTTAGATTAATGCACTCACCCTGAGTACCGAGCTGAGTGCCGTCAGGTCTCGTAAAGGTGTAGTCCACGAGGCCTTGGAACTCGTCGTCACCACCAGCTCCTGTAAAACGAGACGGTCAGTAACTGGTTGACGACGGCGACAGCCAGCCACAGCAGCCGGTGACCCCGGGACCGCGTGGAGGATGTCAAACAATCGACAAGGAGATCGGAACTCACTGCAGAGGTTGGTAGTATAGGTGTTCATGCCGTAGAAGTCCGAGGACCCCTTGACAACCTTCCACTCCTCCTCCGTGAAATCTGGCATCCTGTCGCCCAAGACTTCCCGCATGTATGGAGGATAGTAGCCAAGGTAGACGGGATCCTGCGGTTGCGAAAGGATATCGCGAGAATAGGCCGAGCGAGAGGAAGCATTGGAGCGTTTTCGAGGGAAGCATGTGGGGAGGGAAGATCATAAAGGTTCCACAATTAATGCAATCCGAGAAAGAATCATCGAAATTAAGCATAAAAAGAAGCAAGAGATCAGTCGGATGTTGTAAGACCAAAAGAACGATGGACAACATACCGCGTACCAGCCTGTTGAGCGGAAACGTCGGGGAAACAGAGTCAGCAGGTGTGATCAACGCCTCCTCATCTGCGATGAGGCATATTCAATTGAAGAATAGTTACCGATTGCAAAGTCGAGAGCGTGTTGGGCCGCGGCGACGTCTACCGGAATAGGAATCAGTACATTCGTTCGCTGGAATCGTATAAAAAGAAGACGCACTCTCTGGGTTATCGTCGTATGGCATAGCCCAGTCACCGTTGAGGGTGATACCAATTTCACCCTTTTGAGTTGGCTTGAAGTCCTCACGGTAGGCCTTGACGGCGAGAGCGTGGGCGTAGATGATGCTGTGGCCAGCACTGGGAAAACGTCACGGTTAAACGGCGAAGAAGCAACATGACCATCGAAACTCACATCCAGGGCTCCGTCGAAGAGTCGCCTTCAGGGTTGCGCTCACGGTCGCTGGAGCGACCGGGGGCGAAGACACCGCGGCCGTGGCCAAGGATGGCGCAGCACCAGGGCTCGTTGATGGTCAACCTGAACAGAACATGGTCAGCACATGAGAAACACGCGCCCTGGGATAGACCACGGTGGGGCGTGACAAGAAGATACTTACCAGTGCTTCACTCGGTCACCAAAGTTCTCGAAGCAGACCTAAATCCGCAGGTGTAAGATCAGAGATTGACATAGGAGAAGTGGCATCACACGCACCCTAGCATAGCGTTCAAAGTCCTTCGACACCTCATCCTTGTTCAACCAGCCCTTGTACCTATCCTGGAGGCCTTGAGGAAGATCCCAGTGGAAGAGGGTCTGCCGAATAACGTTTACGTCAGATACCGACGGCACGAAACAAACGGAAAGACACATACCACGAAAGGAATGATGTTGTGCTTCAAGAGTTCGTCGATAAAGTTGGAGTAGAATTCGATGCCCTTGGGGTTGATAGGATCGTTGCGGCCACCGAGAGGGATGATTCGGGACCAGGAGATGGAGAAGCGGTACGACCTGACGCCGTACTCAGCGAGAAGAGCGATGTCCTCCTTCCAGAGGCGGTAGGAATCCGTCGCGACATCTCCGTTTTTGCCGTCAAGAGTCTTGCCGGGGAGCTTGGCGAAGTCGTCCCATATCGACTTGCCACGGCCGTCGACGTCAGCCGAACCTTCAATTTGGAAGGCAGCTGGAAAGGTGCATGGTCAGAGAGGGGTCGGCGAGTTTCAAATAGGAAGGGGGAGCCGAGCACACGAATTCGACGCGGAAAATGCGCCAAACGCGAGTCCTGCGAGTAGAAAAGCGACACTTACCAGTTGCGAACCCCCAAATGAAATCCTTCGGCAACTTTTGAGATGTGGATGCGGCCATTGTAGACGTCGGACGATGAGGAAAAAGTTGGAGGGTTAAGGCAGAGTCACCATCTCGCAGGCTCCGTCCCTTTAAACCAACTGACAATCCCCCGATATCACTCAACTGTGGGGAATGCGATATTGCTCTCCCCGAGGATTGTCCGCACGCCTCCTCGACGCTTTAGGGAAGAAGTTAGTGCCATCCGGAAGGGCTTCGATTAGCCAGGGTGTTGCCCAGTGAAGCCCAGTGATGGCTCCAGTTGGTTGGAGCCTGGATTCCGAGCAGGACAAATCCCAAAGATTCTCCGGGACACCTAAGAGAAACAACATTACACAAGTGTCAGCGGCGAAGCGTCTTCAAGTTGGCCGTGTCCAACAAAGGTCGTCCAATGATGGCCAACGCATGAAGCGCTCGGGAAAACCTCGGTACCTTGCACGTGCTCTCCTTGGGTTACGAATTGGGGATGTGTAACCCCTTTTCGTTCGGCAGAGAAATCTAATCTTATGTCATTAGAAAAGAATCCTATGGATTGTAGAAACACGGTCTACTATCGACGATCATCAGTTAGAACCTTTAGCCTCGCCCTTCATCGACCGACATGTCCTCAAGCGCTGGTATCGCCATCCTGGGCGCCGGAATATTTGCCAAAGAAGGTACGCCCTACTCCTCCACGTCTCCATCACCCAGCCTCTAGCGATGGTTAAATCCGAGTATTCACCTGAAAACCACATGCATTCCCCACACAGCTCATCTCCCCGCACTAGCGGTCTTAAACCAGAATGCCCCCGCACTGAAAGCGGTCTATTCACGTTCAGAAAAGAGCGCGCGAGATCTTGCCACCTTGGCCCAGGACACTCTCAAGCTCTCCGAGGCGCCAACTGTTTACCACGAGGGCGACAAATCGACGGATCTGGACGCCCTCCTCAAACGCAACGACATTAATGCCGTAGTCGTTGTAATGCCCATTACGTCCCAGCCTGGGATCATCCTCAAGGCTCTCGAGGCCGGGAAACACGTCTTGAGTGAAAAACCTGTGGCCGCTGACGTCGCGAAAGGGTTGGACCTGATCAAGGAATACAACACTCGTTTCAAGCCCAAAGGACTAATTTGGCGGGTCGCTGAGAACTTCGAGTCTGAGCCTGCGATCCGACTTGCTGGGGACGCCATTCGTTCAGGCAAGATCGGCGACGTTGTCTTCTTCAAGGCCTTGGCCGTCAACCACATCGACGAGGAGTCCAAATGGTACAAAACATCGTGGAGGACAGTGCCTGATGTGAGTCGCCTCCGTTACCCGTGTCTCTCCCAATCAGCGAGCTAATCATCCCGCCATCACACCAGTATCAAGGAGGGTTCTTGGTAAGAACACATTCGCATGTTTCCTGCCCGACTCCCCTAACGTCACATATAAACGCAAACAGCTAGATGGAGGTGTGGTAAGTGTCAATCAACCTAGACAAACTCTAATGATCTCCGCTGACAAGATTCCCCGAAGCACACGATCGCCGTCCTCCGCACCATCCTCCCAGACCCTCTCACCCATTTATCCGCTTTCGCATCGTTGAACAAGGAATACCTCAAGCCCCACGACACCATTAACGCCATAGCCAAGGCTGACGGCAAGTACCACGGAACCATCGAGCTGTCGTGGGCGTTCCCGACGGCAGATAAACCTCCTCTCGGAGACCAGTTTGTCGTCACTGGAACGCGCGGATGGGTGTCCATCAACCACTCCTGGCCTACTTCGAGCGTCAAGGTGACGATCAGAAGCATCAAGCCGACAGAAGGAGGGAAGGAAGAAGAGGTTCAGGAGGTCATCGAGAAACCAATTCAAGGTGTTGAAGCTGAATTGAGAGACTTCTTCGATGTCATTTCGGGGAAGCAGGCTCTGCCCATTGGCGTTCCGGAAGGTGCTCTTTTCGACGTAGCGGTGATTCAAGCTGCTTTGAATAGCGGCGGCCAGCTCGTAGATCTCGTCAAGCTGCAGACGACAGGATGATAGCCGTAATTAGAACCAGTATCTCGTTATTTCAAAGTCCATGTCGGAGAAACTCGAACACGTTGTCGAGAGGGGTGTCGAAGCGGGATTCTATCGGGATTGTGAAGTCAGCTCGTGAATTACAGTTATGGAGCGTTTCGTGGATGTGAAAAGGCCCTGTCGAGGACAATCCAGAATGCAGTTCCTATCGAAATTCGCGAAACCATGTCCTGTCAAAGGTCGAAGACTCGAAGTTGGTGCTGCTGCTAAACGTATCTTCCGAAAAGGGCCTGGCTTCGTCCACTGCTGTAACCCTGTTCTGGCGCCCGTAGAAGGAAGTTAAGTCATTAAGGTGAGAGAGATCATTTTGGAGAAGGTGAGTTAGAATGGGAAGGTTGCTCATCTCGTGAATGTGAGAGAGGGGCGATATTTATCCGGTGGCAACATGGTTCCATTCCTGTGCGAGTACTTGGAGAGTGGGTGCCTGCGTATACCCATGGGTCGCTGTGATAACGGCATTAGCGCCGTCCTGAGTGGATCGGAGGTATAAGAATTCTTTGCACGGTCTCCACACCCAAATCTCTCGAATCTCGCCGCCATCCACTTTAATTCGCTGTCTATTCCACCTACCTCTGTTTGGAGTGTACCCAGAATAGGATGCGCCATTCTCGTTACCGAATGACGTTGCAAACCGCGTACCCGTGCAGAAGAGTTGAGCAAGGAACGCTGGTGCCGTAAACGTTATGCGCTCACTCGGGAGAGGAAGGACGCCACGCTCCAAAGTCACCTTCAAGCGGGGAAAGGGAAGTGGTGGAGGACCCCCAAATATCCCCCTCAAGGCCGGATGAGATTCTGGGCTGGCCGTCCGGAACCAGATGGTCAAATTTTGGATTTTTTGTCCGGGAAATTCACCATCCTCGAGCCCTAAAATCGCTCTTCTCTGGCCGGATCAGGGAATACTTTCCCACGCGGGCCCTTTTTTCCGGGGTCGGGGGCCAGAAAATGGCATTTTTGTTGGACTTTTGTCCGGATTTTATCTGGCCTTCCGCGATATTTTGGCCTCTTCCTGTCCGGATTTCGCATCCGGCCTGTGGCCAAAACCCAGTTTTTCTGTCCGGATTCTCTTCCGACCTTAAGCGCGATATTTGGGGGTCCTAGTGGTGGTATTGCTGGCACTGGGAGTCGGCTGACTACCAATACCATGGCTTCCCATAGTCGCGAACGTCGTTGATGAAGGGTGAGAGCTTGCTTGGGGACGTCCGGGGAACTCTATAGGCAAGTCGCCGTGCGGGCCTTCACCTCAAGGCGATACTCGGTGCTCATTAGAAAGGCAACGACGCTCTAGAACGAAAGGAAGAGCGACGTACCTGCGAATCAAACGACTCTTGAGACCAAAATCTAGCGCAATCTTCTTCGTCGCCCTCGTTCCATCTCAATGACCTCATTCGGGCAAGTGGATCATGTAGTCAAGTATCGCAGCGCTTTGTATGTGAAAAGGTTGTGAGCACTCAAACAGACTCAATCGGAAAACATTTTTCGGGACTTTATGCAGCACATGATGCCCAGCCCCGAGCCAAACAAAAGACGACAAGAATTTTGATTGAGCGCTTAGCGCCCATCAAAACAGTTAGGGGTCCCGAGTCCCTTCCAAATAAACTTAAAGCATCCTGGAGTCCTTCATGGAGTCCTTCATTCAGACAGTATTTACATGACGTACTCGCACAGAACTCCTGGCAGGAGTGAGATGATCATCGACGATCGTGCCCTTGAAGGACGTCTCGCATGTAGTTACTCTGGCGGTGGCAATCGACCTCGAAGGCACAATTTGACGCTAAACACGACTCTAGAGCCGGAGAAGCAAAGAGTGGCATACCAATGGTCTTCTTTTCCATCTAGTCATCAATAAGCTCTATCGGTGGCGCAATTTTTATCCTAAAGGTCTGCTGGCGAATGATAGTCTATGGACTCAGACGTCAGATGACCTTCGAAGCATCAATCCCAGGGAACTCCAAATCTCCCTGAGACAATAGTGAATGACTTCCAGTCCCTCGCCCAGATGGTATGCTTGGAAGTAACAACATGAGGGGCTACGTGTATAGTAAGTGAAATCGATTCGCACAACTTCAGAAGCAGAGTATCATCGTGTCGCATTGTAAACACAGGATGTCCTGCTTGTAGTGTGATGGAGGAGTCAATCGAGTTCGAGGGCACATTTAGACGCGGAACATGAGTCGGAGAAGCAAAGGCCGGGCTGGGGCCAGTTATCGGTTTATGCATATGCTCCACGCCTCTGCAGGCGAAATGAAAGGATATAGACTGATGACCTATGATGTATCAATTAACCATCATCTATCTCAATGTGAGACGTTTGGACTGCGAGTAGCGCAGGAGCTGAACGCATCTAAACCGAGTAGAATTGCCTCTGGATCTCGAGTCTTGACCCTGAGTCTTCGCCCAGATCACATGGCCGTTGCACGACCCTTCTTGAAGGTATAGAAACCACCCAAGAACGTACCAATATTCGTCCAGCCCTCCCTACCTTTTCCTTTTCCACACATTTCAGGAACAGTGATGTCATGTCTATCTCATCGGGCGCGTACACGATTACCTCCAAGCTGAACGGCCTCCCCGTCAGCTGTTCGCTTGCAGAGGACAGATCGATGACTCCCAAGCGCATCCTTGTCCTGTTCGAAGACGGCAGCAACTCGGACAAGTCTGTAAGTCCTTGGTTTCTGCCTCAGCCTCTCATTACGATCGTCCTGTCCTTTGGTATAGTGGGACATCGAGGAAGACGATGGCGCATACATCCTTAAGAGCAAGGGAAATCCGGTCATGCCCCTGGAGAGAAAGCTCTTCGCCGATCTGAGAACGTCTTCACGTACGTACCTAGTACAAACGCCGGTTATTTGGATGCTTAAACCTCAGAATTTCTCCAGTATCGTGAATGTCAACACTGAAGAGGGCTGGGCATTGCCTGATGATGCTAAGGCGATGTGGCAAGTTGACGCAACACTCTTGTCTGTTCCCCCGACCGATCCCCCTCGGTTCCCTGACAATGACCTCTTCATCTTCAAGCGAGTTGAAAGTGACTAGACCTACTATGTACTATCGTGTTGCAATACCTCGAGGATAGCCCAACGTCTCGAGATATATTGGACTGGAATGCAAGTGTATCGTCATCGTAGTCCTTTTTGTAAATCGAAACGTATACCATGGTTCAGTGCTAAAGTGATCCGCAATTGCAATTCAATGTCAAGTATTATAAACTGGTAGACTGATCCGCTTTTCCGGAGTGTCCACTCTCCCGGCCTCGATCATCACGACCTTCTTCTCCGCGTTGCCTCGCGTTGCTCCCCACCTCCCATCCCTGAAAAATGCACTATGCCGTATCTTTTGCAGGGAAAAAGTCTGATGAGAGTGGGATTCGAACCCACGCCCTTTCGGACCAGATAATGTGTTCAGAACCTGAGTGGGAATTGAACGCTGGAGGTGTGCACGTAGAACGCGCTGGTCCTTAGTCTGGCGCCTTAGACCGCTCGGCCATCTCACCATGGGACGGAATTGTTGGATGACCAGTCCTCCCGGATTGCAAGATTTCAATTTGGGTTCCAAGTACAGTTGGCAATGTTTAAAAATTTCTCTGGCTATCGGCGGCCCCTGTGGGGGTTGAATGCTGCTTTTTGCGATTGGACAGGCTGGAGACGACGACTAGTCACAAGACTCCGTGAGATTTTGTGCTAGATTGGTGGAACCAATTCGCACATTATGGGTTCAGGAATAAAAAAAATCATCCCATGTGTTACATCTGAAGGGCGTCCCGATTGTTGTCACTCTTGACTATCAATCGAACTCGAAGGCATTTTTAGACGCGGAACATGATTAATCTGTAGTCGGAGAAGCAAAGCGCCGTGCCCCAACGGACTTCTAATCCATCCAGTCGTCAATCAAGCTATGTCTTGGTATCGGCGGCGCAATTTCTATCGAAAAGGTCTGCTGGTGAATCAAAGTCTATGAACTCATATGGCTCCCTATTCGCATTCCAAACGCCTTGCACTGCGATGGATGGCGGTTCTAGGGTATAAAAACCACCCAGGCATGTACGAACCTTCATCAGGCCTCCCTACCATCTCTCTCATCTCTCTCAAGTTCCACACATTTCTGGAAGAACCACCAAACCATGTCTATCACACCCGGCACATATGAGATCACCTCCATGGTGAATGGCCTCCACGTGGGCCGTCCGCTTGCAGAGGACAGATCGTTGCTGCCAAAGCGCATCCGCGTCCTGCCCGAAGGCAACAACTTTGGCAACTCTGTAAGTCCTTGGTCTCTGCCCCAGTCCTTCATTATGATTTGCGCTCCTGACCGCTTTTTTTTCGTAGTGGGTCGTCGAGAAAGACGATGACGCATACATCCTTTACTGCAAGGGAGCCCCGGTCGCACCCCAGGAGGGGAAGCTGTTCGCCGATCTCTTGGGCAATATGCACGACAAGAAGTGGATCGTAACCCACCAGCCCCAGCATGGCGAGAACGTCTTCACGTACGTACCTTCAATCGCCCATATAATTTCGACACTCTGACCTCAAACTACTGTCCGTAGCGTCGTGAATGCCAGCACTGAACATGGCTGGGTAGTCCCTGCTGATGCCGAGGAGATGCAGCAAGTTGAAGTAAGGCCCTTGATTGCGGTCCCGTCCTATCCCCCTCGCTACCCTGCCACCGAGCTCTTCACCTTCACCCAAGTCGAAAGTGACTAGGCCCATTGCCGAAATGCATTACCCCTCGAGAACAACTCCACGCCTCGAACGACATTGGACTTGAATGTATGTTTATCGTGGATGTAGTTGAATTGATTGGGTATCATGTTCCCAGTTCTCAATCAGACCGCCGCAACCCACATCCCGGTATAAAGCGATGGGAGGTGTGAATTTTGAAAGGCAGTCTCGTTAAATCAATAAGTGAAAGTATGATCATGATGGATAAACATGTCGCAAGCGTCACACCCTGAATAAAAGCAAGGTGGCCTCTCGGCTCACCTTCCACGGATCACATACACCGCACCCCCCGCCGCAGAATCCTCGAGCACAACCACCTTCAAACCACCATTCCATCTTAATTGACGGGGCTATAACAGCATTGACACTTCATTAATGTGCACTGTGAATTCTAGAACAAAATCCAACACACTCCTCTTCTTCGTCGTCCCGATTTCCAATTCTTGAAAATAGCATCTCGCTACAGACGCCGACTGCTTAGGTATTATTAGACTCGGAACTTCAAGTCAACCGTCCATTAGTACGTTTTTGTTCCAGGGATGGGAGGCGGAGAAGAACGAAGAGAGGAGGAAAAGGTGGTGGTGGTGGTCGAGCCGCGGATTGACATTGATTCTTGAACGCGAGTCCGGAAAGGCGGATCCGATGATCAGAAACTTGAACCTGTCAATGAGCGGAAACTTGAAAGTTCTTGTCGGGATTTGAAATACCATTCAGTCGAAGTGGTGGAATGGGACTCTATATTTATGCTCTCAGAGACGCTATGTATTCGATCTCTCAGAGATGCTGTCGCGGTAGAGCAAGGATGATAGGCTAAGATTCGGAGGGATGAATCAAGTTTGTTTCTTCAAATAAATATGGCGTTTAGACGTTCGTCTTATAGGGTACCTGAACATAGTACATACTCTACATTCCCAATACATACTAGTACACTTGATTCGAATTTCGAACTTCACTTCTTCAGAGCCCCGAACGCCTCTTTCAACTTCCCCGCAGCGTCCTTCACCAACTTCCTTCCAACACTCAACACACCTACATACCAAAAACAGAACAACTCGATCAGCAAAATCCGAATCAACGAAACGAACGCTGAACACTCACCGTCCATAGCCATAACAGGATGCGGCGCACCCCTATATACCTCCACCTCAACCTCCACACCCTCCCTCTTCAACTTCTCCGCATACTCCAACCCCTCGCCACACAAAATATCCAACTCCGCCAGTGCGATCCAGGTTTTAGGCAGACCCCTTACCCACTCCTTGGGTGCAAAGATCGGGGAGGCGTCCCAGTTTCCTCGGTCTTGAGGGTTGGGGAGGTAGTTGGACCGGAACCAGAGCATACGGGCGGGGGTGAGCCAGGGTGTGTGTTGGTTTGTTGACCATGTCGACGTGGAATTAGTCGTTGTTGAGGTGGTGGTACTAGTAGATTCGGAGCCGGAGGAGGTGGATAAAGTGTTATCGATTACGGGTACGATGAGGAGTTGGAATTTGATTAGGTTCGCCGGGAGAGGCGTGGACTCGGTAGTACTGGGGATTTGGTTGGCGTTGACTTTGATAGCTAGGACGGCTGCTAGGTTTCCTCCACTGCCAATTTCAAAAAATGAGATTAGATATAAAATATACGTTCAGCCACCACCACCACCACCCCTACCACCTCACACTCCCAAGCACACTCCCAAGCATCCCAACACCCCAATCCAACCCTGCACCCAAACCCTGCACCCAAACCCAGGTCCCAAACCCAGACCTCACACTCGTAATCCAGCGAATCCACGTTCTAACTCACCTAGACGACCCACCCACAGCCAACCTTCCCAAATCCAAATCCAGAAGCTTAGCACCCGTATGGACGGTCCACACCAGCGCATCAACCGCGTCTTGGACAGCTGCTGGATACGGATTCTCCGGTGCCAGACGATAATCGACCGAGATTACTACGCAGTCGGCTCCTGTGCATGCAATGCATGTATGGGTGTTATGAAATGTTGGTTGGAAGGGGAGGTGAATGTTGAACGTTGAACTGTCAGTCAGTGACAGTTGCGAATTGAGAATTGAATGGCAGTTCGATGGGGAACGGGTACAGTGTACATACTTAGTACATACCACAGACCCTGTCCCCGTCGATGGTCGAATAGAATGTTCGATCAAGCTCAAGGCGACGGAGTCGCACTTGCCACTTGGGTGCCAGTGGGCAGTAACGGGTGCGCAGGTGCGCCGCCGTCGCCGGTATGGATATGGACATGGATAAGGATACGACAGAAGGACATGCACGCACCTATACACATATTCGTACAAAACGCACTCTCGCTCGCTATATTCCCGAGTGTCCATCCACCTACAAAGTTCAACGTTCAGCATTTCCACTCAAACTCAACAATCGAGACAACTTCGAACTCCGAATCGTACGTACCTCCATGAAAGAACAGAAACACCGGCCACCCTCCATCCGGCACCTCCCCAGGCGGCGTATAAACCCTCACCCTCGTCTGTTCAACATCGAAATCCTGAATCCTCCCAACAGGCAGAGGCGTCGACCCCCCAGGTACAGCTGGCGCGTTTCGGATATCGGGTGTCCACGGGAGGGTGTGTGGGGGTACGATATGGATGAGCTCTCTGTTATAAAAGTCGATGAATTCGGGGTCGAGTTTGTCCAGGAGGGAGGGGTGGATGGGGTTCGACATGGTAGTGGATGATCGCAAGGGGAGAGGAATGGAAGAAAGAAAGGAAGTTGGAGGATATCGAAGTACTTATGTATTGCAAGTTCTGAGTCAGTTATGTCTTTAGATAGAGGGAATTGATACCGAGAGATGGGGCAGGGGGCATTGAGGCGAGCCGCCGGGCCGAATGGGTCAGCAGGTACTGAACGGAAAATGGGGAAGACGAAGAAGGATCGTAGATTGTGAGCAGTCGTAAGTGGTAATGCATGAATGGTGTATGTACAGCAACAGAAGATGCAAATTCCGCGACGAGGAACCTGAACAGAAAACAACATAGAAAGACGAGAGGAAGAAAAAGACATTACAACGCACGAAGACGTTGCCTAGAATACAGGGTTCTACCGATAGGTTCCTCCTTTGCAGGGAGGCCATGTCATATTTGAGTCGATAATGGTAAGTCGAGATAAGAGATCGTGAAGCAGTGGAGAGGCGAGCTGAGGCGTTCATGGAACGCATGGTATTACAAGACCCACAAGGGAATCAAGTTCATTCGGGAGGGGGCGTTGAAGGACCTAGATCGAATAAGAGGCGCAAGGTAAGTCACATGTCCACGGATTACCTTTATCGTCCTCCACCCGGAGGCGGTGTGGACGCACCGAAAAGCCCTTGTCGAGGAGGGGGCGTGGCAGGGATGCTCGCGTTGGGAGCAAGGGGCGTAGGGACCAGCAGCGGGTTCGCTAATCGCAATTAAACTGGTTAGATCCGGTGACGGATGGACGACAAGATAAGAACGCACGTCTCCACTGCGCCCAAGCGGGTACGTTTGGCGGGGGCTCGTACATGGGCTGAGGGGGAGGAGTGGGTGCTGCTGGAGGAGGCGCTGTGATCTTCTTCCTGCGCTCTGTCTTCTTTGGGACTACACGCCAACCCGGTCTGGCCTGTACGACGTCCTCGATCGCGGGTGGTGGCGGTGGTGCGACGGCGTCCTCCATTGGCGGCGGGGGCCCCTCAATCTACAAAGACCAGCACCCAAGTCGGTTGCAGGCCGTCATGAAGATGGAGATAACGCACCTTGGGCCTCCAATCCGGTGAATACTCCCCTCCTGCTCCATGCTTCGACTTGAGCGCCATCAGCTCTGCAATTTCACTGCAAAAAAGAGGGACTGCGTTAGACGATCACATATCAAGGGTATAACCACAGGCGATCGGGTGCCATACAATTGCAGTTGACGACGTTCATCTCTGAGTTTACCGACTTCTGCGAGCAGAATTCGGACTTCACCCGCCAACGCTTTGCTGAAATCCTGCATGTATCTGTTTGTAATCGTTCAAAAGCGACTTGAGCGGTGCTGTTGGGCGAGATTGGGTCGATAGGGCACGCACTTGGGTGTTGTGTGTGGGTTGTAGGGAGAACCCTTGGAGGTCATGGGTCTTTGGGGTCGTTTTGGGCTTCGACGAGCTGCAGACGGTGGTGGACGATGGACAAGGTGGCGGCAAAGAGGTGGACCTTTCGAGAACGTCGCAGCCCGGCCACGAGGCGATGTGTTTGCCCCCGGCCCCTGTTGGGGATCATTCCGTTTAAGGCATATCTACCCCTAATTAACATCCACTCGTTTGCCTTGCACACGGGTTGCGACAAGTTGTGTATTGCAGAGGTCGTTCCAGTTGCAATGACTGTGGTGGACAGGCAGTTTATCTGGTCATGAAGAGCGCAAAGACGCGCTGACGCCGTCCGGCAAATGGAAACACCCATTGGCGGAGCTTGAATTTCATTTTCGTCTTCCGACTTGCCGACTCTCCTTCTCTTCCTCAATAAACCATGTCGGATTCTAATAACAGTGAACCCAGTACCTCAACACAAACACCCTCACAACCTCCCGGACGGCCTCCCCAGGCAGAGGTCCTGCGAACCCGAGAACTCTGTGACTTCATCATCCAACACCTTCAGACTTTCAAACTTGGTCACAAACGCGTCCAATTACCAGCCAAGAAGCGTCGAAAAAAGGATGCCCCGCCGCCATCGCCGCAGTACACTTGGGTAGCCACGAATGAACAGGACGAGGCCAACTTCCGGGCCAAAAACCTGATGTGGGCCGGCTTCGTGACCCGCGCGATGCACGAAGCGGCGATGGATTGTCTGTGGGGTGACCTTCCCGGTTTCTGCCCTCTCCTGTTTACGATTCCCATTGCCTCGCTAGTCGAGGGAGGCAGTGGAAGAAGAAATGGTGAGGACGAGGATCATGAGGGGACACGTTCATGGGTGCGTATAGATGTAACGTCACCGTTGTTCAAGTGCTAACGCCCAATGGACCATCTCTAGATTTTCACAGATATGTTGGCTGAAGATAATATCGGTAACTTTCTAGCTTACGCTTCACGAGTCCGATCTGTCACATTAGACGCCGAAAAGTGGACGATATCGCCTCAGGTGTACATGGAGTTCAGCCGCTTCATAGGACAGAACCAATCCCAGATCTTTCCCAAACTGCGAACCCTCAAGATCACCGACTTTACCGAAAGCGCCAACTCGATTATCCACCTGCTTCTCTTTGACTCGGTTACGAATCTCCAGATAACGGCACCCCTGAAGCTGCGAAACCCCTTCGTCTCCCCCATGTTCTCGAAACTCAGCGCGAGCAGTGCCCTGCAGATTGTCCAGGTCGAACAAAAGAGCCCATATGCTGATTTTGAAGTACCTTGGGCGATGTTCCGACTCAAAGGCTTGGAGACGCTCACCATAAAGGCCTCGGATCGTCACATCACCGCCGAATCCCTTGCCCCTCTATCTGCGAATCTGCCGGCCCTGGCAAAGCTACGCCTCTCCGACAAGCCGATCCCGGGTCGGTGGGACAGAAGCACAGACGACGAACATGACGTCCAGAACCCAACGCCTCTCTTGGACTTCCAGCATCTCCAACACCTCAGCTTATGGCCTTGTTCGCCAAAATCGGGTCTCCGCCTCCTCCAAAATTTCAACTTGGAGAAACTCTCAATACTCCACCTGCAGTTCTCTGACTACCCCAGTACACTCGGCCCCATCGCCCAGCTCTCGCCACGCACGCCAAATCACTTGCCCAGCTCCGAATCTCCACTACCACATCCGGGGAGCGTTACACGGGCGCGAGACCAGAGTGGAAGCACCTCGTCGATTTCGGCCGGATCGCGAGTTTGGAGGTGCTCTCGATCAAGGCGCCCTCGTGGAAGTCGTGCGGCACTGAGGCGGAGAACAGCCAAGTCTTCAAGCGGTTCATGCAGAACTTGTCTTCTAGCACCAGCTTGCACACCCTGGAGCTCCCATTCGAGTTCCATGCAGAGTACGATTGGCGCAGCAGGCACTCAACGCCGGCTTACCCGGACGCGTACACCATCCTGCGGCACCTATCCCAGTTCTCGCCCCCGAGCCTGCGCAGTGTGTCGATTATGCTTAGTGTGCCGCTTGAATATGTTGCTGAGAAGGTGTATCCGGGTTGTTTGAATGGCGTCAAGCTCAAGAAGGCGCCGATACGCACGCTTACGGTGATGGAAGCGCCGAATTGGAGTTATAAGAGCCCGTTGCATTTGCGCTCTGTTGCCCGCTTTTTGGGCGCTTCGTTTCCGGTGCTTAGGACGTTGCGGGCGACGGTGCCGCCTAATTCCAAGGCTAATGATGTCAGAGAGAGGTGGATGTTGATTAACTTGTTGAGGCGGGATTATAAGAAACTGGGTTCTTCTGTTAAGGATTAGATTGTATTTCTTACCTGGAGGAGTTGTATTTTTATTTTTTGGTGATATAATTCAAGCTGTATTCTTCAATGCTGCTTTGGGTTCCATGATCAGGGACTACCCAGCTCTCTTCAGTGTTAACATTCACGACGCTACGGGCAATTTTGAGCCTGTTAATGTATCTAAGTAATAGGCGATTGAAGGGTACCACGTACGTGAAGACATAATCGGCCTGCTGTGGCTGGTGGGTTATATTCTCCTTCTTACCGAACTGATATCGTTCAAATGCGTGCAACCAGAGTCGTGGAAACGATGGCTCCACCACGGCTCCAACCTCCGTCTCGGCTATAGACCTGCCTCATCAGCTGTTTCACTCATCTCTACCATGTCCTTCCCCAATCTTCCTGCTCAGAAGTTGGCCACCTCCGAGGCCCATTGGCGCGATGAGCTCCTGGGTAGTCATTTGACTTCCACTTACCCCCCGGCAATCACCGATTTTTACGGATCTGGCTCGCCTTGCATCTACAAGACCGGGTCTGCGTGGCCTGTCGCAAAAGGTCCCGGCTCCCAGAAGTCCATCCGTGCTTCCCGCCCCATCCCCGCAGACCTGGGAATACCACGCCAGGGTGGACGGGTTGTGGAGGAGAGTAACGAGGTGACGGAGAGCTGTTTGACGGGTACCAGGAGGCCCCAACGCGCACGTCAACTGCGTATGCGAGAGATGCTAATGAAAGCGGAAACGGAGCAGGAGTACTGGGATGCGATTCGACGCCTACGTGGTGGTGGTGGTCCGAGGAGCGTTGGGCACTTTGGTGCTACAGATCTCCGGAGGGTGTTCGAGGCTCGCATGAACCCAACTGTCCCACCACCAACCTCGTTTGACCTGTCGCACAAAGCGTCAACGGAGGCCCTGAACGAGACCATTGGCGAAGCGACCGAAGATTACACCCCCGAGCAGTTCTTCTCGAGGCGATTCTCACCAGAGGAGATAGAGGAGGCCAAGGTCAAGCTACGTACCAGACTCCAGTCCGCGAAGGGAGGTGATGAGATCTCGTACAAGGAGATATACGAGATGGACAACGACGCCCTCCTCCACCTGTGCAACGAATGCCTCTGGGGGAACGAACTGCCTTCGTCGTGGGTGACGACCGTACTAGTGGGGTTGTGCAAGAAGGGGAAACCAAAGGAGGACCCTAACAGTTACCGAACCATCGGGTTGGAGAGCTGCCTACTCAAGTTCATGACGATGCTGGTCAATGCTCGGCTAGTCCAATGGGCTGAGTGTCGTGGTCTACTCCCCCCCTCCCAGAACGGCTTCAGGGAGGGTTATCGCACCAACAACAACATGTTTATCTTGCGGTGTGCCATCGACAAGGCCAAGGCGTCCAGGAAACCGCTCTACGTAGCATTTGTCGACATGACCAACGCCTTCCCATCGACGGACCAGCCTACCCTATGGACCAAACTAAGGGCGTGGGGCGCTGGGGGGAAAGTGTTTGATTGGATCCGGAAACTGTATCGGGAGATGGAATATGTTGTCCGCCATAACAACGAGCAGTCGGAGGCCTTCCGAGCGACAATAGGCATTCTGATTGGTGACACATGTTCGCCTATCCTGTGGGTGCTGTACATGGCTGACCTCCCGCAATGGATACCGAACGACGACGACGATGTGGTTCTTGGTACGACCCCGGTTACCAACCTGGAGCAAGCGGACGACATTCTCCTTCTCTCGACGACAGCACGGGGCCTGCAGAGGAAGATGTCTGGACTGTTTCGGTGGTGCGGCAGGAACTTCATGATCATCAACAGTGTCAAGTCCGAGGTCATGGTGTTTGGAACCCGCTCCACCGACATGCCCCAGTTTCGGTTCGGCGATGAGGTGGTGTCGGTAGTGGATGCGCAGTCCTACATCGGCTTCAAGGTCTCGTCAAAACCACGGATGCTGCTGTCGCGACATTACGACGAGAAGGCAGAGCAGGCACGTCAGGTGGGACTCAGTATCTGTGGCCTAGAAGCACTGATTGGAAAGATGCCCGTGCCTCATCTCCTCAAGCTGTACCAATCGCTGGTGGACCCTCACCTGACGCACGGGTGTGAAATCATCCTCGATACGGTGGCCAACCAGTTACAGAAGCTGGAACGGGTCCAGTTAGCATTTCTGAGACGGGTGTTGGGCGTAGGCGAGCGCAGCATACGCGTGGTCCTGTTCACGGAGACGGGCATTCTCCCCCATCCGTATTCGACGCCTGCTGCTCGCGATCGACTGTGTCCGCTACTATGTACGGCTACCTCGGGGACACCTGGCTCGGGAGGCGTTTGAAGAGGCTATGGCACTGGACGCGATGGGGAAGGGCAACTGGGTAGCAGACTTGCGAGCTGTGATTTCGGAGCTGCCCTACTCGACGTCATTTCCGGACGCCCAGTCGGTGCGGGATGAGCAGATATGGTTGGATCTGACAAAGGACATCCGGACAGGGGCTGACAAATGGCTACACACGCTCCTCGAGGACAACGAACTGCTATACCTGCTACACGGGAGGAAGGAGCGAGTGGGATCGGGTGAAGTTAGAGTGGTGCGACGGTCTTTGCGGGGGTACCTCAGAATCGGGAATCGAGACCACCGTGTGGCGCTCACCAAACTACTGGTCGCAAACCACACCCTTCGCTCGGTAACTGGTCGGTGGGCAGGCATACCACTAAACGAGCGGTGGTGCCGAATGTGTGGACAGGCGGAAGAGACACCCGAACACGTCCTATTGGAATGTCGTGGGGTCGCTGAGGTGATCACCCAGAGACAGAGGGTGCGACAGCTGCTAATGAACGTCTTGAAGCCAGACGATATGGAACGCATCCGAAGCGTGGGGAGCAGGGGCACCGACCAACTGCGCATTCTCATCAGCATCGACAAGGCCAGCGTGATAGTGGCACCCTTTGCGTACAAGGTCATGAAGACGGTTCGACAGGTAGCATCGTAACACACAAACTGCCGCATATATATATTCGAGAACCAATGTGTATAAAATAGGAAGTATATGGGAGTATTTGTGACCCAAACACGGGAGAAATCGTGAATTAAAACTCCTCGGGTTGTCGGCTACTCTGGGATGGACATCGACTACCTACGGGCTGGCGACAGTCGCCCTTTGTCCCGACAACTTACTGGGCTGATGAGAGTTCTGGGAGTTCCTCTCTATTAGTCAGCCTGGGGGTTACGGTGCCCACGAGGCTGCTGGACCTTGGAAACACACACACACACAACCACAGCATCAGGCCAATCTGGCGCAACGTCCTGTGGGATATCGTTGCCTTGCTTGATTCGCTCGGAGTCGAATGGAGTACGGTCGATCCTCTAGCCTATGCGAATGCAGGCGAGGCGACTTTGATATGCGACTTCATTATTACCATTGGCGTAAAACCACACTCCCTCTCCCATCGAGCAGCTGAGGCTGCTGCCAATGCCGTCGCCAACATCCTCCAGGTAAGTCCAAGTTTGTGTTATGCAAGACTAGAAGGTTTATTTCATGTATCGTAGGCTGCCGGATTCCCTCAGATTGAAGTCGCCTTCATCGAGTCTACCTACCGCCTCCAGGCGAATCTCATGGGCTTCAAGGCGTTAAGATGGGAACCCATTCAGGGCCTCCGCAAGCCCTTCACTCCCACTCTTGGCCTTTCGATCTCACCCCACAAGTCACCTCACTGCGAGGGCACAGGGGGCCTCTTCTTCCGCCTCAACACAGACAAGTCTGACAACCGCGTCGTCCTGTTGACATGCGCCCATGTTGCTCGCCCTGACGTGCTCCGCCTGAACCGCCAGTATACACGCCAAAACGAGAGCCAGCCGCGCGAGGACATCATTCTCCTTGGAGACAAATCCTTCACTTCCGCCACAGAGGACATCGTCAAGTTCGAAATAAATCATATGAAGGCTATTTCCAGCTGGGAGAGGTCGCTCAGCAAGGTCCCGCCGCAGGAGGAGGGCGAGCCTGATGAAGTCAGCTCGACTCGACAGTACTGGACTCACCGGATTGCCGACACGAAGAAAATGATCGCAGCGGCAAAGGACATCCACTCCTACGCTACCAAGAATCTCGCCCCGGCCGCCTCCCGCATTCTTGGATCCGTCCTGCATTGTTCTGAGATTGAGGTTGACGCTGATGGTTTCCGGTGCGACTGGGCTTTCATCGAGGTGGATGGCCATAGGCTAGAGTCGGAGGACTTCCAGCGCAATAAGCTCTTTGTCGGTACGTCTGTTTTGCTCTTTCTCCTTCATTTTGGTGGTGCGTTTCACTAACAGTTCTCTTTGTCTACAGGCGGAAACAAGACTTCTGTTGATTGGGAGAACTTTATGTTCCCTCAGCATCACGACCGCCGTGACTTCCAGGTACCTCAGGATTCGCTCCTTCAGCTCGGAGGCTATGTCTCCGAGGCCGAGTTCCAGAACCCCCAGAACTACGACGTACATGACATGCAGGCGCTTCTGGCGGTCAAGAACGGTTTTACCACCGGCACCACATTCGGACGCGTCAACGGGCTCGAATCAGTTACACGATGCTATCCCGAAGTCGGGGGCGTTGCTCAGACCGCCCTAGAGTTCGTTGTCTGTGGTTATGACACCAAGACGGCCAAGAACGACAGGTTCTCCGACGGCGGTGACTCTGGCTCCATCGTGGCGGGCAGGGACGGACGTATAATCGGTCAAGTGACGGGTGGTGCAGGTCTTACCGACGGGACGGATAAAACCTATATTACGCCTTATTTTGCCCTCAAGAATGCCATCGAGAGGAAGTACCCCAGCGCCTACCCCCTCCCCGCTGCCATCTGAGTTCGGTGAGGCAACCGAGCCCCACTGCGACGCCTTTCCGTCACTCTGTCCCCTCCGTCGATCCGTCCTGTTCGTTTATCCATACGAATGTGATATTTGGTAGGGAGAGATCACGAGTTATGCGCCAATTAAACCATTGCTTCCCGAAACACTGACAATATTAAAGCTGGTATCTTGCATTTGATCTGTTTGGGTGTGGCCTTTGGATCCTTCTCAAGGCCCATCATGTACCAGGAAACAATGGCCTCGACCAAGTCTGGGTTCGTGAGCGCTTGCTCTGCGGCGGAACTGGTAACGTCGGCCTCCCATCGAGTATAGAAGTGTTGTGAGGATTACTGCGTGATCTGAATAAAATCCGGAATTCAGTTGCAGGAAGACTGATGGAAGCAAGTGGTCAACGAAGGGTGTTCAGTTCAACGTTCAACGTTCAGTGACGTTCAACCTTGCCGCATCGAGGTGTTTCCTCCCGACTCCCGTGATGTGTATGCTCGATTCCTGGACCAACTCTTCCCCGACCTGGAGGAATTGGTCGTCGTCGTGAATCCGCCTCAAGGTTTAGAATCTGAGGTGGCGGAAAGTATCAGACTGGGATGGACTCGGAGATGGATATTGAGCGGACGAGGAAAAATTTGCAGCGGCTACGAAGGTGCTCATCGGCGTTGACGAACGCTAAATGACTTCGGCGTTTAGGGGTAGTCGTGTATATTGGCAAGGCAAATCAAACCTTATGTTTGAATCAAGTTGGAACTTGGAATAGACTAATTACTACTCTCCTGGGTTGGCAGGTATCAAAACTGAAATAGTAATGTCTTTCCCCGCCTCACTAGCCGTAGCTCTCGTGCCAAAACAGTACATCCGGAGCTGGAGGGACTTCAAGACCCGCAGTGACAGAGTCTGCATGCAAAAGATTGGACACAGGCATGGGGCTATATAGGCGACGTTAGAGAGCTCGAAGGCAGGTTCTTTCATCACCTCGAGGCTAGAGATTGTTGGTTCTTGACAGGAGAAGCGATACTGCGGATGCTGCGCAGGTCTTCATCTCGTGGGCACTCACATGATGACGGGACTTCTGTCATTGTGGGACCTGGGCCTGGATCTGGCACGGGCGTCTATCGATGGGTATTTAAACGTGATCGACGATCATACAGCTGACGGCCTCTTGACCACAGTCACTCACGTATATCCCTGTCTCACTTCGATACGATGGCGTCGCCCGCTGTTACCAGTCCTCGCGATGATGTCCTATCGAATGAAGACTTGCTGGGTATCATCTTCGACTATGTCCTGAGCGGTAATATCGGCACATCGCCTACCAACAATAGCACCGGCAACAACAACTCTTATTCCCCACGAAAGCAGCTCCTGCGTCTTGCGCAAACTCAGAAAGCCTTTCTCCAACCGGCATTGGATGCCCTTTGGAGTGCTTTGGACGGGATATTCCCCCTTCTGAAACTTTTGCCTGCTTTGGTCGCTGTGAATGGTGTATATGTAAGTCCTCAAACAACTATCACTGAACGTGCTCCAGTTCGCCTGATTTCTTATACGTTGTCGTGATAGGTTATAAACGGTTCCATCCAAGATTCACACTGGGAGAAGGTCCAGTCGTACGCAAGACGAGTGAAGACAATCACCTTTGCTGCACAGGGAGAGAACGTCTCCCCCTTTGTCTATCAGGCACTTTCCATGTACCAAGGGAGAAAGAAGGCCTTACAACTTTTCCCAAGTCTCCATTCGGTCACCGTAGTTTGCGACTCGACATGCGATTACTCCTCAATCTTCCTCGCCATCCGACCCACTCTAGAAAAAGTAGAAATCCGCGGAGTAGGGTCGAGCAGTCCTAGGGACGTACAGTGCATTCAACAACTCTTGCTGGCACTATCACTCCAAGCCACGGGGCTGAAGCATCTCGCGTTGAAAGGGGAGGGAACTGAGGCGTTGGCTCCGACGCTTTTTCACGTCCATACATTCAAGGCGCTCTCGAGCCTAACCATCGACCTCTCATCCCTCGCAATTCCGCTCGCAGTTCTTAATGGACTGAGGGCGCTTCGAGATCTGAAGTCGCTGACGCTTTTTGCGGGGACAACATCGGCCACCTCGTCGCCACTTCCTCTTAGACAAGTCACGCGCGGCTCTCCACCTCTACCGGATTCCCTTGCCTTCCCTACATTGATGGAATTGAATCTTCATGGATCAGCATCAGGGTTCCTGAGGGCCCTCAGCGTGGTCAATCTGGGTGACGTGCAGAAGATCGAATTACGAATCGCCGAAGAATCTGACTCCCACCAATGGAGGGACTGCTTCCACCTCATCGCGGCAGGATGTCGACAGTTACGATCCATCAAGGTCACTCCATCTCCCTGTTTCCGCGGATCGTGTCATTTTTCCCTCCCAATCATCGAACCACTTCTTGACATTTTATCCCTCACCCACCTCAACCTCAACGTAACTTCGCTCTCGTTCAGCAATGGCCTTATCAGCACCATCGCCAGTTCATTCCCCAACCTCAAAGTGCTCAGTCTCCCGTCCACTCCAGCATCTGAATACCCCGATCTTGGATGCTTGAAGTTTCTGGGAGCATGCAAGAGGCTCCAATGGGCGCGATTATGCCTTCGGCTCAACCCAGACGTGAGCAGTCATGGCATGGTTCCGAATCAATCCCTCACGACACTCTACATTGGTGACGCCGTTACTCAGAGCTTGGGGATTCAGGACTGTTTATCAATCGCCGAATTCCTAGACCTCATGTTCCCGTCCCTGGTTACTCTAGAGAGGGTACCGGTGATGTCCTCCCGACGGGGAAATCACGGACACGAACAAACCTTCGAGGACATTAAGGCATCTTTGAACGTCCTCCGGGCCACGAGAGAGAGGGTGCACGCGTCGTTTTTGAAGCAGAAAGAAATGGAAGCTGCGGATTGCTCTTCACGTAACCAAGATTCTATCTAAATTTCTTCGTTTATTTACACAAAACTCTTTTTTGAGTTACGCTGTACTTACTACTAGTTACTACTAACCACTGTCTGATATCAAAGTCCCATTCTCCGGTCAACATCGGGTAACTATTTTGAAAGGGGAGGGAACATTTTGATAGTCTTGATACGGCGGAAAGTGCGTACAAGTGTCGAGAACAGGTCTGGGGATCGCGAGCCTGCAGAGATCGACATAACAGCCCTTGCCCAAGTCAGTTAGGCGCCCGCTTGACATTGTTCCCGTTACGTCAGCATCAGGAAAGCTGAGTGGCACGTCCAACCCCAAGCTTCTGCTGGGACGCGCGTTGTCTACCAACGCCACCTGCAATCTGTCGCTTGCTCGATACAGCCAAACTCAGAATTCGAGAATGTCTTCGTTGGACACTCTTTCTTGTTCTGACCGAGTTCTCATGACCCAAGAACTCGTGAAGCTCATTGTCGCGCACCATTATTATCGCCTCAGCGAAGACACTCCTTTCCAAGCCGCACGACGACAACTTCGCTCCCTAACGGCGATATCGAGGACGTTTTTTGAAGCTACTTCGGATCTACTATGGGAAGAGGTCGACACACTTCTGCCATTCCTAAAGCTGCTGCCTCAACTCGAAGCCACCGACAATTTATACGTGAGTGGCAATCGCAAATTTTGAATAGCCTAGGAACTGACAAACCCCAGATCTTAAACAGGACGGTTGTTCTAGAGGACCTTGATCGATGGAACCTCTATTCGCGTCGCACCAGGAAAATCACGTTCGATGCCTCAATTGTGACCAAGCGATTCTGCTCGCAAATCTTCACTCTGCTGGCAACACTACAAACCTCTCACGGCTTCTTGCTCTTCCCTGCCTTGAAAAAGCTCATCTTCAAAGGAGGGATGGATGACAATGATCTAGCATGTCTATTCATGCTAGCATCCAGCGAGCTGGAACACGTTCGGTTCAAAGGCGAGGAGGCCACTCTCCCGATGGAGTACCTCCCCATTTCCGTCAACCATCTCTCGACAGTCTCACCTCGCCTCAAGACGTTAGTAATCGAGGTTTCCTCCTCGAACCTTCACGATTTCCCATGGGACACTCTTAAAACGTTCCACCACCTCCAGACTCTGAACATCACTGCGCCCTTCCACCTTCGCGGCCTCACTGCAATCCCAAACTTCCGCGGCACCAGGCTTTACCTCTGCGTGTTTCCAAACTCTCAGCCTTCTCCCCGTATCGTCGTCCACTACAATGCACGAGAGCGTCCCATTACAACCTTGATGCTAGCGCCCTGGGAAGTCCTCCCAACGTACATCGGACTTTGTGGTCCGCCCTTCAACACAGAGCACCTGCATTTTGGTCCTATGGAGTCACCAACCTCGCATCGTACTGAATGGAGTGGTGTTCTCAGTTCTATCGCAGAGAAAGGAGACAACCTGGATATGATTCAAATTGGAATCGAAGGAATGCCAACTGAATTCTTCATTCCGGTCGAAGACGTGTCCTCGCTACTGGCCCTCCGAAATCTACAACGTTTTTCTGTCCAGGGCTGTGGAAATTCGTTCGCCACGCACGTCGAAGCCGACAACTACTTCCAAAGGATGCTTCAAGTGTCGCAGAAGAAGGCCAAGCCCCTTATTTCCCTAATGATATCTTCGTGGTCGGGTGCCCCGTTGACCTTGAACTCACTGGTACACATATCTGTGGATGGTCCGTCCCTGAGCAGAGTTGTACTGTCCATCGACTCTTCTCTGGATCACATCCCTCCCCCGGCTTCCTCTTCGCTGTCGACAGCTCTTGAACAAGGGCCAGTGTCTTCCCTTCAAGCCCTCGTCATCATGGACACTCGGTCCCGAAAATTTGCCCCTGACGAGTGCCGCGAATTGGCTCGTCTTCTCGACAGACTCTTCCCCGAGCTCAGCCGTATTGCCATTCAAGAACCGCCACCTTCCGATGTCGCCGAAAATGTCAAAGAGGGATGGAAGCTGGTTGAAGAGCTGAGGGAACAGTACCGACGCCTCCGAAGGTCCTCTCTTCCACCGCCGCAATCACCGTAGAACGAGGCCTCAAGGCCTCAAGACCCAGAGAGGGACTGTCCTGTATGTGATAATATTGGATCGTTAATCGATTGAAATTGTACAGTACTACTGAAATGACGATCGTCTTGCTGCGCCGAAGAGATATGAAGATTAGAGAAAGAAAAATCGACTAATGCATAATTGCTCATTGAGATCGGGTGCTCGAAAAGGGGACAACAGTAACCAGCCAAATTGACCCCGATTCACGGCTATCTGACCCAGACCCCCGGGTGACGACCAGAATTCCAGCTGGGGTGATGTTCACCTGGACCAGAGTTGAGAAGGGCCCTAAAACGCCGGAAATGTCGCTGGAGACAGAACCGACACTGGTGAGAACGCCGATCCTCGTCTCGCATCGAAGTAGTAGTGTAGTACTCACTCGGATTGCTCTTCTCCAGTGAGGAATATCTTTATCGTTGAGGTAGTCGAAGGTATCGACGGACATCATGCTCTTGGTCCATCCAGAGCGGAAGTCCCTCTCGGGATTGATGGTACTTGTGTGTGTGAAGTCTGAGCGGGCTGGGCTGGGCGGTGGGAGCATCGAGCGTTTACGGAGTCGGCGGGGCGGAGGTGGGACGATGATACTTGGCGGAGCTGATACCGGGAATGAACGCTGTTCTTCCATTACCTACATTATTGGCTGAGTAATTCGTCGATGGCTGAGGAAGGGATGAGGAGAACTTACAGGAGATAGCGGTACATCGATGAAGCTAGCCGTTGGTGACAAGTCGTAGGGAGAGACATAATATCGACGATGTTCTTTCTTTCGTTTCTGCGAAGACGAGGACGATGCGACCTGTTCCTCGGACTGAGGGGCAATCAATGAATATTTTTCTCGTCAAAAATAGAGACGGAAAGGTACGTACCTCGTCTCTTGAATCGTAGATGTCGATATCGACATCGAAGGATGGACGATTATAAAGTTCTGCGGGTATCGTTATCATGGTAAGGGAGATTTGGGGTTGCCTCGAGGAACTTGAGGGAAGCACTGCCGACGGGCGGTGTCGAAATTCGTCCTCTTTAATAAGGTATCGATAACGCCCACATCTCAGTTACCGCAGAAACACCCCGTGTCATAAGTTTCAGCCTGATTTGAAGTTTAATTAAACTATCGCGGACTAAGTCCCTCGAGGCACGACAGATAACATTTGTCGAAATGACGCACCGAGGGTACTGACTGAACGGGCGACCTCAGTAATTCCGCATCGAGGAAGCGAGAACAGTCGTTAACGCCATCTTTCAGTGGGAGTAGAGTTTGATAGTCGGCCTCGCTGCGGTGGTAAAGGACGGTCGAATGTATTGTGGTGGTCTTTGAAGGGTTGTATCAACTTCTCTCAGTAAATCTGTTGTCGTGTCGGCGAAATGTCGCCAATGATTTACTTGGGGTGTATCGGTCGTCCTTAACGACCACGTACCTATTTGCGCTTCGATACTGCTGGAGAAGAGTCATTAAGCCAGTTACATGACTATATCAGGGTTGTTTATAGCCTGTTTGAGGGAGAATTATGCTGGACCATGGAGATAAGAGTCAAGAGCATTCAGTGGAACTCGCGCAGAGATTGCCCCGAGAATGGGAGTGTTCGGAACACGGTGAGCTGATGGGTTTGATCCGTTACTTACTTAGGGGCTCCTTGGGTGCAAATCGCAAGTAAATCGACGAAATAGATTTGCCTGTTCAAACGCTCACATTCGTATCACCAAAGCCTTACTTATCTCCCATCGAGTACTTTCCACTCAAATAGAATGCATATTATTTGAGCATGGTCAATGGTAGCTTGTCGGGAATGACAAACACGTCGCTGCAGGGGCTCAGCCCGCCTCCCGCTCTTGGCATCGCGCCTCCTGAGTCTGTGTGCCTTGAAGTTCTTGCCACTTGCACTGGTACCAGCGACACCTCACGGCCACAAAGGTCATTTCCCAGCTATGTCTTCTCAAAACCTGGATTACGAATCGTCTTCTACCTTCGAAGACGACGACTTCGACGTGACCTCGGTACCCGGAACACCCCTGTCCATTGAGAACGACGCGTCCCCCGAGCCTGTGGCATCCTTGCCACCTCAGTCCCCTCAAACTGGTCCACCTCAGTCCATTCCAGATGATAAAGCTCAGAACTACCGGATTGATCAAGAATATCACTGGCCTTTCGTCCGATTCGCGGTATGTCAAGCTCTCCGGCTTGTCTTTCGACGACCGTTCATGTCGCTCACGATCTTTTACTTAGGTACAAGGGAACTTGGTTCAACTTCCAGCAGACCTATTCCTGAAGCATTCGGATACGTTTGCCGACAAGGTCGGTACCGCGCTGAAGAAAGTCTCGAAGGACTCGGAGGACAGTGGCACCCCTCCGACCATCGAACTCGACAGCGTCGACTGGGAGGATTTCAGAGACTTTCTGAAGGCTTTGGTTCCCAGGTAAGGCGCATCACATTTGCTCAAACTATGAAACAGAACCTTCACCATCGCTACTTCTCGCCAATAGATCCCCGTTCTTGGAAAGCAAGCCCTCTCTCACTCAATCGGAGTGGGTTTCGGTGCTCAAGCTGTCCACACTGTGGCTGTTCAAAGGGCTACGCAAGGTGGCCATCGCCGAATTGTCCGAGATCGACATGGATGCGGTTGAACGTGTTCGGCTGGCTAAGGCCTACGACGTCTGTGACTGGCTGCTCGGCGGATACGAGGCATTGGCGGAGAGGGAGGAGCCACTCACCGAGGAGGACGCAGGGAAGATTGGGACTGCAACTGCGTTGAAGCTGAGCGCTGTCGCACTTCGTCGACTTCGATGCAAGCTCCGCGGCGAGGACGTCAGCCCTATGAAGATCAATCAGCTTTGCGGAGACGACATTTTGGAAACGTTCTCAGATGAGATTAGCCGCGTTAAGGCGTCCGAAGAGCGCCACATGACAGACGCTGACATTCTCGAGAGGACTGAGAGGGAGAGGCGGGAAAGGGAGGAGAGGGAGGCAAGAGAGATGGCCGACATGGAGAGGATGAAAAGGGAGACCGCGGAAAGAGAGAGGCTGGAAAGAGAAAGAGTGGAACGGGAGAGGGCAGAACGGGAGAGGGTGGAAAGAGAGAGGGTGGAACGCGAGAGGGTGATACGGGAGAGAGAGGAACGAGAGAGAGTAGAAAGAGAGAGAGCGAGGAGAATTGCTGAGGAACGGGCCAGGCAGGAGCGTGAGGAGCGTGAGGAATTGGAGAGAATTAGGGAGGAAAGGCAGCGAAAGGGAAAAGGAAACGTGAAGACCCAGAGTCAAATGGGAGGCGGTGAACAACAGAGATGGATATATCAAGAACGCACTTCTCAGAATCAGCGTCCACCAGCAGCCGTATCCAATGGTTCGAACAGGAAAACCGCCGCCAGCCTGAGCCTCGATCTATGGTAGCGTATACTGGCTCTCATCCCAACCGACCTGAACCGGTCCCACTCGATCTTGTTGCGACTCGTGACTCTTCTATCCTCATTCACGCCCAGCCTGTGTGGGTGTGGTGGTACTATATGTAGCAGTGACGTCTTCCTTTGGCATAGAACCCGGAACCACACCGTAGCCTCATGAACCGTAACAGGACGATAATCTCTACCTCAAAGCACATATCTCTTTGCTAACAGTCACGAGTGTCGGAGAGGCTGTTGGGTCAGCCAGCAGGCTGTCTGATACAAAGTTGAGAATTGAATATATTGAATTCCACTTCAATTTCAACGGAACGTGATGGTGCATCACCAGCAGAGAACGCATGCGCATAAAATGCGCAGCACAAGAACATAGCACTTACCTTCAAGTTTCACCTCGACTCTCATCAACTTCGACGACTTGGACACGACAATGGCAGAAGCGATAAACTCCACGGGCGGCGCTCAGGCTACCATGCTCTCCAAACCGGTCGTCATCCCTGCGCTCAGCACCAACTATGACTCGAAGTATATTCGCGCATATCCGCCCGAATTGGAGAGATACGACATCTCCAAAGAAGACTTCCTCAGGTTCCTCGACAAACTGAGCGAGCTTGCATCCCCAAGCACACCCCTGAGCTTGCTCAGCGTCGCATGTGGTGTAGTAAGTCTGGTCCCCGAACCCCATTGCGTCCTGGTCGGCAACATCGTCAGCTGGGTTGCAGAGGACGCCGCCAACGAGGCAGCCGTCAAGAAGACAAATATCTTCCTCGAGTCTGCGAATAGGAAGCTATGGGAACCCCGCGGTCTACACGCTCGCATCGTCAAGCTCGCTACTGCTGCCCAGGTGGCCAACATGCCCATCCTCGACGGTTCGCGAAAGGACGGCAAGAAAGTCCGGGTCGACAAGAAAGCTGTCGTGCTCCCGCCCGTAGATGATTCATCTACCGAGGTGCAAAGGGAGTCGAGCAGCTACCTCGGCACGCGCAGCATCCGCAGGCTCCGGGCCTTGGAACCGTGGACCTCTCCACTCGATATCCAGCCACCGGCATCACAGGACAAGCTCGAGAAGCAGAGCGCGCTCGAGGCAAAGTTCAAGAACTGGGATCGCGAACAACAAGAGGCGAACACGCTCAAAAAGCGTCGGCAGTTCCAAGAGAAGTATGAAAAGAAGCGCCACGAGGTCACCGAGCGGTACGAGCGGCATATGCGCGATATTTCAGAGGAGGAGAGCAAGGTTTCCGCCAAGGCAGAGAAGAAGGGAAAGTCGCTGGAGGAGACTACGAAGGCAAAGTATGAGAACAGGCGCGCACACGAGCGCCAAGAGTACGAGAAGAAGATGGCTAGGATTGAACAGCAGATCCAGAACAGGGATACAGAGGAGGACAAGATGCGCAAGATCAAGATGCTCCTTATCTGCAGGATTGAGGACATCGACCGCATCAAGCCCGTCGAAGAGGACTCTGACTGGTAAAGTGTTTTGTACATATTTATACAGTTCATGGCGATGGTCCTAGGATTGTACTAGGTTTGGGTATCCAACTGTAAAGTACAAAGAGCTGTGACGATGATTCCTTCTAATATGGGCTCCACCTGTGTCAAATATAGCGTCGCAACACGAGGCTTGACACGACCCGTGACGATGCGTGGGCGCTAATTTATAAGCACACGTCCATATATAAAGCTCGTGGGGACAGAGAAGAACAGGTTGACGTTCTTGATCCCTTCCCTTATCTTCCCCTGCAGTAAGAGGATTGGATCATAGTACGGCACACTTCCATCTCTTCGATAATGATACAGCTCGGACCTGCGACCCATAGTCAGGAGTCAATGCCAACCACTTTCGGAGTCAGCCGCGACGACAATTTCGGGATGACGTCAGTGCCTGGGACGCCGCTCACGATGCCCGATACCTTTCCTTCTTTGGAAGGAACGCCTTGCCCGCCTTTTCCTACTTTGGTGCCCCCGTCGCCTCCCATCCTTTTGGATCCTTGTCAATTCGAACGCTGTAAGATCGAACCCGAATATTATTGGCCTTCTGTAACCTTCGTGGTATGACCCTCTGTTCACTCTTTGTCCAATGATCATTGAACTCACAAAACCTTACGCTTACAGACGGAAGGACACTTGGTTCGACTCCCCGTGGAATTATTTACTCAACATTCCGACGTCTTCGCCGAGGAGTATGGTCTTCCACGACCGACGTCAGACCACAGTAGCCTCGACACAGGTGATCCACGTATTGAGCTCGACGGGATCGCATGGGATGATTTCAAGAACTTCTTGAAGGCTGTCGTACCAAGGTACGTGTGTCTATTATCACTCGAACCGAAGGACAGGCACTGAGATAGAGGTTTCCCCCGTCCGATAGGTCCCCGTTCTTGGAGGCCAAGCCTACTCTTACCGAGTCGGAGTGGATCTCCGTCCTGAAACTCTCCACCCGCTGGCTATTCAATGACCTTCGAAAGATAGCAATCGACGAGCTCTCCAAAGTTCGAATGGATCCAGTTCAACGCGTCTGCCTAGCCAAGGCCTATGACGTCTACGATTGGCTGGTCTCTGGGTACGAGGAGCTGGTCGAGAGGCACGACCCTATCACCGAGGAAGAGGGACAGGAGGTCGGAATGGGCGTCGCGTTGAGGCTATGTGGGATTGCTCTTCGAAGGCTTCGGGGAAGTGGGGTAGTACCCGCCACCAGTGGTCACAGGGTTGATGTCGTGAACGGATTTGTAGAAGAGCTGGAGAGCATCAGAGGCGTTCAAGGACGGTACTTGACAAAGCAGGAGCGACTCGAGAAAGAGGAAGCAGAGCGAGCGGCGAGACAAGAGGAGGAAGCTAAGAGAGCTGAAGAGGAGGAACTAAAGCGAGAAGTGGAGGAACGTATGGCACGGGAGGCGGCACTTGAAGCTGAGAGACGAAAAGAAGTTGAAGAGGCTCAGCGGAAGGCGGAGGAAGAGGAAGCAGCGAAACGAGAAGCAGAGCGCGTTGAACGCATCCGTGAGGAAAGGCTCCGCTTACAGCGCCTGGAAGAGGAAGAAAGGAGAGTGAGGGAAGAGTTGAGTACGTTGGAGCGGCTGGACAAGGGGAAACGGAGGAGCGTGGATCTCGGGGATTGGTCGGGTTTTGGTGGGACCGGAACCTTGGCGACAGCAGGTCACCCTACTGTGGTTGTTCGTTCGGTCGGTGATGAGAATCTCGACCACAATCCGATTTCAGTGGTGGACGGTGTAGGCCCAACAGCTTCTAACGTTTTCATCCAGGATGAAATTCCTGTGGACATCCTTGCCTGCCATCCGTCTACCGACGTTCAACCGGCAGCGGATGACAGGGAGAACAAAGATGAGTTGGCTCCCGCTTTCGAAGTTAAGAAGGGTAAGAAGACCTATTTGGGGAGCTCCGAGGATGGTGAAATGACCGATGGAAAGAAGAAGAAGAAAAAGAGGAGGTCGCAGCGGTGAGTAGCTCTCGGTCGAGGTATTTTCACTTACTCATCTGGTTCATAGACGAGGATATACTATAGGAGTGTTATGTGTTATTTAGGAATAATAGTGTTATTGAGCAAAAGAGTGTTATTGGAGTAAAAGAGTGTTATTGGAGTAAAAGAGTGTTATTTCCGTCGGATGCAGAAATCTCCCCGATCAAATGGCATCACGGCCGAGTGGGCTTTGCTTCCTAATTTGGTTGCTGCCCCGCCGTCCAAGACCACGGTTGCTCTTGGCCACCACCATGGCCTATACGTTCACCCTTCCTATTCAATGGAAACAGCTCCTCTGTACATTCCATTTAACCTCGTATTCGTCGGAATATCGGGCTATGCCGGCTTTCTCAGTCACGTTGCCAACAGCGGATTTTCGAGGCTTTCTTCGCGCCCACCACCCCAATAATGGCCCCAATCAACGTATCCGCCCTCAACCTGGTTCAGATTCGCGGTTATCGAGAGTTTGTAGGTTTCTGAGACGCTTTGAATCATTTTCATCGTTGCTGACACGCCTTTCCTCAGTTCTACGAACACTGTTTGGCCCAAGCAACCCATCAACCGTATTTTTCGCTGGATGAAGCGGAGAAATGGATGCAACCAGAGGCGCTTGCTGTTTACCGTGGCCTGGGTGATGAAACAACGAGGGTAGTGGGAGAGGATACCCGGCACAAACTGGAGGATCTTTCATTTTCGAAGCTGAAGCTATTCCGCAACTTCGTGAGTTGGTTTCACTGTTGTCAGTGCAAACCTTGCTCCTAACCTGAGCCCTGTTCAGCTTGTTCCTCCTCAGTACGAAGACGACCGCTATTTTTCAATGGATAACGCAAAACACTGGTTCAAAGATCGTGTCTACGAAGCATGGCAAGACTATCTGGATGGAGCTCCGAGGGAGGCCATGGTGGATCACACTCAAGGTACGAAATTATTCGTGTGTGTCAGCGGGGTTGTTAGCTGAAAAATGGTCTATAGACATTAATTTTGGCCGTTTTCGCGGGCGATCTAGGAGCAGGTCACTGCGTTCTGGCCATAGCTCGTCAAATCCCCCGTCTTTGCGCTCTCGTTCGTCATCGCTTGGCAGTCTCTATGCAAGCGACTTCCCAATCCCGCCATCGCCATCTATGTCACGAGCATCTTCCCAGGCAGCGTCGGACTGCAGCTGCGAGGTTATTGAGCTCACGGATGATGAAGACGACGTGGTCGTGCCAAATACGAGCTCTGGAACAGGCTCGAGGTGAGTCCTCTTGCCGTACTGTTCATCCCGCAGGTTGCTGACCATGGCTTCGGTCTCTAAGTCGCCGAAAAAAGACCTCTGAGCCGTCGCAGCCTAAGGCGTACCGCTACAACGCCCAAAAACGACCAGTCAAGGTCAAGAGTGAGCCTCAAGACTCTAACGACCTCTTTGAGCCAATTATCGTCTTGTCTGACAGCGAAGACTCGGAAGCACCACCGAAGAAGATCCGGCTCACCAACAAGGTCTCTATTTCCGGGGTCAAGACTCTCAAGAAACCGCCTTCGACCTGGACCGTTCCTCAAGACAACAGTGCCTATCTTCTCGACCTGGAAGACGTCACAATACCATCCAAGGCGAAGGGAGATGGCCCAATGTCTATAGATGCGTACATTCGGTCTGAGGTACGTGGTTTACCCCATCTTCGGTGCTGTACTAACTCAGAATGCCTTCGCAGGATCAAGATTCTTGGGGAGGGTCTTCTGGTCACACCAAAGGCGACGTGGACCTTCCTGGCAATGTTTTCGGTGTCGGCGAAGAGAAGGTTCGGTGCCGAAGGGTGGCCTTAAGCTGCAACGGAGTGACTGTCTGCGAACATTTCAACAAGACAGTACTCGAAGATTGTAAGCGCTACATTCCGGACAAGGCCGAGATGCAGTCTCTCTGGCACCAGGAACTCGAGGCCAATGACCGAGAGATTAACTCGGTGGATGCCATCCTTGCAAGGTCAGTGCCAACGTTCTTCATTTTAGATGGCTGTCTTACGCCCCACCTGCTATATATCTAGGTTTTATACACTCATTGTGACGGCCAAATGTCCTAAAGAAGGATGTAATGGCAAAGCAACACTTCGCAAGCCACTTGATCCGGTAAGAACATTGTATCGTTTGTTCTCAGCAGTGGATTAATGAATGATGTAGTCTTCTTACCGCGGCCCTGCTCGAAATAGAAAGAAGCACTTCGTCGGTTGCGATGCCTGGAACGACTCTGATGGAAAGGGTGGGCGGGATCATCTGTACTTTGCGATTCCTCCCCCGGTTGATGAGGCCACCTTGGAGCATCTTTTGAAGACTGGTGGTGTTTTTCCTGAATCCTCGAAGGTGAAGGGTGTGCACGATGGATGTGCGCTCGTTATCCATCCTAGCACTAAGCGTAAAACTTGTCGTAAGCCACTCTAAATAATCCCCAATTTCTCTTGTTGAATGTCCGAATTTCGTTAGCCTATACCCATATCACCGAAGGAGAGACTGGCCAACAGACGGCGCCTGCGGATCTAGTCAAGCGCGGGTGCCCAACCACCATGACGATCTATGTTCCTGTCTCTATGGAAATCCAGAAAGCGTTAGTACTCATCCGGAATCCTCATAACCACCCAATGCATCCCGCCTCGAAGATGAACAACGAGCAAAAGGATGTACTTTTGAATGTGATGCGTGCTGCAGGCGCAGCAGGGCTGACTGTTCAAGGGCTGCGAAATGGTGAGCCCATGTCTCCTATCCCACTTTGACGAGCGGCGGATAACGGACATTCTTTGTAGCACCAACAACCTCTGCCTTGCTGGAAGGGAAGAGCCTTGAGTCTCACTCGAGTGCACTTGCAGACAATCGCAAATTACGGCGTGCTGTTCATGCGTTCAAGTTGGATGAACACCCCGAAGGATTTGACTGGATTGGTACGCGTTATTTCGTGCGACGACTAGTAGTAACTGACCAGTTTATATTAGGAGTGCAGAAGGAGATGGAAAAGCAGACTAGGCTCCCGATCGAGCAACGGTACATCCACGCAACGATAAATACGGGTGACTGTCGCACTGTGGTTACGATGCTTCCTAAGCTGGCTGAGCATATCCACAAAGTGAACGCACTAGCCATTGACTTTTCATTCAAGCGTGTTCATGGGGTGTTTAACGAGTGGGAGATAGCGGGCTTCTTACCACAGCTCAACCAACGTGAGTTCCTAATTATAACCTCGTCATTCGATGCGATCTGACCGTTCCTTTTGAAGGTGTTGCCTTCGCAAGCTTCTATTGCGACCACGCCACTACAGAGGCCTTTGAAACGCTTTTTGGGGCGTTCTTCAAGCTTATTCCCAAGCTCACCAACCGGCCATTACGCTTTGTCGCTTTCAGCCCAGAGGACGAAGAAGCTCGACTGAAAGCTATCCTCCTCGATGGAGAGGTGGCGCAGGCATACGGGCTTGGAAAGTGCCTGGTAGACTATGTCAATACCTTCGTAAAACCCAAGCCTGCGCCGCTCCCAGATGACCCTATTGAGCTCATGCTTCACGTCACCAAACTGTGCTATGTTCACTTCGAGAGGTATGTCAATGTCAATACACATTCCAGTCAAATCACTTTTTCAAAATTGACCAATGCATTAGGAATATCGATGGATTGAAGGAAGAGCTTTCTCCTGAGGAGATTTCGCGATTGAAGGGCTTCCGAGCGCTGGCTTCTGACGAAGAGATTGCAGACTTTCACGAGTTCTGCCGAGGTCTTACTTCTCCAAAAGCAGCTGGTACGTCGTGCTATACTTCGACTGAATCCCAACGACTGAACTCTGAGGGTGTATAGCCTGGTACAAACACAAACTAACGTACCCATGGATCTTCAAGACTGTTAACCCTTTCCTTTCGTCAATGGACACCGACCATTTTGTCGTCACTCCAAACGACACAAATCTTGTGGAAGGTGCTCATTCCGAGCGAAATGCCTTCACCGGCATCAAACTGTCTCTCGTAGATGCGATCCAACGGTATGGTCCATCTACCTGCACTGGCTCAGTATAACAATGTCTGATTATTCTCTCTAGGGCTTACGAGTACGACTGCAAGGTGGCGGACGAGATCGATAACACCCTTCGCAATGGTGTCAGTCGAAATCGATGGAACCAAGCCATCATTCGCGAAAGCCGAGGCTTTTCACGACAACGCACCCAGTACAAGCGCATTACAGAACGCGAAACTGGGATTGCGGACTACAAGGACCTTGAGGCCTTACTGGATCGCCTGAAGAAGGAGAAGGGGGACTCTCAAGCCCGTGAGGTGCGATTGAAGGAGGAGGCTAGTCGTTTGCGAAAGGAGTTCAAGCTCAGCAAAGACAAGAAGATCAGCGAAGAGATTGCCTCATACGACACCGACCGAGCCAAGGAACAGGGAGTCCAGCGCGAGCTTCGAGTCGAGATCCAGGACGTCATTAATCGACTGAAGGAGCTGAAGAAGACCGCACTGTTTGGTGTACGCATGGCGAAGAAATCGGGGAATCACTCGACTACATCAGATGCCGGCAACCCTCACCCAACGACGGAGGACCAGGGAAGCCGCGACTCACAACCACCTGAGCTGGGATCGAGGATAGAGGTGGCTGAGGAAGAACTAACAGGGCAGCTAGATTTCGAACCATCCCCAGCCTTGGTCGAGCCCGACGGAGGTCTGGTCGACATCTCACAGGTCGAATCATTCGCAGCTGAGGCCCATGCTCCACGTGTCGAGTTCCCGGAACTGTCGTGAACAGCTGGTATGGCCCCTATTTTCATTTTCATCTTATCTTATCTGTATCCGCATCTTATCTTATCTGTATCCGCATCTTATCTTTCCTGTTACCCCCTATCTCTTATTTTTATTCTCGTCTATGGACTCTTTCTCTCATGGAACACTGCCCCGTTTTGCCCTTTACCCTGCTTCTATTGTTCTTATTGTTACGCACTGCCTTGTATTGCCTTTCGACTCATTCTGACGTCTTTTTACTTCATTATTGTTTCATTCTTGTTCTTCGCGCAGCCTCGCGCAGCCTTGTGACTATCTTTTATTGTTCTTCTGTCTTTCACCATTTGCTCGTCATCTCGACTCATCGTGGCTATGTAACTGGTAGAATAGGTATATAAGCTAGGTAGTTCGCTCTGTATTTCCTTAGCTTGACCTCTTCGTCAATTCCTCGCTCTAGTCTTCACTCCAAACCGTCGCTCATCGCTCTAAGCTCTTTTCGTCGCTTTCACCGCTCCTCGTCTCTGGTCTTAGTTTTGGTTTAGTGTTCGCTCTTCGCGACATTAGGTCAAGCTCTCCCTGCGCACCGGCAACGCCGATCGTTGTCCCTGCGACCCCGCCGCACTCCTGGTCTTCTGGTTGACCTGCCGATCAGGTCCCACTCTGGCAACCCTGGTTCACCGCTACAGCCAAGATTCTGCCGTGCGAGTTTAAACCGCACTTTGTCCTAGTCTGGTCCGGCAAGCACGCCGACGGGTACATCACCAACACCCACCTGAAGTGTCTGCAACAACCCTGCCCGAAACGGTATAACCCGCTCCGCCCTATCGACTACGAATACCTAGCCAAGAATCTCCCGGATTACGCCTCCTTTGTTGAAGCCTCCGAAGACAACTACGAAGCAGTCCTCTATTCCGAACATCCACCGCCGCCGCCTGCTACGCCCCCACCGTCCGAAGCTCCAGATACCGAAGAATCCCCAGCGGCTTTCCACTCCGCCGAATCATCTCCTGTCCCAGTAACAGCAACCACCAGCACCGCACCGAAAACCTTTCGCCCACCGTCAACATCGTCTGAAGAAGACGACGAGGAAGAGGACGACAACAACGAAGAAGAGGAATCCGAAGAAGAAGATTCTGAAACACCCGTCCCCTTTCACGTTACCTACGCCGCGTTAGCAGAAGCCCCCCCCGCAGTAACAAGCCTTCGCCGCTCCGGACACTCTACCCCCACTACAACCCTTACTCTCACTCCTCGCCGCGCCCTCACACCACTTCCCATCCCCAGGGAGTTGGAGGACACGTCTGTTGCCCAACGCTCAGATAACGAACCTCCCACTTCCACTTTATCACCATCCTTATTATCTCCACCCACCTCTCTGCCACTCGTCCAACAAGACCCCGTTACCGAACCCACAAAGCCTATCCCCGAATTCAGTATGTCCGACCCCACTCTTCTCAAGTTGCTTGCCGAGCAACAAGAGACTACCAGGCGCATCCAGCAATCCCTGGATAAGCTCACGGCCGCCAAGACCGCTTCCACCAGAAGCCCTGTCAAAGCGCCTGAGCCCTTCAAGGGTGACTCTGGTGACACCCAACGTTTCCTCCGCTACTTCACCAACTGGGCCTCCGCCGATTCCGAACTCAAAGGCGATGACAAGAAGTGGATCTCAGCCGCCCTCTCATACCTTCAAGGTGCTGCCGCTTCCTGGGCCGTCCAATACCTGGATCAGATTGCCGCCCACGAGGCTGCTGCCGACACTGCTCAGAAGGCTGCCCACCCCTGGCCTTTCAATGGTGATTGGTCTGCTTTCGTGGTTGCCTTCAAGAAGCGCTTCCAACCTGCCGACCAGGAGAAGGCAGCTGAAGCTCAACTCGAGGCCCTTACCCAGGGTAAACAGTCTGCTTCCCAGTTCGCAGCCAAGTTTATGGAGATCTTTCCCCGCACCGGTCTATCCCAGAAGGACGGTATGGCCCGCTTCCGCCGTAAGCTCAGCACCAATGATCGCCTCATGTTGGATCTTATCGCCATCACCAAACCGGACGATGCCAAGCCCAAGACCCTCCAAGACTACTGCGACATTGTCAATCAGAACGATTTCACGTTCCACGGAAGCAGCACCTCTTTCTTGACCCCGACCACCTCGTCTCGCTCTACCCCGGCCCGTGACCCCTACGCTATGGACATTGACGCAACCCGCGTTGGACCCAGTGGCCGTTCCCGCGAGGACTTCCTCCAAGCGATGCGTGGACGATGCTTTGGTTGCGGATCCTCCGCCCACATCAAGAAGGACGGCAATCACGGCTCGCTTCGTTGCAACCACTGCCAACGCCTTGGCCACTCCGCTAACGTCTGCCAAGACAAGTTCATGGGCTACCCACCCGGTCGAGGACTCACCCAACGTCGTCGTGTTGCTGCCACCCAGGAAGCTCCCTTTTCTCTCTTCAACGATTCGTCCACTGCCAGCCGTCGCATTCCGAACATCACGTCCGCCCCCGCTGATACGCCGATTTTGCGGCTAGACCTCAAACTGAGCTCAAACGGCTCTATTAGACTCGTCACAAGTGTCTACGTCTAGCCTACAACTAAGGAGTCTTCATTGATGAACCCCAGACCAAAAGCGCAGCGAACCCTTTGTGAGTAGCCTAAGGCGCAGGCCCTTACCAAAAACGCTAGTAGAGACTCTAGTCGAAGGTACCGCAGGAAGCCTAGCCCTAAGTCTAAGACTCGTGCGCGACGTCTAAGTCTTATGGTTTGTTCGACCTTTCGGGTCTGAACCTAGATCTTGAACCGAGGCGAACTCTACCCACCTGCGACTTGAATATGAGGACTTAGCTGTACCAGCAGAGCTCATAGGGCAAAAGCCTAACCAACTATAACCCTAGACGTGACGACTCGACGAACCTAGTCGAGGCATCGAGTCTAACGGATCACCAAGTCTAAGAGTCTAGACTGGTTCCTCCGATTCGGACGACCTAGCGGAAGCAAATGTCATTGGAGTTGATGGACCAACCGGAAGGACCCCCGACGCCGACACACGGCATTGGAGCGGGACGACCAAAGAGAGAGAGAGCCAAGTCTAAGGTGGAGCGCACCACGTCTACGATGAGACCTCGGCCGATCAGTAACGGACCTCGGGACTGTCTAGACGCGGACGGCTCTCCGCCGAAGGAGTCATAACTAAGCTCCGGTGGAGCAATGTCGATCAAAGTCTGACCCACCAGGTGGCGAAGTGGAGTTCCCCCTTATGGAATCGGAACTGGGTCATGGCCGCGTCGATCACGGCAAGGCGCCCGGCCACAAGCCGTCCTCGGCTGCCCTAATAAGGCAAGCCTAAGCAAAAGTAACCGCGCGTCTACGAGCGCCTAATACTCGAACCGTTCCATTTCTATCCTATCTATCGAAGCTCGTGTTTCTTCTGTTCTATTTCTGTCTCTCTTAGTCTGCCTGTCTTACCTAGTCTTCCTAGTTTTTCCGTCTTTGTTTGTCTACAGCCTTAGTACACCAAACACTCTCCTCATGTATAAAAGCTAGCTAGTTCTCGCTCGAATTCTACAGATTATCGCTGGCAGCTTTTCTCCAGGATAAGACTCCGTGAAGTCCGGCGCGACTCAGCACGTTAGAAGGTTTGTCGACTCGGCGTAGATCGACTTTTGGGTTATTCTTTGGCCACTTCGACTCGGTGTAGATCGATTTGGTAACAGTCGTCCCGGCGTGTTCGACTTTGGTTTTCTGTGAGCACCGGCGTGTGTCTCCTTGATCTCTTTTGTGTATTTTCTCGACTACTCAGTAGCGAGGAGGTGGTGGTACCCTAGTCTAGCTAGTGGTCTGCCTCTGCACGACTTATCACTTCGCGCCTTGAGCCTACAAGCTCTTGTTTTACCTTTTACCTTCTCACCTACTGTCCGCCCACTCCCGTGCACCCCCCTTCGAACCTTTGCATTGTTAAGGGTTTGTTTGGTTCTAGTGCCTTCCTACATACCGTCGTTCCTTTGGGTGAAGTCTAACTTCATTTGGCCTTAGACGTAGTCTTTGGTGGGGTGTAGAGGATTAGCCTTTTCATTACTTTTTACTTCTTTACCTTCACCTGCCGGTTCGGTTGGTGTGTGTGTGGTTTTAGAGCCTCCCACCCCTGACCGCGCATCATCTGGAGCCCACCGCGAGGGGGTTGCTTCAGTTTACAAAAGAGGAGTGTAGTCGATTGCTAGCCTAGCTGGTATTCGCACAAGTCGAGGAGAAGTCGTCACCTGTCTAACAAGAGACGTACACGAGACGATTGGTTGTCTTCCTTTGGAAACAACAAAGCGTAGTTTTGGATACCACGGCGTCGAGGTCATCTCAGCCCCGTAAAACCAAGGCGAGCCAGAGAGCAGGAGTTGTGCCAGGACTTGAGTCTGAACGAGCGCTACGCAAAGCACTCCAAGGACTTCAAGAAATCGGTGCTAGACGCGACGGATCTCTTTCCGAAGAGGATCCACCTTTCGAGACTCCTAACGCCTCGATTGACGAAGACTCGTTTCCACAAGGACTGTCTTTACCAAAGACTCCCCCACGAAACACGTCTACTACAACCTCAGTGCCATCCGCACCAAAGTCGACGAGGATTTCACAATCCATTCGACCTCTTAAACCTATTCGAACTCACCCTTCGATTACCCCAACCCCCGCACGAGTAGAAATGCCAGACGTAGAGAATCTCAACCCTAAGGAGGTTTCTCCTGGGGATGAGGCGATCCCTCATAAAGACATGCCTTCAATTACGAAAAAGGATCGACCTACCTTATCCCAAGACGATGCTATGGACGTCGTGAGGTATCTCGAGCTTTTGGAGCAGTTGTTCAAGGGCATTGTCAAAACCGATCGAGCCAAGAAAATCTATGCGACTCGTTATATAGACGACCCTATTCTGAAAAGACAATGGGAAGCTATACCAGAGTATGCGACTAGTACTTGGAACGATTTCAAAAGAGCAGTACTCAGGTACTATCCGGAAGGAGAAGGCCTAAGCCGCGGAAGTCGACCTAGACTTATGGATGTCTTTAAACGCCATCGCGAGATATCCCAAGTAAATGTCGGACGAATGGCTAGACTCGCCTTAGCTATCCGACCCGAGGCAGAAGGACTGGAAGCGTTGCAGAAAGAGACAGGACATGTTCTGGTCACCAACCGAGAGATAGTCTCCAACATCCTAGGATGCTTAAGTCCAAACTTCCGAGACGCCTTACGGTTCAGACTCACTCTAGAAGAGTCTAAACCTGCTACAGAGGCAGCCGGTACGACTAGCAAACGGGATTGGTATGGGGAAACGCTCGAAGATAGGGTACCTTGGGGACGTGTCTTAGAAATTGCACAAGACTTGACCAGGCAAACTGGAGCTCACAACGCCTACGGCGGATTTTCTTCTTCAGAGGATAGAGACTATGATCGAAACCTCTATCGAAATCCACCGGCAGCCTCTACTCCAGCGGCAGCTGTGAAGTCGGAACCCACAGACAGTGATTTCCGTTCGTTTTGCAAAAGCCCATGATCAAAGAACAACAGCAGTTCGTCTTAGAGCAACAACGAGTGAATGCGAAGTTTGTAGAATCTCTTCGCGAAACAAAGGAGCAGTTTATGGCTGAAAGCCGTAAAAACGCAGAAGCGACCGAGGCTTTAGCGGGCAAGCTAGACATAGTAATCTCCAATCCGCATAACTTAAACTCGGTTAGAGAAACACAGTATAGGGACGGCGCGTCGAGGATGCGATCTAACCAGGGGTCCAGAGACTCTGGGAAGGGAACATTCCGACCAGCAGTGCTTCTATTTGCAATGGCGACAGATCATTGGGTCATGAGAGTGCCCGAGTCGATTAGATGATCTTCGTAAAAAGAAGATCTACACTAAAGGCTCAGAAGTCTACCTCTCTTCCAATCACCAAAGGATCTCTGCCTTCTCACCCGATGGCCGTAGCCAAAAGGAACGAGTTGCGGACATGACAATCCAAGGAGCTTACTTGCAAGGCAAAGCCATGGCTCAATCTGAGTCTTCATCCCATGGAGGCGAAGATTATGAGCGCAGCCGCGGTCCCACTTACGGAGACTTTAACACGATGCAGACGGAAATCTCTCAGATCAAGGATATCGTGCACACGTATCTCCTGGATCGAAAAGACTCTAAGTCTGAAGGCGTTCCTACCATTGAGGAACGAGACGACGACCTCGACTCGCAACTAGACAAGCTGGGAGACATGAACAAGAACCTCTCGGTATTTGCTCAAGACCGAGACAGGTCGGGTTTTCCTTAAGACCAAGGACGGAAAAGTCTACTGCTTCAAAAGCTTCGGCCGGCAGTAGTACAGATCCTGAGGCCAGGATGACCAAGCCGAAGTCTAGACGAGTTACAATAGAGGAAGTTGACGATCCTGATGACGAAGTCGTGAAAAAGAAGAATAAAGTGGAAAATAAAAAGGAGACAACTACAACGGCCGCACCCACGCCTAGTGGTATGAGACCGTATGTGCAAGTCCCCAACCGAAAACCCCATACCTTGGGAACCTTTAAGCCAAAGTCTAAACAGACTGAGGCAACACCAAAAGCGGTTAGCACCGCACCCGAAAAGGAGGACGTACCGATTGATCCGCTTGTGGCGACTCATCGACAAGGCCCCGCTTTTTCCAAGAAGGCGCCTGTTGAGGAGCACGTCTCGGTGGCAAAGATTGGGAAAGAACTCCTGGAGCTGGAATTCCCCATTTCCCTTCAGAAACTTATGGGCATTTCGAATGAAGCGCGTGAGTTCTTGAGAAAGATGGTGACAAAACGGAAAGTGCCTCGACATGGTGACGACTTAATCCTAGAGAGAAAGTTGTTGAACCAGTTCGTTTATAACGTGTCGGACGACGAAAGACGACGCTGCAAGCATGCCTGTCTCCTCTTTAAAATGTGGGACTCAGGAGAGCTAGCGGGGCGACTAGACTTGTCAGACTACGAAACAGACGAGGAGCCTTCCGATGAAAGCAAAGTAGCTGAACCGACCTCTCCGGAAAGTCTTATCACAAAACTTTATAAGTTTGAACGACTTACCGACGGTCCAGTACGAAGTCGCAGGTGAAGATGACGTCGACTTCGAACCAGGCGCCATCATATGCCTGGATCCGGTCGAACAATACGTACAATCTTTGCCTGAAAACGAAGAACCCAGACCCATAGTCGTAGCTAGGGAAAGCCTTCCATTACGAGCTATCTACCCGGAGATTAACTCCTCTGGAATAGAAGAGTCTCTTCTGGATCCAGGCTCCCAGATTTGTTCAATGTCTGAAGAAGTAGCAAAAGAGAAGAACATCTCGTATGATCCCTCTATAACTGTCTTCTTGCAATCGGCGAACCAATCACTAGCCAAGACTTTGGGTCTAGCACGAAACGTACCCTTCAAGATTGGCAATACTATCGCCTATCTTCAATTACATGTCATCCCTAAAAGTTGCCTACAAGGTGCTTCTGGGAAGACCGTTCGACGTCGTAATGTCTACCGAAATCCCACAACTCTCGGAACGGAGACACGACTCTCATACTTACTGACCCCAACACTGGGCTCAGGAGTGCTGTGCATACTTATCCGCGTGGTCAGCCGCCTCCGGTGATTCAGAGGAAGCTGCAAGAACAGGAAAGACATTCTTTTCAGAATTCGAGGATTTGGTCGAAGACCAAGGAGAATTCGCGGTTGTAGTCGAAAGAGACTCTAAGACAGGAGAAGTTCGATTCATCGAGGCTCTCCTCCCAAAAGAGCAGACTTTCGGCTCCGCTGAACTGAAAGTCGCCTACTTGCAATGCGCGCGCGATGAGAAAAGTTGGGATGAAGTCGCTTCGAAGGCTTTCGATTCGTACCTTCAACAAGCGATAAATGAGTTGCCGGTGGAACGTCGGACTGCCTTCATACAAAATATAAAACACCAATTACCTGCAGTCCAGGTGTTTTCACAGGCGGATGTAGACGAGCCTAAACCTAAGCAGCCAAAAGCACACCCAGTTTCGGGTAAGCCTGAGGTCAAGCCTAAGATTAAAGGCGTGTCTACTGGGAAGAAGTACAAGAAAGTAGCCGATAAAGTGAAGCCTGTACTGGGAACCTTACCCTCCCGAGTTCAGGATCGATCGGAAAATCATAGGCGATCCTCTAGAAGGAATGCCAAAATTACCTACCCACCCACCGGAGTAGTCACACCTACGGGTCGGTACACACAAGAGCGAAAAGACTTAATGGACAAGTTGCACCCCGAAGGCTTCCTATGGCCTGAAGAGCGCAAGCTGTTGCATTGGTTAGTCATGGTGCATAACGTCGCCTTCGCCTGGGAGGACAAGGAGAGAGGACGCTTCCGGCCGTCGATTTCTTCCCGCCTGTTCGTATGCCTACTGTCCCTCACACTCCTTGGGTGCTAAGGAACAGACCTATTCCACCAGGACTTATGGTCAAAAGTCTGTCAGATCCTAAAAGAGAAGATAGACGCAGGAGTTTACGAGCCTTCTAACTCAAGCTACAGTGCTAGATGGTTCTGTGTCTTGAAGAAAGATGGCGAAAGCTTGCGTATCGTACATAGTCTAGAGCCTCTGAATGCAGTTACAATTGCCCACTCAGGAATTCCACCTGCTACAGAAGAACTAGCTGCACGATTCGCCGGCAGAGCCTGTGGAGGCTGCATGGATTTATTCGTTGGGTACGACGAGAGGGAACTACATCCCGAGTCTAGGGACTTGACTACCTTTCAGACTCCCTTCGGAGCCTTAAGAATTGTGACCTTGCCTATGGGATGGACTAACTCAGTACCTATATTCCATGACGACGTCACATTCATCTTACAACCAGAGATACCTCATGTCACAATTCCTTACATCGACGACGTGATCTTGGGGGGACCTAAGACTCGATACGAGGATGGTAAGGGAGGGTATGAGACTATCCCTGAAAATAACGGAATCCGTAGATTCGTCTGGGAATATTTCCAAGATGTCAATCGAGTGGTTCAAAGGATGAAGTATTGTGGAGGAACCTTCTCTGGCAAGAAGTCCATCATCTGCGCCGAGGAGTTTCCTGCAGTAGGACACATTTGTTCGTATGAGGGACGCAAGCCTAACCCTGATCGACTCAAGGTGATCACTCAATGGGGCGACTGTAAAGATATCTCAGACGTACGATCGTTCTTAGGTATCACGGGCACCCTGAGGATGTTCATAAGGGACTACGCGAAATTAGCAGACCCTATCCAGAAGTTGACTAGGAAAGGCGAACCGTTTGTCTGGGGACCAGAGCAAGTCGCATCAATGGAGAACTTGAAAAAGGCTCTAGCCGAAGCGCCAGTCCTCAAGACTATCGACTACGACAGTGATCCTTGCGTAAAGTTAAGCGTCGGATACTTCATATAAAGCTATTGGGTACTACATCTCTGTCCTGGACAAAGAAGACTCGAATAAATGGCACTATGTGAAGTTTGGCTCGTTGTTGATGAACGAACGCGAGTCTCGGTACTCTCAACCTAAAAGAGAACTCTTCGGGCTAATGCGAGCCTTGGAGGAAAAACCGTAACTACTTGATCGGGTGTCGGAAACTCGTCGTCGAGACCGACGCGAAGTACATTAAGGGAATGCTGAACAACCCCGGCAATGGGCCTAATGCAACCATTAACCGGTGGATTGAAGCTATCCTAATGTACCACTTCACCCTACAACATGTGCCCGGTAAAAACTTCGCAATCGCAGATGGCTTGTCGCGTCGACCAGCGTTTCCTGGAGACGAACCGACGACGCCGTATGATCATACAGAAGAAGAAGCTGATGGGGTTGCAAGGATATGAGAAGCCTAACCCCGGAAGATCCTGACCCACTCGAGTTCGAAGATTTCAAGCATGACATCGATACTCGAGGAGGATACTTCACGGAATCGGCACAAGTCATGAAAGACTTTCACGACGAGCTTCACTTGGGGGCGAAGTGTGACTTAGACGTGGTAGATGCGCGGTCTCAGTACGTTAACCTCGAAATACTGCCCGCCACCCCAAAGCTAGGGCAGGAGGAAGACTCACTTGAGTACCAAGGGTCTCGGCGTTCGAAGTTCGCACAAGCTTACGACAAGCGACTTGTGGAGGTAAAGGAATGGCTGGCGAGACCCTTTTAGTAAACCTCTGGAGAAAAAGGATACCGAATATCTTGCTATGGTTAGGACGGCTAGTCACTTCTTCCTAAGGAAGGGACAACTGTTTAAAAGGAATGACCGCAGGACAACACCTCTTGGTCATCGAACCTAGTCGCAGGATGTACATTATGAAGGCAAACTCATGACGCCCTTGGGACATCGAGGCGTATATGCAACCAAGGAACTGATAGCTAGACGCTTCTGGTGGCCAGAGTTGGAAGGAGACGTCGCCTGGTATGTAAAGACTTGTCATGTCTGCCAGGTACGACAAAAGATGTTGGTAAAGATACCGCCTACGGTGACCGAAACACCAGGTGTCTTTCAAATCCTGCACGCAGACGTCATGCATGTGTCCCCCGCTAGCAATGGTTG